GTTGGCCAGGCCGGTCTTGAACTCCTGACCTCAAGTGATCTGCCCACCTCGGCCTTCCAAAGTGCTGGGATTACAAGTGTGAGCCACTGCGCCCGGGTCAAAAGGGGACATTTCATGAAAGACTTGAAAGAGGTAGAGCAGTCAGGCAAATACTTTATCTGGGTCAAGAGCCCCTAAGACCAAAAGAACAGCAAGCACAAAGGCTTTGGACTGAGATTCTGTTGGCAGTGTTTAGGAAACAACAATAAAATCATTTGGTCAGAGCAAACAGAATGAAGGAAGAGTAGTGGGAAAGAAGGTTGGAGAGGTAAAGGGGAACGAGATTATATTGAGCATTGTATAGGCCACGGTAAGGATTTTGGATTTTAAGTATGGTGGGAAGCCAATGATGAATTTTGGAAAGGGAAATAGTCTTGTATTAGTTTGCTAAGGCTGCCATAACAAAATATCAAAGAAAGAGTAGCTTAAATAACAGCTATGGGGTCTAGAAGTTCAAGATCAAGCTGTCAGCCTATTTGGTTTCTTTCTTTTTTTGAGATGGAGTCTTGCTCTGTCACCCTGGCTGGAGTGCAGTGGCACAATCTCGGCTCACTGCAGCCTTCGCCTCCTGGGTTCAAGCGATTCTCCTGCCTCAGCCTCCTGAGTAGCTGAGATTACAGGCACGTGTCGCCATACCCGGCTAATTTTTTGTATTTTTAGTAGAGATGGGGTTTCACCATGTTGGCCAGGATGATGTTGATCTCCTGACCTCATGATCCGTCCACTTTGGCCCTATCTGATTTCTTCTGAGGCCTTTCTGGCTTGTGGTTGGCCTTTTCCTTGGTATCTCCTCACATGGTCTTTTCTCTGTGTGCACACATATCTGGTGTACCATTGTGTTTCCAAATTTCTTCATTTTTTTAAGGGTACCATTCAGATTGGATTTGGACCTACTCTAGAGGCCAGATGTTTAACTTAATTACCTCTTTAAAGGCCCTGTCTCTAAATATAATCACACCCTGAGGTATTAGGGTTTAGGGATTCAACATAGGAATTTTGGGGGAACACATTTCAGCCCATACATAGCAGGGCTCATTTGCTTTACTTAGCCTGCTGAGAATTGACTTGAGGTATGTGGAGGGGGAGGGGGAGTAGATGGTGGTGGGGGAGGGGGGCGTGGATGGTGGTGGTGGAGGCAGGTGTAGCCAGGTTATTGAGGTGAAAATGGAAACAGAGTTAGGAGATTAGACAAGACGACAACATGCAGTATGGAAATAGCTGTGGAGTTGATGAGACGTTATCAGAATTGTGATTTATTTTGAAAGTAGAATGCATAGGATTATTTTGAGAGTAGATTTTTAGATTTTTTTCTGTTCTTTTTATTTATGAAAAATTTAAGCTGGAAAAAAATGCACTTTACAAAGACCAAGTACAGTTCCCCTTTCCTGGCTTTTTTTTTCTCCCCAACCTGAGTTGATATCTGATATAGATATTGGGACTACCTCAAATTCTGCTTCTCTATGATTCTGCGTCTCTGAGATTCATCTTAGAATTTATTTCTGGACAGATTGTTCATATTCTTGGAAAACAGCTCTTGGATTTTAACTTGTCCTGCTGTTGGGTTGTGTAAGGGAGGCAAATAATTTTTTTTTCAACCCTCGTAAGTTATTATTTGGAATGGTCCTCTCTAACAAAAGATTAGCAAAAGAAAAACAAATATAAGTTTGTTAACATGTATAATTCATAAATATATGGGAGATACTCAGAGAATGAGTTGGCTTTTAATTCCAGCTTATATAGTATCTTCAACAAAGAACAGTAAATGTTTAGAAAAATGTCAAGACAGTGAAAAAGGACTTTGAGTTTGTAGGGGCAGCAACTTGTAGAAAGGCAAATAATGGCAGGCAAAGCATAATTAGTAAACTTGTTAATGTGGATTCGTTTGGTGTCGTATCCAGACCAATACAGATGTAAAGTTGTATTTGGTGGTTAACTTGTGTTCTTCCACGGTAGAAAGGGGATGGGTTTTTTTTTGTTTTTTGTTTTTAACCTTTTTTGTCTTTGGAGTAAATTTACGTCCTGCTTTTAGGCAAGTGGAGGGCAGAGAGCTTTCCTGCATCTGCTTTTTAATTGCCTTCAGTTCAACAATCCTTATGCCAAGGAGGCATATTTTGAGGTGGCATATTGCTGTCTCCTACAGTTGACTGTTTGGCACAGAAGTACATGGCCTGACTAGCCAACTTATTATAGAATGAAGGCCTTTACAGCTTCTTTGGAAGTGGTGAATGACAAATCCAAAACTACTCAATTTAAGAACTAGGACCTACTTCTGGTAGTCTCGAACATTTTAATACCTCTGTATCCTTACATGTTGCCCTGCCCTCCCACCCCAACAAGTATTTTGCTTTTTTTTTTTTTTTTTTTTGAGACAGGTTTTTGCTTTGTTGCCCAGGCTGGAGTGCAGTGGCATGAACTTGGCTCACTGCAACTTCCACCTCCCGGGCTCAAGCCATCCTCCCATCTCAGCTCTGGAGTAGCTGGGACCATAGATGCACCATGCTTAGCTAATTTTTGTATTTTTTGTAGAGATGGGGTTTTGCCATGTTGCCCAGGCTGATCTTGAACTCCTGGACTCCAGTGATCTACCTGCCTTGGCTACCCAAAGTGCGGGGATTACAGGCGAAAGCCACTGTGCCCCGCCCTGTTTTGCATTTTGTGTTTATCATTCCTTTGCTTTAAAAAAGTTTTATCACACACATATATATATGTGTATACCTAAATAATACACCGTTTACTTTCACTTGTTTTTTGGCATTATATCAATGGGACTCATATAGTATTTTTTCATGAGTTGCTTTTTTCACTCATGTTTTTAAGATTAACCACTGTTGTAGTTTGTGGCTGAATTCTGTATTTCCCTGTGTTACAATATTCCACTGTGAAGAAAATTTTCATTATATGAATATACCACAGTTTTTTTATTCTGCTGTCAGTAGACTTGGATTGCTTCCGGTTTAAATAATTGAGCTTATTGCCCTGAGGCTCTCTTTGCTCTTATTTATTGATCTGAAGCTTAGAGTTTTTCTAGGGTTTCCTGGGAAGAACCAGTATCTAAATACATGTTTATAGGTCTGTGGTTTTCTCTGCTGTTTTCTCCATTAATCTGATCAAATTTACATGTCTTCTAATGATTTCTAAAAATTTGTGATCTGCTAACATTGTCCTTTCCTGTTTTCTGTCTATCATGATTTTATTCTCACAAACCAAAAATAAATAAATAAATAAATAACGTTTTTTTTCTATCACTTAAATGTGATTATTTTTTATTATTTATTTATTTATTATTTTTTGAGACAGGGTCTCATTTTTCACCCAGACTGGAGTGAAGTCGCCCGATCTGGGCTCGCTGCAGCCTGGACCTCCTGGGCTCAAGTCATCCTCCCACCTCAGCCTCCTAAGTAGATGGGACTACAGGCATATGCCACCATGCCTGGTTAATTGTTTTGTATTTTTTGTAGAAACGAGGTTTCGCTACATTGCCTGCTGGTCTTGAATTCCTGAGCTCTAAATGTGATTATTTTATATGGAAGGTAGATAAATCCCAGTGTTCAGTCTTCCATCTTAGGCCAGAGGTTCTCTTCCTTGTCTTTCTTTGCATGTTATTCTTAGTTTTTGCTTGACATTTTATCTTCAAGGATTTACTTAAGTGTACCTTGTCTTAGACGCCTTCCCTGACTGCTTCTTTCTTTCTTACATTCTGTGTTTGTCTCTGTCATTGTGTATTGTACTGGCTCATCTCATTATTAGACAGTCAATGCCTGATGGTGAGGAATTTTGTTTTTACCCTTTTTATCCTTAACGCAGCATGGTGGTATCTGATATGTAAAAGGTGTTAAATAAATGCTTATCGAGTAAATACATGAAAAAATTAGTATAAATGGGGCTGGATGCGGCGGCTCATGCCCGTAGTCCTAGCACTTTGCGGGGCCAAGGTGGGTGGATTGCTTGAGCCCAGGAGTTCAAGACCAGCTTCGGTAACATGCCAAAACACTGTCTAAAAAAATACAAAAATTAGCTAGGTATGGTGGCCTGTGCCTGTGATCCCAGCTACTCTGGAGACTGAGGTGGGAGGATTGCCTGAGGCCAGGTGGTCGAGGCTGCAGTGAGCTGAGATCGTGCCACTGCACTCTAGCCTACACAACAGAGTGAGACCTTGTCTCAAAAAAAAAGGGGGGGGGGAGATGGGAGTGGTCTGTAATAGATACCTAGTCATCAAACTGGCACAGTAGTTTTGCAGATAAGAATCGGGAGCTTGACATGGTGGCACATGCCTGTAATCCCAGCCACTCAGGAGGCTGAGGTGAATTACTTGAGCCCAAGAGTTTAAGATCAGCCTGGGCAGTAAAGCAAACTGTCTCAAAAAAAAGCAGAATAATCTTCCTGCGGTGCTACCAGTCTGTGGGGGATTTCATTTTCATAGAGATGTAACTGCTTTTTAGTTCATAAAGGCAGTTTTGGAGACTGATATACCAAATATTTTATAGAAAAGAAAAGCAACAGTTTAATTTTGTGTGATTTTGCTTTAATATTAAGCTGACATGACTGCTCTGTATATTGAGGGATACATTTATCTTAGGCTAAGACTTCTGATATGATAGAATGTTTAAATACTTAAAAACTGAGAAATAGGGGAGGCTGAGTGGTGAGTTGTATGTCTTTAACTACTAAAATGTGTTTTTTGAATAGGTATATTTATGTAGTTCAAAATTTAAAAATACAAACAGCATATATTATGAAGTGTTCTTACCTTCATTTCCCTCCAGCTGTTCAAAAACGGATTAGCTTTTGGGGTTCCCTCTCCAGAGCAACCAATTTTATTAGTTTACAAATAGTGTTAGTTGTGTGTGTGTGTGTGTATACTTGTACTTGGATTTTTTTTTTTTTTTTTAATTCTGCTAAGCTGATTACTTGTATTGGTGTAAAGAACAGCTGAATCAAAATGTGTGTGTGTTTTTTTCCAGATACATCAAATTACAGAATGGCTTGCAGGCGCTTTTGATTTCAGACCTAAGTAATATGGAAGGTAAAACAGGAAATACAACAGATGATGAAGAAGAAGAGGAGGTGGAGGAAGAAGACGAAGATGATGACGAAGATTCTGGAGCTGAAATAGAAGATGATGATGAAGAGGGTTTTGATGATGAAGATGAGTTTGATGATGAACATGATGATGATCTTGATACTGAGGATAATGAATTGGAAGAATTAGAAGAGAGGGCAGAAGCTAGAAAAAAAACTACTGAAAAACAGGTGCGAGTCATGTCTGTTTTCTTCTAATTTGGGAATTCTTTGGAATAACTTCTAAACTCAAGCTTTATTTCTTAATGGCAAAAAGGAAGTATATACTTATCTTTTGGTCTTTAGTAAAGGTCTATTCTGTATCAGGATTACATTTTGAAAACATTTTGCTCCAATTATAAAAGTAATAAATGCTCATTATATAAACTAATGGAATGTAAAGAAAACAAAAATATAAAAATCATCCATAGCTGTATCTCTCAGAGGTAAGCAACACTCAGAGTTATTTGAATTTATGTGTATTTGTATACATTATATATTTTAAAAACAAATACTGGTAGATGAGGAGCTGTCAAATTCCTAGCCTGGATTAGAGAAATAAGAGTATGTTATCCTTGGTGAGACTGGAAAAAGAAGAAGAAAAGAATGGGGCTAGTGTGAAATCTTTACATGGGCCTAGGGCTCTAAGAGTTATTGTATGGGTAGTTTCTATATAGATAATTGAGTTTGGTTTAGCTCTCTATATGGGAAAGCAAAGGTCTGGACAAATACTTTGGAAGAGTTGAAATAGAAACTGGGCAGTTAAGCTTATTTAATATGTAACAACAATCAGTGGATAGATAAATAAGGCTTGATAGGGAGAATTTCTTAATATCTTTTGAAGAATATCTCCATTTTCATAGTAGGGAATACCCAGAGGATAATTTTTGGAGCCATTACAGTGGAATTGACCAGCAAAAGTTGGTTAAAGCTAGTTTCTTGAATATTGATAATATATTCAACATGGTACAGTCTACATACAAAAAGGCCGAGATGGGCAGATCACTTGAGTCCAGGAGTTCTGAGACTAGGCTAGGTAATGTGGTGAAACACTGTCTCCCTAAAACATTAAAAAAAAAAAAAAAATTAGTTGGGTGTGGTGTTGTATGCCTGTGGTCCCATCTACTTGAGAGACTGAAGACGGGAGGATCACCTGAGCCCAGGGAGGCTGAGGTTGCAGTGAGCCTTGATTATATCACTGCACTCCACCCTGGCTGATAGAGTGAGACTTTGTTTCAAAAAAAGTCTCAAAAAAAAAAAAAAAAGAAAAAGAAGAAAAGTGGTCACCCTTAAAGATGGGAAGAGTTGAGGTATAAGTAGTAGATATGATTTAATAGTCATTCATCTTGGAAAAAATTATTTTTTTTAAAAGGGAGTTGTACCAGTTTTTTACTAAGTTGTTGGATTGAGTCATATTTTTAAGAAACTTTTTGCTGTTTACTACTCAGATTATTAGTGATCCTGTTTTTGGGTAGCATGATAGACCAAGTATTAAATAGTTTTAACTTGGAAAGCTGTAGAGATGAACACCAAAACACTGGGGGGAAAAAAGGTATATATATATGTCACTTGATAGTCTGTATGCTAAGGTCTCTATGAACAGATTGGAAATCAATAGATTCACTTTTAACTTAAAATAGATCTCATAATTCCAAATAGAGCATTAATAGAAAGGAAGAAATTATAAAAGTCACAAAACAAAAAGAACACTGACAGGAAACCTGGGTTCTAATTCTGGCTCTGTTCCTGTCTTTCTGCATGATTTTAGGTGTTTTCATTTTCTTTTTTTTCTTCTCAGTTTTAAAACAAGAATATAAAATTCTGAGGCCCATTTTAGCTCTAAGCCTGACCATAAACAAGAATATAAAATTCTGAGGCCCATTTTAGCTCTAAGCTTGACCATGTTATAACTTCTTAACCGAATACTTCTTATCTATATATTTTTTTCTATATCTTTCCATCTATCTATAAGTAGCTTTTCCCATGATCCAACTTCTTTATATGTCCTATTAACTGACAAAGCATTTTACAACAATTAAAAATTGTTTTGACAGGCATTTTAAATGTCAAGACATTATAGCATACTTTAGATTTACACAGCAATTGTGAACACCTCTGACAAATGAACATGTGTGTTCAGCCTTTTTGGCACCCCTTTTTGTTTTGCTTAGGTAGATCAAATTCTAAGTTGATCTTTTCTAGCAGCAGGGTCGGTGTCTAGTGATCATTTTTAAAATGGCTTAGATGCTACCTTTCTTTTCTGATAACTCAGTGTGATATAATCCTTATAAGATATTGACTGCTAATTTTACGGATTATCCTACTGGGACAGTGGAACCTAAGTAGTTTGAAGACGAGATCAAATTGTTTTGATTCAGAAGCAATGGGTTCACTAGTGAAAGGAAAGTCCCATGATCGTAAGTGGTAGATGTTTATATTTGTTGAATAACTTTCTGAAAAAAGGAAATAAAGTAGATTAGCCTTGGTAAGAGGTGGCTTAAGAGTGGTTTTATAATCTAATTTTTATTTGAAAAATTTGTGAACCTTGTTTAAGGTAAATATGAGAATTAATAAAGGAAGTGAGAAGAAAAATATTTGATCATTTTTTGGATAACATTTACCTAATTAAGAAGTTAACTACTTTTCTGAGGCATCTTTTTTATCCCTCTCCATTTTCCTCCTTCCAAAAGAAGTTGTTCTTGATTTTAAAAGTTTGATAAATTAAAAAGATCGAAATTTAAATATAATATACATTGAATTAAGATTTGTTCAGGGCTTTCTTAATTCAATTCTCAAGTATGAATTTCTCAGGTATGAATTTTTTAGGTAGAAAATTCTCAAGTATGAATTTCTTTTCTAGCAATCGCAGAGCCTGTTTTTGCTGTGGTCAAAGCTGACTGATAGACTGTGGTTTAAGTCAACTTATTCAAAAATGTCTTCAACCCTGCTGGTCGAGACAAGAAATCTTTATGGGGTAGTTGGAGCTGAAAGCAGGTTAGGCACCTATTAAAACATCACAGAACAGGTTAGATTGTGGTTTGGAGAACTGGATATTCCCCAATGTTTTAACTGAGTTTATGTGCCTAAGTCTTCAAAACGGGGTTTATAGTATCAAGCGAGGCTGTTTGGTTCTTCTGAAAACACACTTTCATTTTCTGAAACATGGCTAGACTTTATGCTAGGTACATGCTATTTTTGAAAAGCTCTTTTTTTAAGAGGGTAACTTTATCAAAACAATCTGTTTCACCAAATATGTTAGCCCTGTAAAATTGACATTTTCAAAGTTTGAAGAAAACAAACAAATTTGGGAAAGTTAATAATTCACCTTTCTATCTTCAAGGATTCAAATTGACTGTTTTTTTCTCCTGTTTTTGTCTTTTAACTTACTGTAATTATGCCCCAATACTTCGGGTGCAGTGGCTCACGCCTATAATCCCAGCACTTTGAGGGGCTGAGGTGGAAGGATTGTTTGAGTCCAGGAGTTTGAGACCAGCCTGGGCCTCATAGCAATACCCCGTCTTAATAAACAAAACAAAACAAACAAACAAAAAAACAGTAATTTGAAGTGCAATTTGGTGTACCTCTTGGCCATCAATTTTGTTAAAAACTCTGATTTTCCCAAAGTATTGGGAGAATATATACTGATAAGTAATGTATGCTATATATCTTCTTTTTTGCTTTTTTTTTTTTTTTTTGAGACGGAGTCTCGCTGTGTCTCCCAGGCTGGAGTGCAGTGGCGTGATCTCAGCTCACTGCAAGCTCTGCCTCCCGGGTTCACGCCATTCTCCCGCCTCAGCCTCCCGAGTAGCTGAGACTACAGGCGCCCGCCACCATGCCCGGCTAGTTTTTTGTATTTTTAGTAGAGACGGGGTTTCACCGTGTTAGCCAGGATAGTCTCCATCTCCTGACCTCGTGATCCACCCGCCTCGGCCTCCCAAAGTGCTGGGATTACAGGCTTGAGCCACCGCGCCCGGCCTATATCTTCAATTAGAAGTGAAGAACTAAAAAGCCTTTTTAACATTTAGTTATATTTTTTAATAGCTACTGATTTTATCTTTTTTATCACTTACTATTTTTGTTAGATGTTTTCCTAAAATGTTATCTTATTCTATCTTAACAAAATTTTCTGAGTTACATGTTGAGAGGTTTCACATCTAGTAACTGAGTCACTCAACACAAAGCTTTTAATTGCTTAGAGACCTTCAGAGATATCTACCTAGATATGTTACTTCCGCAGATTTCCAAAATCTAATAATTCAGGGGAAAAACTTGGTTCAGAATTCTGAAATGCTGACGTGAAGTGGTATTTGGGTGGGCTGTCCAGTCCCTCTTCCCTTTTTTTCTGTCTGTTTCTGCTTTTTTTCCTTAGGTCTGCACCTGTTCAGCATTTGGCAGGATGGCAAGAGGAGGAGCAGCAGGGTGAAACTGACACAGTTCTGGTGAGTTTCACTTTGCTGCTCCTCCTGATTCTCAGGGAAAGAATTTTGTTACTCTTATTGGAAAGCATCCATCTCCAAATGAATCCTTAAGATAAGATGCGAATATTATTCCTTTAGGGTTGACTCAACTATTTGTATGTGTTCTAATTACTCCAGTCTGCAGCGGCTCTTTGTGTTGGAGTTGGGAGTTTTGCTGATCCAGATGACCTGCCGGGGCTGGCACACTTTTTGGAGCACAGTAAGAATTTGTAAAATATCATTCCCTGGTGTGTGGTTTTTTTTTCCACCTCTGAACTTATATGAATTGATGTCAGAGATTCATAATTGATTTGGCAGAAGTATAATATATTTAGCAAGAGAAAAGGCTAAGAAAAAATCCTTGATTTATGAATATCATGGGGAAAACTTAATCTGAGTGTACTTATATTGAAAATTAGAATGAAACCACATAGAAAACTTTTAAACTGTAGATGTCACTATTGTTGAGCTGTGTTAAGGCCAACAGATCAGGAAATGATTGCCATTTTCCAGGAAATGGCCAGTCCTGGGGAGGGCAGTCCCTTCCAGGGTTAGCAAGGCCCCTAGCCAAAGCATCAGAACTATGGGAATTCCCTGGGTGAGGTGGCTCACACCTGTAATCCCAGCACTTTGGGAGGCTGAGGTGGGTGGATCACTTGAAGTCAGGAGTTCGAGACCAGCTGGCCAACATGGTGAAACCCCGTCTCTACTAAAAATACAAAAATTAGTCGGGTATGGTGGCATGCGCCTGTAATCCCAGCTACTCGGGAGTCTGAGGCAAGAGAATCGCTTAAACCTGGGAGGTGGAGGTTGCAGTGAGCTGAGGTTGTGCCACTGTACTCCAACTTGGGTGATAGAGCGAGACTCCGTCTCAATAAAAAAAACAGAAAAAAACTAGAAATTCAAAAGGCATGATTAATATAAAAACAAAACAATAGAAACTTTTCATTTAATTTGGAATGTGCCTAAATAAAACCTATGTGGGGCCAGGCATGGTGGCTCACTCCTGTAATCCCAGCACTTTGGGAAGCCAAGGCAGGTGGATCACCTGAGGTCCGGAGTTTGAGACCAACCTGGCCAACATGGTGAAACCCCATCTCTACAGAAATGCAAAAGTTAGCTGGGCATGATGGCACACACCTATAATTCCAGGCACTCTGGAGGCTGAGTCAGGAGAATTGCTTGAACCCGAGAGGCAGAGGTTACAGTGAGCCGAGATCGCGCCATTGCACTCCAGCCTGGGCGACGGAGTGAGACTCCAGCTCAAAAACAAACCAAAAAACCCTATGTGGATGTTATATAGTTACAAATATTTATTTTTATTTTACAAATATTTATTTTAAATTACTCATTTTTTAATGGTCTGGTTTTCTAAAGTATTTGAGGGTACTTCTTACTTTGTAAATTTTTATAGTAGCAATTAATCTGCATATGTTTGTGCTTAAATTTTAATCTCCTTAAATTTAATTAAAGAGATTAAATTGTAAAAGCAGTAGCAGTTAATCTGCATACATGTTTGTGGATTTGTTTGAATTTTAATCTAATTAATTAAAGATACATTTTAACCTATTTAGATTTAAATCTTTTTGATCTCTTTATAAATTTTATGTTTGTCTTATCTTTCTTTAAAGATGAAATATTTGTTTTTTTTTTTAGTATAAAAGTAACACGAGCGTTATAGAAAGTTACAAAAACAAGTATAATTAAGAAAGTATTATTTAGGGTCGGGTGTGGTGGCTCACACCTGTAATCCCAGCACTTTGGGAGGCCGAGGTGGGCAGGTCACTTGAGGTCAGGAGTTGGAGACCAGCCTGGCTAACCTGGTGAAACCCCATGTCTACTAAAAATACAAAAATTAGCTGGGCATGGTGGCACATGCCTGTAATCCCAGCTACTTGGGAGGCTGAGGCACAAGAATCACTTGAACCCAAGAGGCAGAGGTTGCAGTGAGCCAAGATTGCATCACTGTGCTCCATCCTGGGCAACAGAGTGAGACTCTGTCTCAAAGGAAAAAAAAAATTCAGACATAACCATTTGATGTGTTGATCTATTTTCTTTCAGTTTTTCTTTGCATATAAGAAAGTTTATACATGATGAAAATATTGTCTATATCTTTGTGTTGTGTGACTTTGTGTTCTTTCCATTTAGTGGTATTCATGGGTAGTTTGAAATATCCAGATGAGAATGGGTTTGATGCCTTCCTGAAGAAGCACGGGGGTAGTGATAATGCCTCAACTGATTGTGAACGCACAGTCTTTCAGTTTGATGTCCAGAGGAAGTACTTCAAGGAAGCCCTTGACAGGTAACTAACTCTAAATATATTTTAATTTTAATGATCTAATAACACTTTGCAAATGTAAATAGAGTATTCTTGTACTGTAGAATTGTCACAGTACTTTACTTGGACCAGGCATGGTGACTCATGCCTGTAACTCAAGTACTTTAGGAGGCTGAGGTAGAAGGAGCGCTTAAAGCCAGGAATTTGAGACCAGCCTGGACAAAATAGTGAGAACTTGTCTTTACAAAAATAAGTAAATAAAAAATTAACCAAGCATGATGATGAGTGCCTGTAGTCCTTGCTACTCAGGAGGTTGAGGTGGAAGGATTGCTTGGGTCCAGGAATTCGATGCTGTAGTGAGCTACATTCACACCACTGCACTCCAGTCTGGGTGACAAAACTTTATTTGGAGAAAAAAGCTGTTAAACTATTAAATACACTTTGACTCTTATTCTATTATACATAGTCTTTGTATTAAAGATTAAAATAAAACTCAACACCTTTTGGGTTTTATTAATTTTATTAATAATGTATTCTCTATTGACTCATTATTTTATATATATATATATATATATTTTTTTTTTTTTTTTTAAAAGAGATATGGTCTTGCTGTGCTGCCTAGGCTGGAGTGCAATGGTATGACTGGCCATCAATTGCATGACTGCATGGCTCAGTGCAACCTCAGTCTCCTGGGCTGAATGTGCCACCACCCCAGTTAACTTTCAAATTTTTTGTAGAATTGGGGGTCTCACTGTATTGCCCAGGCTGGTTTCAAACTCCTGGCCTCAAGTAATCCTCCTGCCTCAGCCTCTCAAAGTGCTGGGATTATAGGTGTGAGCCACTTTGCCCAACCATTTAAAAAACAGAATTTAGTAGAAAATACGGAGAAACAGAGAAGCAAAAAAAGGATAAGATTGCCTCTAATTTTACAATCTAGAGATAACCACCACTGATGTTTTGGTATAGACCCATCTATATTTATTAACGTATACTGATCATATTGTTCATACCCTTTTATAATTAATTTTTTGTTTGTTTGTTTGTTTGTTTTTGAGACGGAGTCTTGCTCTGTCACCAGGCATGAGTGCAGTGGCGCGATCTTGGCTTACTGCAACCTGCGCCTCCCAGGTTCAAGCAATTCTCTTGCCTCAGCCTCCCGAGTAGTTGGGACTACAGGCATGCGCCACCACGCCCAGCTAATTTTTATATTTTTAGTAGAGACAGGGTTTCACCATGTTGGCCAGGATGGTCTAGATCTCTTGACCTCGTGATCCACCCACCTCGGCCTCCCAAAGTGCTGAGATTACAGGCGTGAGCCACCATGCCCGGCCTATAATTAATTTTAAACAAGATATATCATTTTAACTTATATAATTTATAAAACATGATTTTTAGTGATTATATGTTATTTACATTGTATAGAAGTACCATAAGGTGTTTAACGAGTTACATGTGATTGGACACTTGAGTTGTTTCCAGTTTTCTAATACTGTAATGGTGTGATGACTATCGTGATCTCTGTGAATATTCTTAATTATTTCTATTAAGTTCTAAGAAGTGAAATTGCTGAATATATTTGCAAATATAATTTTAAGACTTGTTTTTTTTTTCTTTAAGCTTTCGAAATTCATTGCAAAATTGTTTTCCAGAAAGTTTGTCAGTACAATAGTAGAAGTTTGAGATTATATGGTTGCAAACCAAAGTCTATACTGGAAAAAAGTAGAAAAGTAGAAAAAAGTTATACCTAATTCTAGATATATGCAAGATTGAAATGTTAAAAAAAAAAAAGAAAGAAACCTCACATTTGTCTAGTATGATGCAAGCTCCTTCAGAGTAGGAATTTTTGTCTATTTTTTGTTAATACATCTGCAAATCAAGAATTTGGTAAATACTCAGATTTGTTAAATGAATTAATGCAGTTCCTTTATAGCAAAAATTACCATAAAATCAAAAGATAAATGACCAAAAAAAAATTGCAAAACATGGCAGAGATCTAATATTTAAAAAAAAATTGGCCTGGTGCGGTGGCTCACACCTGTAATCACAGCACTTTTGGGGGCCGAGGCGGGGGGATCACTTGAGGCCAGGAGTTCGAGGTCAGCCTGGCCAACACGGTGAAACCCTGTCTCTACTAAAAATACAAAAATTAGCTGGGCTTGGTCGCATGTGCATGTAATCCCAGCTACTTGGGAGGCTGAGACAGGAGAATCGCTTGAATCCAGGAGGTGGAGGTTGCAGTGAGCTGAAATTGTGGCATAACGCTCCAGCCTGAGTGACAGAGTGGGACTCTGCTCAAAAACAAAATAAAAAAGGTAAAAAGAAAATATCTCTTTTCTTAAGAGATTAATTTGATCTCGAAAAATCTTTTGGACATATTCCTATAAATTGGAAGCATATGCCACTATTTTTTTTTTTTTCTTTTTTGGAGACAGAGTCTCACTCTGTTGCCCAGGCTAGAGTGCAGTGGTGTGATCTTAGCTGACTGCAACCTGATGCCTATAGTTGAGCACTTTGGGAGGCCAAGGTGTACGGATCACTTGAGCCCAGGAATTTGAGACCAGCCTGGCCAACATGGTGAAACCCCATCTCTACTGAAAATACAAAAATTAGCTGGGTGTGGTGAAGCAGGCCTGTAATCCCAGCTGCTTGAGAGGCTGAGGCACGAGAATTGTTTGAACCTGGGAGACAGAGGTTGCAGTGAGCTGAGATCGCACCACTGTACTCCAGCCTCGGTGATGGACCGAGACCCTGTCTCCAAAAAAAAAAAAAAAAAAAAAAAAAAAGAAAGATAAATTAGTGAAGGCAATGCAAATGGTGCCTGAGATGATCTTTCCTATAAATTTAGACAGGATCAGCAATACCTTCAGAGGAGACTTTAACTATATAACTCTGAAGAAAACTGCATCTTTGCTCTTGTTACAGAGTTTCTCAGCTCTTAAGTTTTACAAAATCCAAACAGGTCTTTGTATGTGTGAAGAAATCTTAAGCAGAAGACAAGTTGAATTTTTACAACTTTATATTTAGCTATGTCCATATATAAAGAAGGAAAAATAACTGATTATATTGGGGAAAAGGATAGGCAAATAGTATGTATGATATGAATACATTCTGGCTATCTCAGAGATTATGAAATTTGATATAAAATGTAATTAAGAAGTTTGTTTTGTTTCCTTTTAAAGAGTTGTTCTAAATATATTTTGTACAAGGACTGCTTCAGCATCTAAGAATATCACCTTACACATTTGTTTTTATTTAAAAAGAAAGCCACCCAATTAATAAGAAGAAAGCCACTGCATTAATAGGATAAATTAATGAGAATATCGAATCATAAATTTTTACCATAAGTAGAGCATTATAGGATGCAAATACTATAATAAATGCTATAATATTATACTTCTACAATGTATAAGGAATGAAAAGCCTTTATACATGTGTAATATGCTCTTATATAACATGGATTAAGTACCTGTTTTTAATAGGTTAGCAAAATCTGATTCCCTCACACAGGCCACATTGTTTATAAGTATCTTGGATCATTTAAATAAACAGCTGAGGAAATGACTAAATTTTTACTCCAGTAAGTGAGCATGGAAGCCATCTTTACCATGGTGGCATCTTCTATTTTCAGTAAATTTGAACTTTATTTTATCAGTATTTCATGGTAAGAGTGACAAATACCAAAGCTTAGGATGTCCACTTCTAACAGGAAACCCTCCCCATTATAAGCTGGGAATACAGAATCTTCACCTTCAGCTTGTGGAAATGGATGAGGCATCCTGGGTAGTTACAGCCTAGATTCCAAGTGCCTAAGTATTATGGGGAACCCGAAGTCTTGATTGTGGCTTCATGGGCCAGAGCTGGTAGTGTTCCCAGGAGCCTGGGAGAAGCAAACATAAGCCCTCTCAAAAGGAAGATGCCTTCCTCCTAGGCCCTAAATTGTTACAAATATTTTTTCAAGTAAAATAACCAACATTCAGTCAAAAATAAGCAGGTACTCAGGAAAATAATGCAACATGATTGAGAACAGATGACACAAACAGGTTCTTAGACATCTCAAGTATTGGCATAGTTACACACAATTTCTAAAATAATTATACTTTCTATTTTTTAAGAAAGGCCAGACGCGGTGGCTCATTGCCTGTAATCTCAGTATTTTGGGAGGCCGAGGCGGGTGGATCACCCGAGGTCAGGAGTTTGAAACCAGCCTGGCTAATATGGTGAAACCCCATATCTACTAAAAATACAAAAATTAGCTGGGTCCGGTGGCGGGCGCCTGTAGCCCCAGCTATTCAGGAGGCTGTGAGGCAGGAGAATCACTTGAACCTGGGAGGCAGAGGTTGCAGTGAGCCAAGGTAGTGCCACTGCACTCCAGCTTGGGTGACAGAGCGAGACTCCATCTCAAAAAAAAAAAAAAAAAAAGAAAGGACAAATTTGAATATACTTGCAAGGAAAAAGAAACTGTAAATATGACCTAGGAGATTTGTAAAATGAAAGGATACATCTGGAACTGAACTATGATAAAAAATTGAAAAAGTAATGGACAAGTTTAAGAGTAAATAGAGTTGAAGATAGAATTAGTAAGCGAGAAGATAAACCAGAAGGAATTAACCCAAATATAGCATAAAGAACATATATAACCCAAATATAGCATATAGCACAAAATTAAAAATACAAAGAATATAAGGCATAGAGGATAGAATGAAAATATCCCATATATTTTACTTGGAGTCCTAGAAGGAGGAGAGAGAAAATTGAAGTAGAGACAACATTTGAAGGGTTGATCACTGGAAAATTTTCAGAACCTGTTGTAAGACATCAAATCAGAGATTAAAGTCTAATAACTTCCAAAAGGATACATTAGAAGAAATATAGAAAATTTTTGCCAGATAAACGAGAAAATTTTCTTCAAAGGAAGATGAGTTACACTTACAGATGACTACTTAACCTCAGTGCTCTGAAGAAAAATAACTACCAACTAATAACTAGAATCACAAATTGTACACTAAATAAAAATATCTTTTAGGAATGTTAGTAGGCTGGGCATGATGACTCATGCCTATAATCCCAGCACTTTGGAAGGCCAAGGCAGGTGGATTACTTGAGCCCAGGAGCTGGAGGCCAGCCTGGGTAACATGGTGCAGGGAAAAAGTTAGCAGGGCATGATGGTGCATGCCTGTAGCCTTAGCTACTTGGGATGCTGAGGTGGGAGGATCACCTGAGCCTGGGGAGGTCAAGGCTCCAGTGAGCCATGATGTGCCACTACACACTCCAGTCTGGGTGACATAATTAAATAAAATTAGTTTCATTATTTAAGTCAACAGAAATTATCCAACCCATCATTAATCATACCAAGTACTGAAAAGAAAAAAAATGCCCCAGTATATCTAGCAGGTAGTTAAGTTAAAAGTTACCTTATTGCAAGCAAAAGTTAAAAATTTATTAAGCCTGAGCAATGTAGGGAGACCCCGTCTCTACAAAAAATTTAAAGATTAAAAAAAAAAATAGTAGTGCACATCTCTAGTCTCAGCTACTTCGGAGGTTGAGGCAGGAGGATTGCCTGAACCCGGCAGTTTGAGGCCACAGTGAGCAGTGATTGTGGCACTGCATTCTAGCCTGAGTGATAGAGTGAGACACTATATAAAAAAAAAAAAAAGTTAACATTTTAGGAAATTAATTTTTTAAATTGTTTTATTTTGCTGGAAAAACACCAATTTTTGAATAATTTTTAACAATTTAATTGCATTGCTATTATATATTTATATAAGTGGAATTTGTATGTGTAATTTGATACATCACAGTTTATATAATTAAAAATTAATTTAAAAAGCAGATAAAATTATAAGATTAACTTAAATACCAAGTCTTTAAAATTCTGATTTAACTTTTAACTGAAATGTTTTTAGTCATTTGTAACCTTGCATTGAATTTAAAAAGTAAGCTTTATGTACTCTCTCTATAAAAACATAGATATACATAACATTACATAAATAGACTATCTGTGGTATTACAGTTTTACAAAGGAATGAATAGGAGAAAATTTCTGAAAAGGCTCCTAAGGGTTGATAATGGAAATACAAAGGGCTGATAAATATTGGTTTAGAAATAGATATATAGGTAATAAAACTATAAAGAAAAGGAGAGAAATTACTACTATACATTCAGGATATTTCATGAGGTAAGGGTGTGAGCCAAGTGCTTCTAGAGTGTTGACTATGGTCTGTTTCTTCACCTGGGTGGGCCACTCAGATGTCGTTTATATGTTCATATTTTATTAACTTTTCTGTATGATTGTTATTAAATATATTTCACAATGAAAAAGTTAAAGTAACATGTGTAGATATTCGTTTAAAATACAGAAATGCAGATTATTTAGATTTTATATACTTAGGATTGTGAATTAAATCTCCAACTTAGTAAGTTTCTTAATTAAAATAATAGATGTTGATTGATGAAAGTGAACAAAAACAGAAATGCCAGTTTTGTTTTTTGTTCAGATGGGCCCAGTTCTTCATCCATCCACTAATGATCAGAGATGCAATTGACCGTGAAGTTGAAGCTGTTGATAGTGGTAAGAGGAGTACTTTATGTGTAACTACAGTTTTTTCCTTCATGAAACCAATTACTTATTACATTTATCCTTCTCTATCTCTAGACCATTTTATCTTTATATTTTAAAGTACTAAATTGAAATATGTGTTGTGTTTATTCCTGAAGTCATTAAACGTCTAATTCAGTGTAGATTTGAAGTAAATGAAAGGGATAGTGGATTTTAGTTTTTTCATCCTTTGTTTTTTGAAGGTTTTACCATAGGGGCTAATCTTTTGAGATTCAAAGATTGAAGACTATAGAGGAAAACAATGTGCTTATATAGGGTGAGGCTTCATTATAGCTCTGTGCTATAAATATTCCTTAATTACATAGTACCAATAAATATCACCATTGTATATTATCCCTGCTTGATTTATTTAGGTATTAGAAACATTTAATACTAGACTTGAGGGGACTTCCAGTTCATATAGGTTAGGCTTGGCTTATAGCGAGTGCAAGTCTCTGTATTTGTTCCACTTTTTGTAGTATTTTCCTCCTTGGTTTGATGCAGTGTCTAGTTCTAATAGTGATTTAAAGCATTTACTAGGCTGAGTAAACTAACAGATGGCTAGAGTGATCTATCTGGAAGTCAGCAGACCCCTGTTTAACTTACAGAAGTGTCTCTAGCTGTGGCATTCAGTTTATTTGTAAAAGAGGATGGAATGGTTAGGCTCCTTCTAGCTATAGTAGCTCCTTGGAAATCAAGGATTTATTTTCTTCATTTTTTCACTTGCCTAGCACAGCGTCTGTTTTACCTTAAACCCAGTTAAAACCTGTTGAATGGATGAAAAAGCAAAACAACTGAGGATAACTGTAAAAGCACTTTCCGTATTTTGAGACTCAAGAACTAGGTGCTTTCTAGTATGTTTTTCTTTATACAGTTTCTAGAGTGGGTTGACACCAGTGTTTAAACAAGCAGACCTTTAAGTAGATTTTATAATTTTAAACCAGAATATATTTTATTATGCTTTGAAAAATTATGCTGAAAGAAATATATATGTATATACAACACAGTATGGAGTTTTGGTTTATGCTGAACTAAAGTAAAAATTCTGTTGTGCTTTTGTTCATTTGTTTCTTTCTTTCTTTTTTTTTTTTTTTTTTTAATGGTAGGAGACGTAGATTTCAATCTGATCCAACAGTTGTAACTGATGCAATAAATTACTTATTAACCAGTTTTGAAAGCTCAGTAATCAGGTGTTATTTTTTTCTAGTCTATTCAGATGGGACAATCTTTCTTCTGTCTTTCAGATTTTACTTGTCTCATTCACATCTCTTTAGTTGTGTGCATGATTGGATGGCCAGGTCCATGTATAAAAAAATGAAGACTGTTGAGCCTTCAACAGCTCTGGCAGATTCATCTTATAGGGTCATTTTCCTTTTCCTTTATTTGTCTCCACCTGCATATGGAAGAGATTCTTTCTGTCCTGGCTTTTAAATTTGTTAACTAGTGGTAACTTCATCACTAGGTTATTGTTCCCTATACTCATATCAGTTTTTGGTCTAATCTTTCAATGGAGGATTTGTACACATACATTTATAAACGTTTATTTGCACAATGCAAGTAGATTTGTTCAGTCTTTTATAATTTCCTTGAATATATTTATTTTTATTTTATTTATTTTTTGAGACACAGTCTTGCTCTGTTGCCCAGGCTGGAGTGCAGTAGTGCAATCTCAGCTCACTGCAGCCTCTAACTCCTGAGCTTGAGTGGTTCTTCTGCCTCAGCCTCCCAAGTAGCTGGGACTACAGGTGCCTGCCACCATGCACAGCTAGTTTTTGTATTTTTAGTAGAGATGGGGTTTCACTATGTTGGCCAGGCTGGTCTTGAACTCCTGACCTCAGGTGATCTGCGTGCTTCAGCCTCCCAAAGTGCTGGGATTACAGGCATGAGCCACTGCACCTTACCTGAATACATTTAATAACAGAAGCTCATATAACATATCCACATGGTAGGTTTTAAAAATAGAATTAATTTGGGAGGCCAAGGCGGGCGGATCACGAGGTCAGGAGATTGAGACCATCCTGGCCAACATGGAGAAACCCCGTCTCTACTAAAATACCAAAAATTAGCTGGGCGTGGTGTTGTGCACCTGTAGTCCCAGCTACTTGGGAGACTGAGGCAGGGGAATTGCTTGAACCCGGGAGGCGGAGGTTGGAGTGAGCTGAGATTAGCACCACTGCATTCCAGCCTGGCGACAGAGCAAGATTCCGTCTCAAAAAAAAAAAAAAAGAAAAGAAAAAGAATTTTTTTATTGCTAAGAGGAGATTATGGAGAAATTATTATTATTATTTTTGAGACCGAATCTTGCTCTGTTGCCCAGGCTGGTGTGCAGTGGCTCTATCTTGGCTCACTGTAACCTCTACCTCCTGGATTCAAGCAATTCTGCCTTAGCCTCCCAAGTAGCTGGGACTATAGGCGAGTGCCACCATGCCCAGCTAATTTTTGTATTTTTAATAGAGATGGGTTTCCCCATGTTGGCCAGGAGGGTCTCGATCTCTTGACCTCATGATCTGCCCGCCTCGGCCTCCCAAAGTGCTGTGATTACAGGTGTGAGCCACCGTACCTGGCCTGGAGAAATTATTATTATTATTGTTTTGAGACAGAGTCTCTGTCACCCAGGCTGAAGTGCAGTGGCGCGATCTTGGCTCACTGCAAGCTCCACCTCCCAGGTTCACGCCATTCTTCTCCCTCAACGTCCTGAGAAGCTGGGACTACAGGCGCCTGCCACCACGCCCTGCTATTTTTTTTTTGTATTTTTAGTAGAGACGGGGTTTCACGGTGTTAGCCAGGATGGTCTCGATCTCCTGACCTCGTAATCCGCCCGCCTTGGCCTCCCAAGGTGCTGGGATTACAGGCGTAGGCCACCGCACCTGGCCGAGAAATTATTTTTAGTAATTGACTTTTTATTTTAATGATAGTTTATACTCATATAAACATATATAATTGTCTACATAGTGTGTCTTACTGATTGAGATGAAAGGCATGTCCAATGCCTTTTTAAATCTTAATTATGTGTCAAAGTGCAGTCTCTAGTTTTATTTACTTCTTTATTTTTAATGTTTGTTTCCTTTCCAAATGTGGTCTCTAAGTGTTCAGCTATTTATACTCTATTTTTATCAGTTACAAGGGGTCTTAAGTCACTTTTCGTAGATATGTTTACATGTCTGCTATATTACCTGTTATTGCAAAAATGTGGTGGCTTGAAATAAAACATTTATTTTCTTACAGTTTTGGAGGAATGGAATCAGGTACATTAGATCTTCCTCAAGGTTATTGAGCTTAGTGTCAGAACTGCAATTCTAGCGGTTTTTAGTCCATTTGGGCTGCCATAACAGAATCCCACACACTGGGTGGCTTATAAACAACAGAATTGTTTCTTACAGTTTTGGAGGCTGAGAAGTCCAAGATCAAAGAACTGGCAGGTGTGTCTGGTGACAGCTCTCTGGTTCATAGACAACTGCCTTCACTCTTTGTCCTCATACAGCAGAAGGGGCAAGGGAGCACTCTGAGGTCTCTTTTACAAGGCACTAATCCATTCATGAGGGCTCTGCCCTTATTACCTAACCATTTCTCATTGGCCCCTACCTCCAAATACCATCACATTGGGGATTAAGTTTCAACGTAGAAATTTTGGGTAGGGGGGACACAAACATTCAGTCTTTAGGGTAGCCAAGGTATTTCTGACTTCAAAGTGATTGTTCTTAGCCATCATACTTTATTACTAACATAGTTGCTTTCGGAAGAAATTTAAACAATATATATGACCAAGTTCCCAGATACAAGGTTTAATATTTTATGAGCATTTTCATCAGTAAAATCTTGTACATAGCATCCTAGAGCTGAAACTTTCAGATCATTAACTACCTTGTGTTTCATTTGAAAAATAAGGGTAAAACTCTGGTAAGCTGAATTGATTTACCCAAAATTACAGGTCATATTAAGTCATAGAGCCAGGCCTGGATCACTGAGTTTCTCACTTCAGTCTTATAACACGTGATTCATAAAGTTAATTTTTGTTACTTCCTTGCTTTCTGTTCTGTAAGTTTGAATTTCCATATAATAAAGGAGATACTGAATTTTGTTTTATTACGTGTTTCTTTAAAATTGACAGAATATCAACTTGCAAGGCCTTCTGATGCAAACAGAAAGGAAATGTTGTTTGGAAGCCTTGCTAGACCTGGACATCCTATGGGAAAATTTTTTTGGGGTAAGATACTAAATACATCATCTTATTTCATATTTTCTTGTTAAGATTTAGAATAAGAAAAGTTGATAAGGAATTGAAAATTATAAAGCTAGAGCCCCTAGGTACCCTTTGCCTTTTAGGATAGCTAGTTAGCCTTTCAAACACGAAGTTGTTAAATATGCCAGTATTTGGTTCTCTAACAATGAATATAGCAAGAATAATACCTTACATTTTGTGAATGCTTTTGAAGTGCCAGATACTATGCTAGCACAACATGAATTATTTCATTTGATCATTATCACAATGTTCAGAGATAGGTACCATTATCATCTCCATTTAAAGATAAACAGGTTTAGGCCAGGCGTGGTGGTTCACACCTGTAATCCCAATGCTTTGGGAGGCTGAGGTGGGAGAATCACTTGAGCCCAGTTCAAAACCAGCCTTGGCAACATAGTGAGACCCCCATCTCTGTTTTAAATTTCAGTCAAGTTATATAATTTGTTTAAATCACACAGCTAGTAAGTGGTGGATGTGAGATTTGGACATCTGTTTATCTGATTATAAAGTCCGCGCTCTACCTCAGCCTGACATGTCCATTTGTCAACAGAGTTAGCAGTGGTTTCTGTAAGAGTTTTTTTAACTGTGACTTAATTTTGTTCATCTGGTAAACTGTTTAACTGGTGTCTGTTTTTCATAATGGCATTTTCTTAGTGGTAGGATTTAGTTACAGCCTCATATTAATCCTGTTGACTACAGAGTAAAATTTAGGACGAGATGATCTAAATGATTCTTTAAAGGGTGCTTTGTTTCCCTGTATATTTCTGTACAGTTATATACATTTTATAGGGCATTCTTGCTTCATGTGTTTTATTTTTAAGAATTAGCTGGGCACGGTGGCTCACACCTGTAATCCCAGCACTTTGGGAGGCCAAGGCGGGTGGATCATGAGGTCAGGAGTTCGAGACCAGCCTGGCCAAGATGGTGAAACCCCGTCTCTACTAAAAATAAAAAAATTAGCCGGGTGTGGTGGTGCACGCCTGTAGTCCCAGCTACTTGGGAGGCTGAGGCAGGAGAATTGCTTGAACCCAGGAGGCAGAGGTTGCGGTGAGCTGAGATCATGCTATTGCACTCCAGCCTGGGCAACAAGAGCAAAATGCTGTCTTAAAAAAAAAAAAAAAAAAAAGAATTACACAAACCTATTATTAAAATAATTAGAAAGAACCTGGATTGAATACTGCTGGACTAATTATTAAGCAAGGAAGCTTAGGGAGTTATTGTCTGTTTTTTTAAGGTTTTCCCAACCAGAGATTAATTCCTTGGATATTAAAATATACTTCAGAATTGTTTCTTATGCATTTTTGTCTCATTAATGTTAATACATTATTGCACACTGGTTCAATATTCTTGAGTCACTTGGGTTATTTCATTAATCATGTATGGTAGCTAAGTATGCATTGATGATGTAGAACACTTAACAAAGTGAACTTAGTTATATCTATGATTTTTTTCATTCTTTTATAGGAAATGCTGAGACGCTCAAGCATGAGCCAAAAAAGAATAATATTGATACACATGCTAGATTGAGAGAATTCTGGATGCGTTACTACTCTGCTCATTACATGACTTTAGTGGTTCAATCCAAAGGTAACTATTTATTATGGCTCTTAGAGTTACCCTGAAGTAGTGCTTTCTTAGGATTTGTTTGCCTGTATCGGTGTTGCAGTGTACTATTGTACTATTAATTACTTTAGTGCTTGACCTTAATACAAGGTAAAGGAAATCAGAACTTGGAGAAGTCACATAGCTAGTGACAAAGCTCAGGGAAACACAAGATGATGAGATTCTCAAGCAAATCTCTTACAGAAATAGGTCTTATTTGTAAGATAAGATATGTAGGCTGGTCTATGAATGTATTAACATTCTAATAGGTCATGAATTGATCTTTTAAGCCACCTTCAGCTGCAATTGTGTCTGTAGTTTTACATTTACTCTATAGTAATTACAAACTCTTACAGTGCAAAGTGTTGGTTTGTTCATTCTTACATAAGGTCCTGTAAAAATGGCATGATTAATTGAGATTGATCATGGTGACAATGGTAGAAGTATCTTAAATATAAAATACTGGTGAATACCTCAGTGGCAGAAGTATCTTAAATGTAAAGATTGATGAATATCTCTATTTTCCTTCTTTGATCATTATCTTCAGTAACTCACATTAACTTTTTCTCATTAAGGAAATCATGGAAGCTTTCTTTTGTTTTCTTCACATTTCAACCTACTTGTTTTTTTTTTTTTTTTTTTTTTGAGACGGAGTCTCACGCTGTTGCCCAGGCTGGAGTGCAGTGGCGCGATCTCGGCTCACTGCAAGCTCCGCCTCCCGGGTTCCCGCCATTCTCCTGCCTCAGCCTCCTGAGTATCTGGGACTACAGGCGCCCGCCACCGCGCCCGGCTAATTTTTTGTATTTTTAGTAGAGACGGGGTTTCACTGTGGTCTCGATCTCCTGACCTTGTGATCCGCCCGCCTCGGCCTCCCAAAGTGCTGGGATTACAGGCTTGAGCCACCGCGCCCGGCCCAACCTTCTTGTTTTTCAAAGTCAGTAAATTGCTAAATTATTCCATTTAACATACCTTATAGTTTGCACATTTCTGTTTGAAAGGCTAATCCTCTCACCCTAATGTGATTCCCCTTTTTATAAAGTTTGCTTTTTACATTGCCAAAATTAAGATCAAATCTGACTTGGTACTTACATGTAAAACATTTTTGCATTTATGATCAAAATGAGTTCACTAAAGTTGACTTGAAGGTAAAGTTACATGGTATGGTAGATTCTTTTGTTCAAATTGCTTCTAGGTTCCTTTTACATTTGCTAAATTAGGTAATTCCATATTTGGTATACAAGTTAATTCATGATTTTTGATTATTGTGTTTGCAAATAATTCCATGTGTTTTTCTTGAACTAGTTATTCCGTTTCTTTTGTATTTTCTTCCTCTGTGATGACAGATATAAGAGCTTATTAATGCTTATTTCAAAATTTTAAAACAAGTCCTAGAGTTTTTGTTGTTTAACAAGACAGGGTTTTGCTTTGTCATTCAGGCTATAGTGCAGTGACACAATCATAGCTCACCGTAGCCTCAAATGCCTGGGCTCAGGTGATCCTCCTGCCTCTGCCTCTGAGATAGCTGGGATTACTGGCCCCAGCCACTGTGCCTAGGCTAGAGTTTTGATGAAAACTATGTACAATGTAGATTTCATAGAATTTAGAGTTTAAGCATTAATTATACCATTTAAGAGTCAAACATCTATATAAATAGTATAATATAGATTCAGAAGTCCATTAGTCTAAATCCCATGTTTTATATAATGGGGTTCTGTATTGAGAATTAGTGAAATTCATGTGCCTGGTAGAACTAACAAATACTCTTCAATGATGGTCACTCAGATAAAGCAAAAAGTTCCCTTTTTCATTTAGATCTTGTTTTTTTACTATAAATTTCAAAAGAATTTCTTATTAAACATAAGAAGTGAATCAAAGGAAAACATAAATCATATATACGTATGATTTATATATATATATAAAGACTAAAAAGAAGACCTATGAGTTAAAACCTCAGCAAGTGTAAATTAATGTAAAACAAGTGGAATATAAAAGTACTGATGAGATGGCAGAAAGGAGAGGTTAATGTAATATGGGTTAGTATGGAGAAGCCTTCCAAGAGGATGTAAGTTTTGTAATGGGCGTAGGATGGTTGGCATAATCTTATCTCTTGGTTCTTCACACTAGCCTAATGCTAAAGATATATTTTTTTTGTTAAACTTGTATGCATTTTCTAACTTTACCAGGGAGAAATAAAGGAGTCTCATAGAATTCTCTGTGTCATAAGGTTTTCTTTTCTACTGTTATTTTTCCTATTAATCCATTCAGGAGTGGCAAGTAATGGCCAAATTAAAATAACCCTTTGTTTTTTAGCTAAAGATCTCTGAGAAATCTAATTGCATTTCTACCTTGAATAATGTCATTGTATTTTCCTGTGTCTTCCCTGTCCTCCCCTCTCAAGAAACACTGGATACTTTGGAAAAGTGGGTGACTGAAATCTTCTCTCAGATACCAAACAAGTAAGATATCTATTTTCATACATCATACACCTTCAGAGTTAAAGAGACCATTATCTTGTATGCTTTTTCATTTTTACACAGGTGATAGAATTAAGACCTAAACAAACTTAATGAATGTCAAAATCACACAGTATTTGAGTGGGTAAACTAAGATGACAAGCCAAGTTTCCATAGTTCAAAATTTACAGGCTTGTAAATGTATATAGTAAGCAATAATTCTGAAAAATTTATGCCTCCTTTTACATTTATTTAGAGCTTTCCTGTGATACAAAAGAAAATACTATCTGAGAGGCAGAAGAATATGCACATTTACATCCCCCTCATTGGGACAAACTGTATTCTGAAAATTTGTTTTTTTTACGTTAGTTGTTTGGATATTGCACTGGTTTTCCCCATAAAAGAAATAATCCTTTAGATGATGACTGACTTTCCATACTGCCTGAAAAACTCCTATTTCATATAGTCAAACCAGATGTTCTTTTATAAGAAATTGTATGTAGAGTTTCAGTTCAGGATGATATAAACATTTTTTCTCCAACTCAAATTCATCAAAATAGTACAAATATTTAAAAGATACATTACTGCTACAGTTTTGTTACAAAGTTTACAAAAAATTTAATTCTGAAGCAATGAAATCTTTCTTTCCATACCTAGTAGTTTGCATTTTAACAAAATTAATGAAAACAGATATTTTTTCTTGCATCGGATGAGTAACCTGTGGATTTTCCCAGTTATTCTTCTAATACATAATTATTTGAAATTTATGAAAGAAACTAGCATAAAATGTTAGAATAATTTATAATGACAACTGATTGGTTATTATTGATTTGGCTTTATATGAATTGCCATTGATAATTAGCAGTGCTTTTTGGTATGTAAAGGTAATCAAAAGCATGAGAAATTTGTGGAGCTTTTTTTTTTTTTCTGATTAGAAGTCTTGAGTGTGAACTATGGAAATGTCAAATGTGAAACTTTAATAAAATCAGAGGTATATTTAATAGAGGAATTAATTAGGTTCTGTCAATCCCTGATGAGCATTAAAAAAAAATCTCATATGTTATTCACTAATAACTTTGGTTCCTTAATTAGACAGGTTAAAAATTCTTCAAGGCATTTAATACTAATTTGCATCGACTGTGTTTTGGAAGAAATATTAAAGTTACAATATCTTCAACCAGAGTAGAAGCCCCTAGGAGGGACCAAGTCTTTTAAATACCACAGTGCCTGATATAGTGCTTTATACCTAATATTCACTTCATGTATAATTGTTGATTTTAAAAAAGTATTATCTCTAGTGTAAGTTTCTTTCTGAAATGGCTTTGTCTAGGAGGAGAACTGAAATTAAATGGGGCTGATAGGTCAGTAAATATTGGGGTGAGAGGGGGTCCTTTAAATTCATTCTTCTCTATCTCTTGAGTTGTGAAGACTTTTGAGTTATTGGGCTGACGCTAAGAACAGATTGTGTAACTGAAGATTTTGTGGCTGTGTTGCCATCTGTTTGTTCATGCCTGGAATGCTTTCCAAGAAGGAGTATGTAGAATAGATTATAAATATCTCTCAGTTAGATATCCCTAAATATATTGCTTATAAAGGCTTTTGCAATTAAATTTGTATGTATTTGTTTTATTTTCAGTGGGTTACCCAGACCAAACTTTGGCCATTTAACGGATCCGTTTGACACACCAGCATTTAACAAACTTTATAGAGGTTTGTGAACCAAAAGTTTAAAACTGTTTGAAATAATTTTAGCACATTCTCCATAACCTAATTGAGGCTGCCAATTTTCATTGAAAATGAGAACACAACAGAAAATGCAGCTGGGTTGGAAAGGGAGTAGATGGGCAATGGAGATCTAATTAATAATAGATAGCAGACCATTGACTAGCTGCAGATTGTTTGATTCTGGTGCCCTGCTGCTACTTCAGTCTATTTCATGCTTTCTCCTTGCTTTACGTTTCTTCCCTTTTGTTCTCCGTTTTGTTAAATTTCATTCATGTTTCATTTTATTTATATTCTGCTCTTTTTGCCTTTAAATGAATGAAAATAGAGGAGAGGGAAAACACTTTGGAAATCGTTTCCTTTTTGTGAAAGCAATATTTGCTAAATAAAAATATAAAATGTCAAGAAATGGGAGAAAAATCACCCTTAAATCTTACCATCAAGAGAAGTCATTTGTATCGGATTTCTTTTTTTTTGTTTTTTGGAGACAGAGTCTCGCTCTGTTGCCCAGGCTGGAGTGCAATGGCACGATCTCAGCTCACTGCTTCGCCTCTCAGGTTCAAGTGATTCTCCTGCCTCAGCCTCCCGAGTGGCAGCGATTACAGGCGCTCACCACTATGCCCAGCTGATTTTTATATTTTTAGTAGAGACGGGGTTTCACCGTGTTGGCCAGGCTGGTCTCGAACTCCTGGCCTCAAGTGATCCGCCTGCCTTCACCTCCCACAGTGTTGGGATTACAGGCGTGAGCCACCACGTCTGGCTTCCAGATTTCTTTCTGATTTTCTAATAGGTATATTTTCTTAACAAAGTTGAGATTAAAATATATATATAATTCTGTCTCCTGCTTTGTTTCATTTAATAGTATACCTGTAATAACTACATAATGAGTTGTGTGATTACATTACAATTTACTTAACAATTTGCCTATAGTGAATATTGCAGAAACATTCTTAATTCACTATCTCTCTTTCTTTATTCTATCATGACAGATTTTTTTTTTTCTCTTTTTACTAATTACTTTAGGTATTCCCTCCTTCTTCAGCCCGTTACCAGTCTCTTTCCTTTTCCTTTCCTCTAATCAGTGACTGTTTTGTTACACCCTTCAGCTGCTGGCTCCGTTCTGTTAATATTAAGCTAACTCTTTCCAGAGACAACTTATTTTTGATTGTATTCTTTCTGGTTTTAGTTTTCCTATTCATAGAATAATAGCATTGGGAAGAATCCTAGAGATACTTTAACCCAACTCACTCATTTTACTATGAGTAAACAGATTCAGAAAGATTTAAATGCAAGTGATTTTCTCAGGTCATATAAGCACATATAGCAAGATAGGGGTAGGACTGGATTTCAGCCATGGGTCTCCTGACTCCTAGTTTTGTATCCTTTCTTGCAAGAAGAGATCCATACACAGCAGCATTTCATATCCTCATAGTTCTTTTATCCCTGCTTTCTCTACCTCTGAAACCAAATAAAAAAGAAATTTACAAAAACTGCATTATTCGAATTGGAAAATTGGCAAGTTGAAATAATAAGTGCGTTGTCCTTAACCTTCCCTTGTTTACTGGAAGATAAATATATTGAATTTTAAACATTTTTGTAATATAGTAAAAGTTATAGAGAAACACTTATATCTGTTCTTCTGGAAAATATTTTTGTTTAGTTGTTCCAATCAGAAAAATTCATGCTCTGACCATCACATGGGCACTTCCTCCTCAACAGCAACATTACAGGTAAGAGTTTAAGGGAAAATTTACTTCATTAGAACCGAGTGAGAATCATTTTTAAAGCATGCTAAATGGTTTAAGTTTGGGGGTTCTGAATTTATAAACAGCAATGCAGTAACCTGGAACTTGATTACTCCAGGAGCTTTCAAGCCTTGCTATGTATTTTACTATTTTTTGGATATAAAAACTAGAGCTTTCTCAGTTATAGTGGCCTTTCTTAAGTCTTTGATATTAAGTGTTTAGTGTGAATGCTAACTTTTGTAATTTGTTTTGATCTTGTCAAAAGTAAAGTTAAATAATTTGGGCCTGGCAGACTGGCCAACATGGCAAAACCCTGTCTCGACTAAAAATATCAAAAAACTAGCCAGGCATGGTAACACACACCTGTAATCCCAGCTACTCAGGTGGCTCAGGCATGAGAATTGTTTGAACCTGAGAGGTGGAGGTTGCTGTGAGTTGATATTGCGCCACAGCACTCCATCCTGGGCGCCAAAGCAAGACTGTGTCTCAAAATAATAATAATTTGGACTGGTAATACGACTAGGTACATAAATCCCAAGGATTTACTCCTCTGAATTAGGGCAGGTTTATGCAAATTAGGAAAGGATTCTACTTGTCTATATAGTTATCTTATATGAGCAGTATAGCATGGGCCAGAGAGTTATTTAAGATAAGCATCAGTCAGTGCCTACAAATGCTTTTCTAATTAGAAATACATGCTAATCAACTGGTAAAAATTTAACTTTTTTGGGAGGCGGATGGGGCTCAAGCAATCCACCCACCTTGGCCTCCCCAAAGTGCTGAGATTACAGACATGAGCCACTGTGCCCAGCCAAATTCATATTTTAAACAAGGTTGTATGGGCTTTAAGGATTGCTTAACGTAGTTGAAAATCATATCTTGACTTTCAAGAATTTACAGAATTTAACTGTGTAACCTAATTAAATTTTCTCATATATACAGAAATAGACAGAAAACTAAATTTTTTTCTGTATGTCTTTGTGGTAGGAATACTTTTAACAAAATTACAGTAGAAGCCAGTGGGAAAGACAGTTTGAACAGCATGTGCACAATTACTCGGACTATTATATTATTAGTATGTGATAAAGCATTTTTATACTTGTTACTGCATTTTCATGAAAACTCAGTAAGTAGTTGGGCAAGTGAAGAGAAAAAGAATACAGTTCAGTATCTTGCTCAAGGTCATGATTTACTTAAAGGAAAAACTAAAACTAGAATCAAGATTTTCTGACCCTTTGAGTAACACATTTCACTTTACCACAGAGCCCAATATAGTACCAAAAGCTTTACAGACAGTGATTCATACCTATATTAGGTTCTAAACCGATAAGGAATCTACATTTCATTTTGGGGAAAGCAAAAAGATTTATCATGAGAGCAGGTAAGTTTGGTGTCCAAGAGAAAAAGTAGTGCCCTTAAATTTTGGGATGATTGTACTCTTCAGTAATCTCAAATGAAAGAGTTAATTTTACTATATTTTCTGTTTTTATCTTCCTGCTATTAAATTAATTACAATTTCATGTTTAGTGGACATATGTGAGAATAAGTTTATGATTATATTTTCAAATTATTGTAGCCTTAGAGGTAAGATTTTCTGGTGTATTTATACCTTTTTTTTTTTCTTCTAACCATTAAATTTTTTTAAAAGGGTGAAGCCACTTCATTATATATCCTGGCTGGTTGGACATGAAGGCAAAGGCAGCATTCTTTCTTTCCTTAGGAAAAAGCAAGTATTCAATTAATAAGTATTTTCAGTATAGCAATCTCTGAAAAATAATAGACAATAAGTATTATATAATGCATTCTTTTACTTTAGCTGCCAGGAAGCCTAGAATAAGATTTAATGCTTAGTTATAGTCATTTTAATAACTTATATTATTTTAATATCCATATTATATTTGTGTATTTCCTTGTAAGCTACCTTTTAGCCCATTGTTGGAAGTTATTTGTACACAAAATTTAAAAAAATCATAAATGAAAGTAATAGATTCCAGAATTACGTAAAAGAATTAGCTCTAATCAATAATTTATATTTGACTGAATGGTAAAAAAATCAGTTATTTAAATGCTATGGATCTCCAGGTTTTCCCAACCCCAAAGCTGGACTTTAATGAAAACTTCATTGGGTAGGTAAATCATAATTAATAGGTGGGACTGCAAATGGTATATGCAGCCATGTTAGCAGAATGTTTCCTGAGCATTAAAGCACCTGTTTAAGTCACCTGTAGCCCAATAATAGAAATATAATTTTATAATCAGGACTAATACATTAAAGTAATTCCTTGTTTGATTTTTCTATAAATGAAATAGTATGAGAATGGAAGGATAGATGAGAAATTTAAATAAATATTTTTAAGACACTTGTGTGTACTAGAACATTCAAAGAGAACTAAGAGGGCAGAGTTAACTATAAAATAATAAACTAATGATACTGGGTTCATATGTACCTTACACAATATATGTTATATGCTTTGAGCTGTGCACAACGTTTCTACCTGACTGAGCTTTATTAGAATTTCAGACTCTATTCTGGTGTCCTCTCTTTGTAATTTTTCAGAATTAATCTAGTCAGAGAAAGGTATAGTCTCATTGCTTGTTCCTTAGACAACCTATGTAGGTTAGCTAACAGCCTTAAAGAACTCACTTGACATTCGATGTAAGTATGTATTAGAAGTGTCTTAAGGCCTCTCCTAGGAGTCAGGTTCAAAAATGGTGAGGCTGGGCGCGGTGGCTCTCGCCTGTAATTCCAGCACTTGGGAGGCTGAGGTGGAGGATTGCTTGAGCCCAGGAGTTTGAGACCAGCCTGGGCAACATTGTAAGACACTGTCTTTATTTAAAAAAAAAAAAAAAAAAAAAAAGGTAAGCAAAATGCTTTCCAGCAGCCATCATTTTAATACTTTGTGCTGTTCTCTTCAAAAGGAATGGTTTTCGTTTAATAAAGCTGTTAATGTTTTACTATGTTGCCGTATCTGTTCGTATTTGCATTAAACAAAGACTGTTATTTCCTTCTGGTGATTCCTAAATGTATCACAATTCCTTGGGAGGCCTTGTGCTTTTAAAATTTGCACTTTTAGATTTACTGTTGGAAAGTATATGTTTACATCAAAGGCTGAGGTTTCTAAATTTTACATAGAAAGCCTCTATATTTTGTTAATTTGAATGTCTGTAGACGCCAATCCAGGAACATTGATTGGGTTAATTTTTTCCCCACCTGTAGATGCTGGGCTCTTGCACTGTTTGGTGGAAATGGTGAGACGGGATTTGAGCAAAATTCTACTTATTCAGTGTTCAGCATTTCTATTACATTGACTGATGAGGGTTATGAACATTTTTATGAGGTAAATAATTCAAATTGACTTGTTTTTTCCTTTTACCTAGGTATCCTTTTATGCAAAAGACTAATTTGGATGTTTTGTTTTCAGGTTGCTTACACTGTCTTTCAGTATTTAAAAATGCTGCAGAAGCTAGGCCCAGAAAAAAGGTAATAAACACTTCTTGGAATGAGGCCACGAGCCAGTCCTGGTATATTTGAGGCTTCAGGCTGCCAGTAGACATGCTTTAGTCTTGCCTTGATGGTTTTTCAGGCATTTTCTGCTCTGTTTCCTTTATTGTCTCCATATCCTTATCCCTCTACATGTGAGTGTACACTAAGACTTTATACATATGTGGCCAGTCCCTTTATTTTCATGCTTCTCTTTTATTGTTGATGCTTCTATTGAGAAATTTTTAAACTTTTATTCTAGGTTCAGGGGTATATGTGCAGATTTTTTATATAGGTAAACTGTGTCACGGTGGTTTGTTGTACAGATTATTTTGTCACCCAGGTACTAATAGTTATCTTTTCTAGTCCTCTCTCTCCTCCCGCCCTTCTCCCTCAAGTAGGCAGAAATTTTAATGTATCTTCTAATTATAATTTTCTCCTTCACAGAATTTTTGAAGAGATTCGGAAAATTGAGGATAATGAATTTCATTACCAAGAACAGGTACTGGAAGTCAAATTCTTTTTGCATGTTATCTGTGACTGAGTTGAAACTGGTGTCGACATTGTTCCTCTTTTTGAAAGTGTCAGTGGAGTTTTAATTCTGCCATTCTGTGTCATGTGAGTCTCTAGATGTCCTTGAAGCTAGCTGAAAATTAACTATTAGGTTTTTGAGTATTTATATTGAATAAGATAAGGCAGTGAGAGGATTAAGCAGATGACACAGATCATGTTGTGTGGTAATCATTTATCTACATAGTCATCCATCTATCCCTTCAATAAACATTCATGGAGACTTGTTATGGTATTTAATATTTTGGGAATTCAAATATTGTGAAGACATTCTATAAGGTAATTTATATTTACCATGTAGAATGTTAGAAACATTGTGCTTTGGAATTCAGGGGAAGGAGAGCATTTTCCTTGATTGAAATAGGCTCACAGGCTGGGCACTGTGGCTCCTGCCTGTAATCCAAGCATTTTGGGAGGTCAAGCAGGCAGGTTGCTTGAGCCCAGGAGTCTAGTAAAGGACTGGGCAGTGTGGTGTTTTGGGAAGCGTATTGGATGTGTTATGAGGTCAGAGTTCTGATGTCTACTTTGCCTGTCGTTTACTCACTGTGTGACCTTAGGCAAGCCATCTAGCCATCTAGTCAGGAAAAATCCGACTGTGTTTCCTCATTGTAAAACATGGGACTGGAACTACTTGGTATCTGAAGGATCTGTCAGTTTTAAGAGTCTGTGTTTCTGGGTGCTCGGTAAATACTTGAATTGACTGTGTTCCTCTGGAAAAATATTTCCATTTCATGTATCAGTGAACTGGTGGTCATTCTTTCAGTTTTAAATTGAAATAATGTTTTTGTGAATATACCTTTTTATCTCAAGACTTTTATCTGACACTCACATTTTAATTATTTTGAAATTTAAATTAGAGACAGAGTCTTGCTATGTTGCCCAGGCTTGCCTTGAACCAGGCTTAAGCTGTCCTCCCGCATTGGCCTCCCAAAGTGCTAGGATCACAGGCATGAGCCACCTTGCCTGGCTAACACATTTTTTTTTTTTTGAGACAGTCTCGCTCTGTCATCCAGGCAGGAGTGTGAGTGTGTGGCACAATCTTGGCTCACTGCAACCTCCACTTCCTGGGTTCAAGGGATTCTCCTGCCTCAGCCTCCCGAATAGCTGGGACTATAGGCATGAGCCACTGTGCCCGGCCCAACACACCTTGATTTCTACATTTGCCTTCCAGGGGATATTTGTCACTGTCTGGAGACATTTTGGTTGTCACAACTCAGGGTGGGGTGTGGGGTGCCCCTGGGATCCAGTGAAGCCAGGGATGCTGCTAAATGTCCTGCATTGATTTGATTCATGCTTTTTACAAATAGTTTTTAGATGATAGTGCTGTAGTGATAGGTCACCTGCCTTTATTGCTCACATAGTCATGTGGGGCACTTGACTGGTAAACAGGCATTCATAGTTCAGTGTGGTAATTGCTGTCATTAAGAGGCTGTGATAATGACTAGAACCTAATGGGTTATAGGGCTCAGAATGATGCATGAGGGGTATGAGTTTAAGCTCCCTAAGGGAGTAGCTATGGCTATATTTTCTTAGAGTTTTTTTTTTTTTTTTTTTTTGGAGATAGGGTCTCACTCTGTTGCCCACGCTGGAGTACAGTGGCACGATCTCGGTTCACTGCAGCCTCAACCTCCTGGGCTCAAGCAACCCTCCCACCTCAGCTCCCAAAGGAGCTGGCACTACAGGTGCACACCACCACACCCAGCTTATTTTTGCATTTTTTGTAGAGACAGGGTTTTGCCATGTTGCCCAGGCTGGTCTCAAGTAATCCAACCACCTCTGCCTCCCAAATGCTAGGATTACAGGCGTGAGCCACTGTGTCCAGCCTACTGAGCATCAGATTCTTAAGCTGCAATTATATCTCGTTTTGTCTGTTCAGAAGCTTTTGGTTTCATTGTTAATAAGAAAGGGAGAAAGTATTTGTATCTTGTGGTAAATCAAATATAATAATGGAGAAGTTCTGGTGTGAAATAATTGACCTCTTTACAGACAGATCCAGTTGAGTATGTGGAAAACATGTGTGAGAACATGCAGCTGTACCCACTGCAGGACATTCTCACTGGAGATCAGCTTCTTTTTGAATACAAGCCAGAAGTAAGTAGGTTTATATGTCTAAAACTTACTTTTAGGGGAAGAGGAGGGTGAGAAAGTACGGAGACGTATTTAAGAACCATGGGAACGAAGAAAACTTAGTTATATTTAGTCAGGATTTTTGTTTGTTTAAACAGAATTATCAATAGTTTTGTGAATAATTTCTCATGTTTCTTTTACATAATTAAGTTTTAATATAAGAGGAGAAAATCAAAATCAGTACTTGTTAGGTACTATTTTAATAATTTTCAAATGTTGAAACATCTACTGAAATAGTTGAAGTGATTCCTAAGAATTATGTGGTTTCCCTGTAAAAAGTACTTAGTTGTTTAGCTCACCTTTTAATTCAGTTGCAGAGTCGGGACAATTAAATTTTTAATCATTTTGAAAATATTTATAAGAAAACTTAAAGGTTCCCTGAATTAGAAACATATGACTCAGGGATAATGTTACACGCCAATGAATTGTTGGTCGGGGTCATTCCTTCACTAGTGGAGAATAAGTCATTTTGTTTCATACAGGATAGCAGGCGTCAACCAGAGGTGACTTTGCCTTCCAGGGGATATTTGTCACTGTCTGGAGACATTTTGGTTGTCACAACTCAGGGCGGGGCGTGGGGTGCTCCTGGGATCCAGGGCGTAGAAGCCAGGGATGCTGCTCAATGTCCTATAGTGCAGAAGTCAGGATCCTAAAATAGTTATCTGACCCAAGATGTTAGTAGTGCTGAGACTGAGAAATTACAGCATAGGACATTCCTTGAGAAATTTTAGCATAGACATTCCTAAACTATTAATTTTAAAGAGGACAGGGAAAGGTAAAGGAGGAAGGAACAACCATACATTCTTGCCATGTCACTAGGATGGTTGTGCCCGGTAGGGGCTGGTTGTGTTTTTTTCTGAACCACCATTTGTTGTTTTTTGCTTAAATAAATGGTGTTTAAGTAGTAGTTAGGGTTCCCAACCAAGCCACAAAATTCTGTTTAGTCCTTATTGTAGCTGGAGGATTATTGAAGGAGGCCCTACCTTGGCAGCGTTTTACTGATTCCTGGATATGAAGTGATATAAAAGATAGCTGTTAGGAGCATAGTCCTTGGTAGCATGTACAAATTGAGTTAGAACTCCACTTTTGCCACTTCTAGCTGTGTATTATTCTGTACAAGTTACATAATCTTTAACCGAGCAAATTACTTAACCATCACCCTCTGAAGCTGACTCTTATTTTGTGTAAATCAGTCTGTCTTAGGATTGTTTTTAGGAATAAATGAAATAATGTGTGTTAAATACTTCCTGGCTCACAGTCGAAGCTTAGTAGTAAAGGATAGCTGTTTTTACTGCTAATGCTGTTAATATGTAGGATTTAAGATAAATACTGTTTAAAGCATTATCAAGAACATACTTGATATTTGCCAACTATACCTCAATAAAGTAGGAAAAAAGGTTCTGAAACACTGATGAGACTTTGTAAATGAGGGTGTTCAGGAACTGTAGGTATTTTTATGAGCATAGATCTTGGAGGTACCTAACAATGTGATTTTTGCCTTTTTAACAGAGATGTATTAGGTTGAAATTGTGTATATCTCTTTCCCCTCTTCCCACTTCACTAGGTCATTGCTGAAGCCTTAAATCAGCTAGTTCCTCAAAAAGCAAATCTTGTTTTACTGTCTGGTGCTAATGAGGGAAAATGTGACCTCAAGGAGAAATGGTTTGGAACTCAGTATAGTATAGAAGGTAAAATATTTTAACAATTGTCTTACATTTAGGTATATTTAACTTACCTGGAAAGGTTTAATAATTTAATGGTTCTAGAGGGGGAAAAAGTATAATTTTTTTTAAAGTTCACTTTGAAATGAAAATTACTTATACTACTGCACAGGAAGTTATTTTCTGCTATGTTTATGTTTACTAACTAGTGAAAAAATTCTGTTATCTTGGTATTTTAGGGGCAGAGTTTTGAATTAGTTTTTGAAAAATGCTTCTCAAATGTCAGTGTGCATTTTTGTCACCTGGAGATATTACTAAAATACAGATTATGATTCAGAGGGTCTGGGTAGGGCCTGAGATTCTGCATTTCTCTTTTTCTTTCTTTTTCTTTTCTTTTCTTTCTTTTTTTTTTTTTTGAGACGGAGTTTTGCTCTTGTCCAGGCTGGAGTGCAATGGCACCATCTTGGCTCACTGCAACTTCTTCTGCCTCCTGGGTTCAAGCAGTTCTCTTGCCCCTGCCTCCTGAGTAGCTGGGATTACAGGCATACACCACCACGCCTGGCTAATTTTGTATTTTTAGTAGAAACCTGTCTGGGGTTTCACCATGTTGGTCAGCCTGGTCTCGAACTCCTGACCTTAGGTGATCCACCCACCTCAGCCTCCCAAAGTGTTGAGATTACAATTGTGAGCTACCGTGCTCTGCCAGATTCTGCATTTCTGACAATCTCCCAGGTGATGCCAGTGCTGCTGGGACCACACTTTTGAGTAGCACGATTCTAGAATGCCTGGATATGTGTCAGTCACAGTTTTCCTGAGAAAGGAGAATTGATTTGTAGGCCAGCTGATAACTAGTTTATTATTAAGAGAATGTTGAACATTGCATTGTTTATTGGGTCAGTTTATTTTTCTCCTTTACAGATATCGAAAACTCTTGGGCTGAACTGTGGAGTAGTAATTTCGAATTAAATCCAGATCTTCATCTTCCAGCTGAAAACAAGTACATAGGTCAGTAAAATAGCAATTTTTATACATAATCCATCCATGTGCTAATAGGCACCTGTATAGCACATTATATTTTACAACATATCATAGGAATTTATATTTGAGATTCCCGGTAACATTCTGAGGTTGGCATTACTATTTTCTTACTTTTCCAAATGAGAAAACGGGGGGTCAAAAAAGCAAAGTGACTGGTACAAGACTGTTCAGTTGGTGAATGAGAAACCAGGACTTAAACACAGATCTTGGGACTCTGAAGTTTATGCTTTATCCTGTATAGTGTAGCTGATTCTTCCATACCAGTCTCCTTAGGGATTGCCATTATCTTTCCAGATTGTTCTATTGCTTTTCAAACTGCAGGTGGCAGCCCATTAGAAGGTTGTGAAGTCAATGTAATAGATTGTAAGGTCAATGTAATGAGCCATGAAAGCATTAAAAAATCAGTTAGAATAGAAAATAGCAAAATGTTTCATTGCATGTAGAAAGAATGTTATTTTAAGAACTTTTGTTTCAGATGTCTGCCTATCTGTCTACTAGCTTGCAGTGGAAAACATATTTCTAAGTGAGTTGCAGAAAAAAATAATTGAAAGCTACCAATCCTAGCTCCAAGGTTTTAGAGTTGCTTATAACTGTAATTTACTCAGAACACTGTATTTACTAGCCATTCATTACATGTCTAAATGTATACCCAAAATAATTGAAAACAGGTACTCAGACAAATACATGGACCTTCGTGTTCACACAGCACTGTTCACAATACTCAAAAGATGGAAACAGCCCAAATGTCCATCAGTGGATGAATGTATAAACAAATTGTGATGTATACATACTTTAGAATATTACTCATAAAAAATGTAGTACTGATATATGCTATAATGGGGAAGAACCTTGCAAACATCAAGCTAGACACAAAAGGTCAGAGATAAGTCCATTTATATGAAATGTTCAGAAAAGATAAATCCGTAGAGACAGAACATAGATTGATGATTGATAGGGGCTGAGGTGAGTGGGTAATGAGGAGCAATCCCTTAAGGAGTAGGGGATTTCCTTTTGGGGTGATGAAAATGATTTGGAACTAGCTAGAAGTGGTAGTTGCACAACATTGTGAATGCTTCTGAATTGTTCACTTTAAAATAACTAAGTTTATGTTATGTGAATTTGCCTTCCATTAGGAAAAAAAAGCCTTTTAAAAAAAGTATTAGCCAAGTGCTGTGGCTCATACCTGTAATCCCAGCACTTTGGGAGGCCAAGGCGGGCACATCACCTGAGGTCAGGAGTTCGAGACCAGCCTGAGGAACATGGAGAAACTTCGTCTGTACTAAAAAATACAAAATTAGCTGGGCATGGTGGCGCATGTCTGTAATCCCAGCTACTTGGGAGGCTGAGGCAGGAGAATCACTTGAACCCAGGAGGCCGAGGTTGCAGTGAGCTGAGATCACACCACTGCACTCCAGCCTGGGCAACAAGAGTGAAACTCCATCACACACACACACACACACAAACACACACAAAGTATTATCTATGTTAGACATTTCAGTTTCACATCTTGAACTGTAAATAATCTAAACAACCCAGTTAGTTTATTATTTCAGTTTTTTGAGTTAGGGTTTCACTCTCTTGCCCAGGTTGGAGTGCAATGGCATGATCATGGCTCACTGCAGCCTTGACCTGCTGAACTCAAGCAGTCCTCCTGTGTCAGCCTCCTGAGTAGCTGGGATTACATGTGTGCACCACAATGCCCAGCTAATTTTTAATTTGTTTCTAGAGATGTGGTCTCTCTATGTTGCCCAGGCTGGTCTCAAACTCCTGGCTTCAAGTGATCCTCCTGCTTCAGCCTTGTAAAGTGTTGGGATTACAGGCATGAGCTACCATGCCTACCAAATCCAGCTCTTTTACATAAATATAGCAAGTACTCAAATTTTAAAAATTAGCTGTTTTTCATCTGTGTGTTGATGAAACTGTCGTTTTAATTAACCAAAAGGAAGAGTTTGACTTTGTTTGAGCAGAACAATTTTGTAACTTTTCAGATGTATAGCATAAGCTTGGTAAAAGGCATTCTCATGAATTAATGGATTGTTTCATAAATTGGTTTATGAAACTATCCTGACTAAAGGCTCCTCTCTCAGTTAAAATTGTCTTTAAGAAAGGGAATGAAGCAGAATGTGTAGCAATCAGAATCAGTTGTTGGGAAATTCCAGATCTTTAGAGTTTATTTACTTTAAGACCAACATAGTTTTCCCTTCAGTATTGGTCTACGAATTTAATATATTCTAGTATTTGAATTTGGCTTATTTTTGCCACACAGAAAAGTTACTTAGACTCCTGAAGCCAGATTACTGGGACTCCTGCTGAAATACTTGAGTGAATTATTATTATCTTCTTTTATTAGCCACGGACTTTACGTTGAAGGCTTTCGATTGCCCTGAAACAGAATACCCAGTTAAAATTGTGAATACTCCGCAAGGTTGCCTGTGGTATAAGAAAGACAACAAATTCAAAATCCCCAAAGGTAAAATGTTGCCCTCCTGTTACTTCCCTGCTGAATTCCAGTGTTCTCTTTAGATGCTCTTTTGACATGTGATAATCTGCTTGCTATTTTGGTCCTCCTTTGTGGAGGAGGCTAGGGCTGGGTGCCTCTATCAGCCACCTTGAAGCCCTCTCACCCTCCCTAAAAGGAGTAAAATAAGTAAAACAAATATTTCTCCACTTGGCAGCAACTTGTTTCCCCTGTGTGTATCACCTCCTTCTCTTTCCCCCTTCGATTTGAAGACCTTTTCTAGGCTTATCCACCAGATTTACACTGTGCTCCTGTGCTGTCGCAGAAATCCTTGTGGACTCCAGTGTCCAGGAAGTGAACATTTAAGGCTAGAATGAAATTGTTTTTAGGTTTTTTTCTGTCAATTAAATGAAAGCAGAGCCAGGTATTTGGCCATCTTAAGGAATTGGTGTTATTTGAACATTGTTTTTAAAAAGAGGTAAGAATATACAAGGGAATTATTCAAAGACATAATAGATAGCCTAGTCCAGCATTACAAATGTGAAATCCCCACCAACTGCCTCCTTCTACCATTTTGTTTTCAGCATAAAGGAAGCATAGTATAGAGTTAAGTAGACTCTAAAGTTCTTATCTTTAATATTGTGGCCCTAACTGTGTTGCTTTTTACCGTTCTGTTCTCGAACATGGCATAAGGAACTTATTGAAGCCACATGGAATCATAGGCTGGGTGCTCTTGTATGTCCTTTAACCCATATCCCCAACCTCAAAACACAACTGTATTGTAGTTGTGTGGGATTCTTGAGTTTATTGGGAAGTTATTTTCATTATTTTTTTTGAATAACTTAGGAGTTTCTAAAAACCTCCTTAAATTCAGTTTCCTTGGAAAGCCTCTTAAATTTGTGTGAATGTTGGGGTTGTTCCCTTAATGTTCTTAACATCTGTGCTCTAAGAATTTTTCCTGACTGAAGCTATTAATAAATATGAGTATTTATAGGCCTCTCTGTGTATCTGCCCATGCGTCTGGTCTTCCCATAGATTAAAGAGTGCCTTCTGGAACTCGTTATTTGGAATGGTAAATACTACTTTTTGAAGACCCTTAAGAATAAAGATGTAATGAGGATTTAAGGATTAATAGTTTATTTCAGAATTAAAAATATCTATATTAGGGGAAAATAACAGATGTATAAAATATTTGAGACCCCTAACCTTTTCTATCTATGGTCTTTTTTCTTTCAGCATATATACGTTTCCATCTAATTTCACCCTTGATACAGAAATCTGCAGCAAAGTAAGCAAGTGTCTTTTTTTCCGGAAAATATATTTTTTAGTTATTGAAAAACTATTTTGTTTGTTTCATTCTAAATCATTCTGTCATTTTCTCTATCCATATTTGAGCTATGTTGCTGATTTATGTATTTTTTTCTGTGCTCCAAACAAGTTATTTGTATTATTACCAAACATTAAAATGGAACTGTGGCTGTTGCATTACCAGCGCCCATTGGTGAAACATGCTGATAGTGTAGACTAGAGCAATTAGTTCCCAATTACTGGATGGGGAAAAGTCCTTAAAGATCAGTTTGGGTGAGTGTCCAGTCTATAATGAGACTGATGGATCTGTTGATTCTGTATTTATAGAATACCAAGGAATGTGATTATTCCTGTTCTTAGCAAATCCCTTATATATTTATGTAGACAGCTTTCATTGTGGGAGGCCAGAGAGCCTAAAATGTATCTGAACAGAGGAAATACTTGGGAAATGTTGGTGCATTTCTTCTTTCTTTTCCTACTTAACTGTAAAATCCAAACTTAAAATGACAAGCAGCACTAGAATTTGTTAATATTCACTCTAAAAAATGCATTCCCATACCTCATATTTTTAATCAGTCAGAATGCCTAGGCTTGGAGGGTAGACAGAGCCTTCAGGCCAGTGCTGCTCATGCCTATTCCATTTACTTCATTGTACAATATAAATATTATCATTTTGTATGTGTACCTGATGTGAAAAAGATTGGGGAGCACTGCTGAAGGTAGGAATTCTATAATACACCTCTGAAACTGAATCCTGAGTAAGCTGTATTACCTTTGAACTCAGCATACAGTTTTACATTCTGGAGTAGAGAATTTATACTCTCTAAAAATGAAGCTGCTTACTCTAAATTGAAGCAAATCTATTTCCTGTGTCTTTCTTACCAATTAAAGATGCCATTTGCATTTTGTACTTCTTAGTGTGGTCCTCTTTGATATCTTTGTCAATATCCTTACGCACAACCTTGCGGAACCAGCTTATGAAGCAGATGTGGCACAGCTGGAGTATAAACTGGTAGCTGGAGAACATGGTTTAATTATTCGAGTGAAAGGATTTAACCACAAACTACCTGTAAGTACAAGTACTCTGTTTTCCTTAGAGAGAGCATTAAAATACCATATTTATATAGAGGTATGTGCATGGGATGCTGTACAGAGAAAGAAATGTTTATTAATGTGGATTATCTTGAATATTCTTGGCTGATGACAGCTATTCTGTGACTGACTATACATAAGAACAACATATGTTTTATTAATTACTGGCAGTGCATGGGATTATAGCCCATGCTTTAGGATTGATTTCACTTCCCTTTGCTGTCAGTTTCTCCACAACCAACACTGGCATTTAGGATTGGTTCTAGCTAAATTTTTTACCATACAGGAATAACCTTTTTTTTTTTTTTTTTTTTGAGACAGATACTCACTCTATCACCCAGACTGGAGTGCAGTGGTGTGATCTTGGCTCACTGCAACCTCTACCTCCCGGGTTCAATCAGTTCTCATGCCTCAGCTTCCTGAGTAGCTGGGACTACAGGCACGCGCCACCACACCCAGCTAATTTTTGTATTTTTAGTAGAGATGGGGTTTCTCCATGTTGGCCAGGCTGGTCTCGAACTCCTGACCTCAAATGATCTGCCTGCCTCAGCCTCTGAAAGTGCTGGGATTATAGGCATGAGCCTCCATGCCGGCTGTGGAATAACAAATTTGACTGGTGTTTTGCCTGAAATAGAGTAGAACTCAAATGCTTGTGCCCTTACTTCCTCATCTTATGCTCCTTCTCATTGTTTCAAGTATGTGTGTCTTGTTTCCCTTCTAAGTTTATGAACCTTTTTGAAACAGGGTCTGTATCATGTCAGTTATTAATCTCTTAGTGAGGAATATGTTCCAGTATTGCTTCATCAAAAACTTCTTAAGAGGAGGGAAAAATAATGGGTTGTTAGCTAAGAGAGTTAGATTACTGAATACCAGGTAAAGTAATATAATATGCCCAATAATAAATTTTATATCTAGGTTTCTTGGGTAGAATATATATTATATTAAGATTTAGGGAAATAGGTTTATACAAGAAAATTTTTAGAGGAAAGGACCTGCCAGAAAGACCTGTGCTAGGTGGTAATAGCCTTCATCTTGGCAAAAACTCAAGAGAAGAGTGCAGCTGTCACCTTTTTATGCCTTTTCCCTTCTCCATCTCCCCATGGAGCAAAGATTGGTCTCAGAAGGAGACGCCATGGAATATTTTACTTTGTCAACCTTCTAAGTCCTAAATATAATGTAGCTTAAGTTTCAAGCAGATTAAAGCCTAATTCAGTGGTTGTCATTTGGAAAATATGTTTTAGAATTACCTGGAGAGCTTATTAAAAATACAAACTATGGAAAAGTATTTGATGTTCTTGAATTTGTGAGGCTTACTTAGCCTTGATATTAAAACCTAATATAGAACATATATGTATGTATGTATGTATAGAAAACTAAAGATCACTTTTATCTGCAGAATATAGATGTAAACTTTCTAAAAATTTGAAAATTAAATCCAGTTTAGCAAAAAGAATAATTTAAGTACCAGGAATGCTAGGGTTGTGGAATATTAGGAAATTGATGATCATAAGTCACCATAACACAAGTCAAAGGAGAACCACTGTATGAATATAGTGATAAATGGTGATAAATCATTTGATAAATTTGAGTTGGCATTCCTAATAAATAGGAATGGAAGGAAATTACTTAAGTATAAAAACCTCGGCCTGGTGCTGTGGCTCACGCCTGTAATCCCAGTGCTTTGGGAGGCTGAGGCGGGTGGATCACGAAGTCAGGAGATTGAGATCCTGACACAGTGAAACCCTATCTCTACTAAAAATACTAAAAATTTGCCAGGCGTGATGGCAGGCGCCTGTAGTCTCAGCTACTCGGGAGGCTGAGGCAGGAGAATGGTGTGACCCTGGGAGGCAGAGCTTGTAGTGAGCCGAGATCGCGCCACTGCACCCCAGCCTGGTCAATAGAGCGAGACTCCATCTCAAAAAAAGAAAACCTCAAAGAACTTATCAGCAGATATTACATTAACTGATAAAATGATGAACACTGACATCAGGAACAAGCCAAGAATAATCCACAATCATCTCTATTATTCTGTTATTGTTTTAGAGGTTCTGGCTATTACAGTAAGATGAAAAAATGAAATAAAAACTTTTTTTTGGAAAAAATATTTTTCCTTGCAGATGATATGATTATATTCTTAGAAAACCTCATATACCACTAAAATTAAAAAAAAAAAAAAAAGTAGGTGTGATATGGCTGGTCAAAAGACTAGTATATCAGAATCAATGACTTTTTTTCCCCCGTAGTAGCAGTAACCACTTAGAAATGGAAGCCAGGCACAGTGGGATGTGCCTGTGGTCCCAGCTCCTCCGGAGTTTGAGGCAAGAGAAATACTTGAGTTTGAGGATACTTAGCTACGATCGTGCCACTAGCCTGTGCGATATAGTGAGGTTCTGTCTCTGAAGAAAAGAAACAAACAAATGGATGGAAACAATCTTACATTTATTTACAATATGGAGGAAAAACAAATAAAATGGCTAAGAATAAACAGGAAAAGTATAGGACCTATCTAAGGACACACTACAAATCTTATTGAGAACACCCATGAAATGATAAAAAAAAAAAAGGAAGAATTGTTCCCAATTTGACAATTATTTAGGATTTTGGACCCTTAAGATTCTTTAAGGCCAGGAGGCTGAGGCAGGAGGATCACTTGAGGCCAGGAGTTTGAGACCAGCCTGGCAACATAGGAAGACCTCGTCTGTACAAAAGCAACAAAATTAGCCGGGCATGGTGGCGCCTGCCTGTAGTCCCAGCTACTCAGGAGGCTGAGGTGGGAGTATTGCTAGAGCCCAGGCATTCGAGGATACAATGAATTACGGTCGATAGTACCACTGCACTCCAGCCTGGGTGACTGGAGTGATATCCTGTCTCCAGGTTAACACCCAAACAAACAAAAGGTCATTAGTAATTTTCTTGTGTCCCCCCCACAATGCCTAGTACCATGCTCGATACCCTGGTAAAAACTAAAGAGAAACATTTCCTTCCCTGATACATAGTGGATTTCCATGCTTCTTAAAGTGCTTCCTTCTTTTTCTTTTAGCTACTGTTTCAGCTCATTATTGACTACTTAGCTGAGTTCAATTCCACACCAGCTGTCTTTACAATGATAACTGAGCAGTTGAAGAAGACCTACTTTAACATCCTCATCAAGCCTGAGACTTTGGCCAAGTGGGTATAAATGAGATGAGCTTATATTTTGAGGACCTGAAAGTATTAGTCTTCCTATTAGGTGTGGGGGATAAGGCTGTAGTTTCAGTGCTAATTTTCAGCCATGTTTGAATTGTGCTGTAGTTTAGGAAACCAGTCCATAATGTTAGAGTATATCTAACCCCAGCTTATGTAGCTAGCTGTGAATGGGACTGAAAGCAGCCTACTGTACTTAGAGACTAAAAGTAAAGAAGGCTGTTTTCACCAATCATTATACCTAAATAATAGTTAAAGAAGTGCTAGTTTTGGGCTGGGCATGGTAGCTTATACCTGTAATCCCAGCACTTTGGGAGGCTGAGGTGGGAGGATCACAAGCCTCGAAGTTCAAGACTAGCCTGGGCAATATAGCAAGATTTCATCTCTACCAAAAATTTAAAAATTAGTTGGGTGTGGTGGCACATGCCTGTAGTCCCAGCTACTTGGCAGACTGAGGTGGGAGGATTGCTTGAGCCCAGGAGGTTGAGGCTGCAGTTAACCATGATCATGCCACCGCACACCAGCCTGCATGACAGAGATAGACCCTGTCTCATAAAAAAACAAACAAAAAACCAACCAGAAGAAGTGCTGGCTTTATTGTAGCCCCGAATTATTTACTGGTGATTTTAGTATGTTGGTGATTAGTAGCAGAGTTAAATTGCTAAACATGTCACTTATCTAGCAATCTTAACTATCCAGAATTCAGCTAAGGTTCCAGAAGAGAGCAGAAAGGCAGCTACACAGTCTGTATGCTAATACTTAAACCCTCTGCTCATAGGCAATGCCCTTGGGCCTTCAGTTAGAGCCTGTTTTTACTACTTGAGTCCAGGGCTAATTGTAGCCTGTAGGATACTTTTGTGTGAATCAGAAAAAAGTATCCCTTTGGGGTACCCTCTATTAGCAGGTAGAGCCTTTGTGGGAGGGAGAGGAAAGTCCTCTGAACAGACATACCCCTTTGTGCACATGACTGGCTAGCCCCTACTTGACCTTGTTGCCCAGGGCATCTATAAATAGTGAACAGCACAACTTTATGTAAAGGTTCTGCTTTTGACACAGCTATAATGAACCCATCAGTTTCCAGAATTAGAAAGAAGGGGTCAGGAGTCAGTCATGTAATAACTGATATTCTGAACACAGAAAGTTACAAAAGCTATTAACCAGATATATGTTAGAAAGGACATGGACACAGGGAAGGGAACATCACACGCTGGGGCCTGTTGGGCGGTGGGGGGCTGGAGGAGGGATAGCGTTAGGAGAAATACCTAATGTAAATGACGAGTTGATGGGTGCAGCAAAACTAACATGGCACATGTATACCTATGTAACAAACATCACGTTGTGCACATGTACCCTAGAATTTAAAGTCTAATAATAAAAAAAAGGAGAGTTATCTGCAACCATTGATATGATAATGAATAGCCCTGCCAATAACTCATGAATACTACTTGATTTATTTATAAAAATACATTAAACACAACCTTCTATTTTATTAAAATTCAACTCCTGAAATTTACTTTATAAAAGATAGAATAATAATAAACCTGTTTGTTGAATATTCTAGATCTAAGAAATTTTATATAAATTAATTAATTCTATCCAAAATGGTTACCTCTCATGAATTACTTCCCTTATTTTACAAATGAAGAAATTGAGTCATACATGTTAGTAGATTTGTCAAATTCAAACAGCTTATTTGGGGTGGGGTTGTGGAGACGGGGGATGAAGCTAATCTGATTCTGGGCCAGAGCCATTACCTATATTATATTGTCACTGCAGTAATATCCCAAATGATGGCCTCTAGTGATTAATAAAATGTTAGTGAGATTTCAAACCAAAATAGTAATAATTTTAAATCAGTGTACAACTAAGTAAACTTGACTCATCTGGCAGCTTTACTTTTATGTGAAATATTTTACCCTGCAACTGAGACAGGTAAGTGCATTTTTGTACTGCCAAGTAAATTTGTTTAAAAGTTTGTGTATGTGATTTTCAGTACTTTTTTGGGGATTCTGATACTGTTTTCCCATTTTATATTGTGATAAAAATGCTCTCTCTTTAGAAACACATCCTTTATAGAAACTTGACCAAATATTTCTTTATTCTGAAGATTCATTTCTAATAACAAAACTTTGAGTATTTTTTTTTCTGCCCTCTGTACAGAGATGTGCGGCTTTTAATCCTGGAATATGCCCGTTGGTCTATGATTGACAAGTACCAGGCTTTGATGGATGGCCTTTCCCTTGAGTCTCTGCTGAGCTTCGTCAAAGAATTCAAATCCCAGCTCTTTGTGGAGGGCCTGGTACAAGGAAATGTCACAAGCACAGTGAGTGTGAGGCTCTGTAGGCCAGGTCTGAATGCAGTTGTGAACTCTGGAGTTGCACTAGTTCTTGCCTAAAGGGGAAACTGTAGTTTTGGCAGGCCAGCATTATCATATTCTGTTTAGGAGGGAACCTGACCCCTCTGATGCTGGGCAGCTTTCTTCTTAAGACTGCTGGGCTGGGAATGGTGGCTCACGCCTGTAATTTCAGCATTTTGGGAGGCCAAGGCAGGAGCATTACTTAATGTCAGGATTTTGACACCAGTCCAGGCAACATAGTGAAGTCTCATCCCTACAAAAAATGAAAAATTAGCCAGGCATGGTGGCACATGCCTGTAGTTTCCACTACTTGGGAGGCTGAGGTGGAAGGATCATTTGAGCCCAGGAGTTTGGGGCTATAGCACGCTATGATTGCACCACGGTATTCCAGCCTGAGCAACAGAGTAAGACCCTGTCTCAAAAGAAAAGAAAGAAAGAGAGAGAGAGAGAGAGAGAAATAGATTGCTGGTAATAGACTGAGTGAAATGAGTTCGGCATGTCTATACTGTTAGTTACCTTTGTTGAAGATTGTGGAAACCATAAACAGTTTAGTACAGAGGCTAAAATGGGAGGAAGGAAATGGTGAGGGATATGTGTCCATACGTACACACATACATACATACATAGCCAGAACAAGTATGTCAAGCCTGTTTGTGAAGCTAAGGTGCTAGGGCTTTATTCTGTAGCAATGGAGAACCATTGAAGGATTTAAGAAGATTTGTGGTTAAGAAATATCCAGAGAGACAAGTTATGAAGCTGTTTTAAAGTACAGATATGATTTCACTCATGTGAGTTATCTAAAGTAGTCAAACTCATAGAAGCAGAAAATATAATGGTGGTTTCCAGTGGTTGGTGGTTGGGGAGAAGAGGGAGGAGGCGAGTTATTTTATGGGTACAGAATTTTGGTTTTGCAAGATGAAAACGTTCTGAAAATCTGATCTACTGCACAACAGTGTGAATATAGTTAACATTATTGAACTGTACTCCCCCCAACACGTTTTTTCTTTTTTGAGACAGAGTCTCGCTCTGTTGCCCAGGCTGGAGTGCAGTGGTGCCATCTCAGCTGACTGTAACCTCCGCCTCCCAGGTTCACGCCATTCTCCTGCCTCAGCCTCCCAAGTAGCTGGGACTACAGGCATCTGCCACCACACCCAGCTAATTTTTTGTATTTTTAGCAGAGACAGGGTTTCACCGTGTTAGCCAGGATGGTCTCGATCTCCTGACCTCGTGATCCGCCCGCCTCAGCCTCCCAAAGTGCTGGGATTACAGGCGTGAGCCACCATGCCTGGCCCTGAACTGTACATTTTTAAAAATGGTTGAGATTGGCCGGGCGCGGTGGCTCACACCTGTAATCCCAGCACTTTGGGAGGCCGAGGTGGGAGGACCACGAGGTCAAGAGATTGAGACCAGCCTGGCCAACATGGTGAAACCCCGTCTCTACTAAAAATACAAAAATTAGCTGGGCTTGGTGGCACGTGCCTGTAGTTCCAGCCACTCGGGAACCTGAGGCAGGAGAATCGCTTGAACCCGGGAGGCGGAGGTTGTACTAAGCCGAGATTGCGCCACTGCACTCCAGCCTGGGCGACAGAATGAGACTCCTTGTCTTTAAAAAAAAAAAAAAAATTGAGATGATAAACTTTGTGTTATTTTATCACAATAAAAAGTTGGAGTAAAGGCTCTGTGAGGTCGCCCATGCCTATAATCCCAGCGCTTTGAGAGGCTGAGGCAGGCGGATTGCTTGAGGACAGGAGATCGAGACCAACCCGGCCAACATGGTGAAAACCCATGTCTACTAAAAATGCAAAAGTTAGCCAGGTGTGGTGGTGGTCGTCTGTAATCCCAGCTTCTTGGGAGGCTGAGGCAGAAGAATCACTTGAGCCTGGAAGGCAGAGGTTGCAGTGAGCTGAGATCATGCCACTGTACTCCAGCCTGGGTGACAGAGCAAGACTCCATCTCAAAAAAAGAGTTTGAGTGAAAAATGTTGAAGCCTGATGTTAGGCCAAATAAATGAAAAAAAATTGCTTAAGGCTGGGCATGGTGGCTTATGCTTGTCATCCCAGTACTTTGGGAAGCTGAGGTGGCAGAATCGCTTGAGCTCAGTAGTTGGAGACCAGCCTGGGCAACATAGTGAGACACCACTTCCACAAAAAATAAAAAGAATTAGCAGGGTGTGGCAATGCGCACCTGTAATCTCAGCTACTTGGGAGGCTGAGGTGGGAGGATTGCTTGAGACCAGGAAATGGAGGCTACAGTGAGCTGAGATCATGCCACTGTACTCCAGCCTGGGCAACAAAGCAAGACCCTGGTTTTTTGGTTTTTTTTTTTAAAGAAGTGCTTAAGAACTAGAAGATGACGGAGATTCACTCAGTGGGGTTGAGAGAGAAGGGAGTCTAGATGCCCAAATTTCTTTCTTGAAGCAGTGGGTTGGTGGAGAAGGAACAGTAATAAGAGTGGGAGCATATGAGGAGTTAGTTCTGATGCATATTGAGTTGGAAATGTCTGTGGGGCCTTGTACCTAAGGCTTTTTCCTCAGTCAGATGCTTGTTCAAGATTCTCTCCCTAAACTGTTTGGCTATTAACCATCCTCCTCCATGGCTTCCCAGTTTCTCAGGGCTGGCCCTTTGATTGGAATATATAAATGGTCACTCTTGAAATTGTGGCTGCTATCCTCCCCTTTCTATCTTCATTCTTCAACCCCAAAACCAGCCTTAGTTTCTGTCTTGGCCACCAAAAGAATTTTAAGTCTCAGTCCACAAAGGGAAGAGAAGAAATAGCTGCCTGTTTTTCCGAGCACCGTTGGAGTACCAGGCAAGGGCTTTTGGCACAGAGTCCTTAGTACCATGAATTTCCCCCAGTGGAAATCACTTTAGAGAAGAGCTCGTCCCTCCACTTATTCCTTATTTTATAGATAAGAAAACAGACTTCTTAAGAGGGGAAGAAGATATATTCACTCAGTATTAAATGTTACTTTCTTTGCTTTATCCAGGTTCTATGTCAATGGGCCCAGGATTCTGAAACATAGTCCATGTTGTCATAAAGGCCACAGCCTAGTTGGGTAAACTAACACTGAACAATTAAGTTTGATCCAGTTGAGAATCTGTATATGGGTGAACAGATTGCCAAGAGAGCCAGAACAGTTAAGAGCCACTTAGTGTTCCACAAACACAATAAATCTTGAATCAGTCAATGAATAACTTGTCCAGCATTTAGGTCACCAACTATATCTGCTTTCCTAAAGCTGTGCAGGGCTCCCCAAGCAATTGGAACATTGATATTAGTTGATTCTGGGTGAAATGAATGTCTAGAGAGCTTAATGTAGTTATTCTCTTTTGCGTCTTAGGAATCTATGGATTTCCTGAAATATGTTGTTGAGTAAGTATTTGAATTTTCTCTTTGGGGTTATGTGTTCTTACCAGCGAGAGGGCATGGAGCCACAACTCAGTTAATTGTTACTAAACACCCAACTGAAACACTACTTGTGGTAGATTTTTTGAGGCTGGTGTACAAAGCAATTGAAAAGTTAGAAGGCCTAGTTTCTTACAGTTTTTGGGTGCCTCAGTGACCCATACTGATTCTCTTGCAGCAAACTAAACTTCAAGCCTCTGAAGCAGGAGATGCCTGTGCAGTTCCAGGTGGTAGAGCTTCCCAGTGGCCACCATCTATGCAAAGTGAAAGCTCTGAACAAGGGTGATGCCAACTCTGAAGTCACTGTGTACTACCAGGTCAGTTGGGGGTACTAAAGACTGGTGGAAGGTCCAGTACCTGGGGATAAGTGACCCAGTGACCTTCAAGGCCCTTTATAGTTACTTCTGTAGTTTTATGCTTGGGACCATTTGTCCTCTTGAAGCAACTACATTTAAAAATTGCTCCTGTTGGTAAAATGGGTCCTTTTGCAATCACAGTGAGGTATTGCTTCATTCATCACCTAAGTACTAATCTAGAGGACCAGAAACCGAGGTGTGGATGGAAATCCCTACGTGTGCCCCTAGTAGAACTCCAAGGAGCAGAAGGACATTTGTTAAGGGGCAGTTTTGAAAAGGAGACAGAAGTAAACATAGCCAAACAATTAAGACACAGCAAAGAGAATGGCTACTGGAGTCATAAATGTTTAAAGCACCTGAGAGGAAGGATTTATCACCTCTGTTTTAGGGTGACGACTCCATGATCCAGAGCCCCTTACTTCTTGAGGTCATACCAGCTGGGTCTCAAATTTATTCCTTTTGTCTTCAGATTCTGTGTTCTTTCCACACCATTCTATTGGGGTAGATGGTGCTTAACGTAAGGAAGCACTTGGCAATAATCACAGTTAGGCTATAGCCTGCTTTAACCTTGGTCCCACTCGCTTCTAGAACTATGGGGATCTTCCTTAAACCTTGCCTGTCTAGTCTGATTACTGACTTCCCAAATTCTGGAGCTCCTGTAGCTGCTGCTGTTACCTTGGGTTCCCTGCATCGGGAATTCACTTCTTTGTTAGGTCTTGAAGATCCCTGACTGGGCTTTGGGTGGGATGGCCTGATTATCATTTCTTTGTTTTGTATCTCTGGCCCTGGGCCTCAGCCTTATTCTGACATTATCCTGGTCTGGTTGTCAGGAGCAAATTCACTTGCCCAGTGTCATGATCATCTCGTTATTGAAGTTGTGTCTTGTCCCAGTCTTCTTAATGAGTAGTTTGATTTAGGAACAACAGCAATTTTGGAGCTAGGTTGGTAACATTTTTGTCCTTCCATAGAGGCCCTGCTTCTCTCTGGAGCCTCTGTGGTTGTAGCATTCCAACCTGCAGCCTTTTCTAGGTTATGACTACCAGGTCCCAAACTCCACAAATGGTACGGCCTAGCCCTTCTTAACCTAGTCTACATTTTCAGTGCCTGTGACTGCCTACAACCCCAGGACAGGAGTACTCATTTTCGGCAGGATTTCACATTGTAAGACTATGTTTATAGAAATGCTTTCCATCAGTCACCTCTTAGCACTAGCTTCTAATACAGACTGTTTCCTTTTGGAAACCATATCCTTTCTCAGAGAGCATTGGTTTTGTTGTGGTCTGTTTAGAGGGAAACAGAAAATCTCAATGCTGACTAATCAGGTCTTGCAAGGGCACATAGGCATTAGCTTCTTCCTCTGGTGAGTGGGAAGCAAATGAGTCTGTGTGAGAGGAACCTGCAAGATCCTGACTCTGGGATGCACTAGCAACATCCTTGTTTATTGGCCTCCTGTTCTTTCATTCTGAATGCATTATTTTGCCAGTCTTGGGCAGCTAGCATGTGGTCCCAAAGCATGGCTTCTTCCTCCGAAATATTTTTCTTATCAACTGATTTTGGTCCGTGTGTGTGGCACCAATTCTTGTGTGTGGCACTATTCATTTTCTTTCCTCCTGAGGAATAGATCCAGATACATTTCAGGATTCCCCAGACATTTCCTGCTGTCTTCCTTAGGGCTTTGAGTTGCAAGTACTTAATTTTAGAATGTGTCCTCTGACAGGATCCGGCAGGTCAGGGATTATTAATCTCACTTTTGTTTGCACCTGCAATTCTATGCTAGTGCCGGGAGTACAAATGGTCAAGCTTGACTCCTGTCGTCATAGACCTTCAGTCTGGTGGGAAGGCAGATATGTAAACAACATCGAAGTATGATTAACTCTCTTGGGGGAGAGCATTGGTGGTGATACCTAAGTGGTTGCCTAGAATAGCTGGATTATTTAAAAGCCCTATAAACCATTGGATATTCAGTTGACCTGACAACCGTCTCTTCTCAGTCAGGTACCAGGAGTCTGAGAGAATACACTCTCATGGAGCTGCTTGTGGTAAGTGCACAGAGACACTGAGGTTTCCAGCAGCCCCCGGCCCACTTTTCTGCCTGGGATAGGGACATGGGGAGGTCAGAGACCTGTGATTTGAAGGTGGGATGGTCATCTACTGTTCTCACCCAGTATAAGCATGGACAGGCACTAAGGGAGGCTGGACTTGGGAGGTATGTGAAACACTCTGGGGAGAGAAATGGAGGTTTCTCTGCTGGGAGGAGTTGGGCTGATGGGCAGTATGTTGAATTACAGATGCACATGGAAGAACCTTGTTTTGACTTCCTTCGAACCAAGCAGACCCTTGGGTAAGTCTGCTGCAAGGCCACTGAGCTCAAGTAAGGGCCTAGGGCTAATTGCAGGCTGAAGTTCATCAAATATCCTTACTGAGCAGCCTGTTAGAGCTTCCTTCCATCTCACAGGGTGATACTTACTCATCCAAACTTTTGGAATTTGTACCTTGGACTATAATCAGGTTTTCCATGGGTCAAGTTTCAAGATAAGAAAAAAGGCTAGTGTGTGGTCCCCAATTCAGGAGAGGTATGGACACCTTAACATTTTTGGGTCGTTCCAGTAAGGATGGGCAGAAACTTTTCCCACTCCTATCTAGTGCCTCCAAGGCCAAGGCCCAGATGATCACCTGAGCTCATATAACTTTTCTCTCTGGCTGTAGGTACCATGTCTACCCTACCTGTAGGAACACATCCGGGATTCTAGGATTTTCTGTCACTGTGGGGACTCAGGCAACCAAATACAAGTGAGTGAATAGATGAGTGTAACCTCCTAGTAGGGGCTACATGTGCTTCCTTAAACCTTAGGCACCCCTGACCAAGTAGGTTTGCTCTGTTTAGTCAGTGGAAGCTGGGAAGATGGGGGTTGTTATAGATGACCTGTTCCAGGACTGATCAGTAGTTCCAGTGGCCCTATAGGATTTGATTCAAGTCCTGTGGTCATTGTATGGGGCTTGCCAGTTTCTTCTCTTCAGGCAGACCTAAGGACAAGAAGGGAAAGGATGCCTGATCTGACAGGCATGCTGTTAGTTTTCAGATTTGGAATGGTCAAACATGGTTGTGACTGCTTCATTATGAGGATACCTGGAAACTGGGCTGGAGGCGGGGTGAGGGGGAGGGTCCTGTTCTCTTTCTTTCCTCAACTTCAGGTGGAATACTGAGGCCTGGGAAAACACTTTAGCCTTTTTTCCTGGAAATGTGTCTTAGTCTTAATTCTTTATCTTCTGCCTGAGATCAGGTTTCTGATGACTTAATTGAAGATGTTTTGTTTCAGTTCTGAAGTTGTTGATAAGAAGATAGAAGAGTTTCTTTCTAGCTTCGAGGAGAAGATCGAGAATCTCACTGAAGAGGCATTCAACACCCAGGTGACTGTGCCAGCCTGGTCTTTTGGCCTTTGGCCCACACAGGTTCCCAGATACAAGTCTTAACAGGGCTTCGCTGGCCAGTTTTTGAGCTTTGCAGCTCCACCTTCCTCTTACCATAGTGTCCCCCTAGCTTCATCCGTCCGTCTCATACTGGCATGTCCATCACAAGCCAGGCTGGACAGGGCCCGGTGTGTTCTGGGGGAAGTGGTATGTGGCCCCCCCCTGAGCATCTTTCTTTTTGGTGGGAACAGGTCACAGCTCTCATCAAGCTGAAGGAGTGTGAGGATACCCACCTTGGGGAGGAGGTGGATAGGAACTGGAATGAAGTGGTGACACAGCAGTACCTCTTTGACCGCCTTGCCCACGAGGTAACATGGTTTTCAGAGTAAGACAGCTCAGACAAACTGGTGAAGGTTCCTGATTCTACAGGAATCACAGGTTCATGCACACCAGCATTGTGTGGAAGGAAACTCGAAACACTAGTCCTGGCCTGATTACTCGCTCACTTCTTGAGTTTTCAGACTGGCCTCTAGCACCTTAGTTGGCCACGTGAGCTGGGTGCTAATCCTTACCACACCACCACCAATTTCAATCAGAGCAGCTCTATTTTTATGCTATATATTGAGGTTTACAAGATTTTGTGGAGAAAATAGTTTTGCCATTTAAAGAAAACTGAGGACTCTGTCTTTATGGAGTTCATTATTCCAGGTGCCGGTCTTTTGACAACTTCTATTCCAAAGTAGTAAAACCTGTGAAAAACAGATCTGGATCCTGTACCTCAGTGTGACTTTGGTTAATATGTAGCCCCTATATGGTGAATTACCATAGGACATCATTGCTCTGTGATGGAAAGAGGCTTCATCTTAACGCAGTCTAGTTTTCTTAATAGAAGCAAGGTAGATTTCCTCAAGCCATGGTATGCAGCTACCATGTAACTGGGAGGTGACACTAAGGAGATGTGGGTGTTGGGCTCAGTGTCTGATATTTAGCTGTAATTAGAGCATCTGCTAACCTCTCTTGCCATTGTAGATGATTGGTATAAAATGTGAAGGTATGCGAGAGCTTCATCATTGTTTTGGTCTGGAAGATTAGGGGTGACCTGAGAATAGGAAGAATAAAATGTCTTCAGATGCTAAGCAGGTCCAGGGACATCTGCCTGGGGGTTAGGTTTAAGAGCTAACTTTCTTCTTAAATTTCTTTCCTGTCTTCCCTTCCCTTGTCAGATTGAAGCACTTAAGTCATTCTCAAAATCAGACCTGGTCAACTGGTTCAAGGCTCATAGAGGGCCAGGAAGTAAAATGCTCAGCGTTCATGTGAGTATGGTTAACTCCATCCAGTCTAGGGTTGTCGTTTACTGAGTTTGGGTGGTTATCAGAAATCTTAAACCCCTAAATCTGGTCAGCAGAATTTTCACTTTTGTCTTTGACCTCTTTCAGGTTGTTGGATATGGGAAGTATGAACTGGAAGAGGATAGTACCTCTTCTGGTGAGGATTCAAATTCTTCTTGTGAAGTGATGCAGCTAACCTACCTGCCAACCTCTCCTCTGCTGGCAGATTGTATCATCCCCATTACTGATATCAGGGCTTTCACATCAACACTCAACCTTCTCCCCTACCATAAAATAGTCAAATAAACTGCAGTCGCGTTGGCCTGAAGCAATGTGTATTTTAAAATGTGTTTGTATTTTATGGAGTTATACTACTGCCTTAGGGCTTCCACTGAAGTTTTGCACTGGCATCATAGCATTTGATTTACTTTTTATCCTTTCTTTGTTGAGACTAATAAACCCAGGGTTACTGTAGGAGCTGGCAAAGGAAGATTAGCAGAGTGGGCCAAATGAGACCAGAAAGCTTGCAGCAGCACTTTGAGAAGCCCTGGCCTGTGTCCTCTCAGACTGAGAATCCACTTCTTGAAAGGCCTTATGTAACCAGTATATTGAATAACTAAATGCTAGGTATTAGTGTTAGTACCTAAATGCTAGGTACTAACTCCTGTGTGGTTTTTTTTTTTGATGTATTTTTAAATAAAGATAGTTCTGTATTTCCCTTCAGAATGAGCCATTTGCTGCTGTGGCATTCATTTTATCATATCTATGTTGGTTCACTGTGGGGTGGGGATCTATAAATACATACTCTTCCCAAACCCTCTAAAGCAATAAAACATTTTTGGATAAAATGTTGGCAGGCAGCCCTACATGTGCAATATGAGTTAAGATTCTGGGGAATCGCCTGGCAGGGCTAAAGACAGAACATAGAGTCTGAGAGGAAAAGAATGGATCCTCCATTTTTCAAGTGTCTTTCTGAAAAGCTAGCTCTTGTATTCAAGGTTGCTGAATAATTGGCTTCCAAGTTTAACCATAAAAGATAATAAAAGATGCACATTTTTTAAAAAAGGTTGGAAAAATTACTTTATGAAGCCTTAAGAAGCACTAAGAATAATTAATTAAACTGTAATCCAGGATTAGATACAATTTAATAATAGTTCAGTTCCAAAATAAAAGTTATTTTAAGTAAGACCATGAAATTTCCTAACACTTGATTTTAATGCATTGCACTAATTTTCTAAAACAACTCAGAGGAACCCATATTTACAGTAGGCAGAATATTTATGAAAAAATCTGGCATCAGGTATATTTTATATATATGTATGTGTGTGTATGTGTATGTGTGTGTATCCCGAGATTATATGAACTAAGAAACAGGTTGTATATCTTAACAGCAGAACTAGAGTGCAGTTTCAGACTTGGATTTATAAATGCTTTCAACGTGTGGTGTTTGGAAAAGGAGAAGACATCATCTGGTTTTCAAAACCTGAAGTTTTTCTCAGGACTGAAATCAAAATCGTAACTGCCACAGAGGGAAAAGGGAAGCTTTTCCCCTTAATTGTTCATTTGCGTCAGAAAGTCCAGTATCCCTGAGATAGGAACCACTGTAATTAGAAGGGAGTGAACAGGTTTCTCCCAAAGGAAGATTGTTTGTTGCTGAATTATGCCTACTGCCCTGATCATCAGGTATAAACTTTGCATCTTCCAACCTAATGCTTGGCAGCACCAAGACGTTTCAGTAATGGTTCATCATAAACCCAGCATTCTCCATCTTCATGAAATAACTGTAAGAGAAAGGGGAAGAATCTAATTACATATTTGCTTTGTACTTCTATAATATACTTATTATTTCATGTCTTCTCCCCACCCTGACATTAGACTGAAATGAGTTTCAAGTAGGGACCAGGGATCATCTTGTTTATAAACAGTGTTTGGCACATCACTTCTTCAACATTCACTGAAATAAATTAGGAGGAATAGCACTTAGGAGGGTGGGGCAGGCAAGATTACCCTTGTCTCCCACTGAATCTCCTTCTCTTTCCTTTCTCGGGCTTCTGCTCTTTGTCTTTCTTCAAGCCTGTGCTTTGCTTCAGTTGCTGCATCAATGTCTCTGATTTTTAAGTTGAAAGTGACATCCTTCCAAAGGCTAAAACAAAGAGAGAAGAGGAGCTGGCAATGTTGAGAATGAAAGCCTGCAGCCATCCTGAATGTCGTTTAATACAATTCAAATGGCTTTAAGTGCTGTAGGTCACAGACTAAATCTCCTTATGCTGGCACCAGGGCACTGGAGTAAGGAACAGAGATATGGGCTCAGAAGACTCCACTGCTAGTTATCAAAGAAGGAAATAAGGGCTGCCTGATAATATGATAAGGTCAACAGAAGAAAAAGAATAGTGGAAGCTGAGACCTGGGATTCTACTTCTGGCTCAATGTTTAACTTACTGTGTAACTCTGGGTCAATCAGTTTACCTCTGTAGGGCTTGAGTGTCCCTTAATATAAACTGACAGTTAAGAGGAACTGAGAAGTTCCATTTCAGAAAAACTCCCTTGGATTTAACAATGTGATGGCGAAAACAGTATGAATGGAGAGAATAAGGGTCAAGAGGTAAATTACAGAGGCTTAAGGTAGTTAAGATGTGGCTTCCTCTCAAGGCCTTTATTCCCATTTCAGGAAAGAAGGTAAAGAGAAGTTAGCTAACTGAGCCATCCATGGTCACAAAGGTAGTAAGTGGTAGTTCTGACATACGAACCCAGGCATTCAAACTTGGTCTACACTATTATGCTCTGCCCTACTGTCTCTCAAACCCAGGCCTGTGCCTACGCCTAGGCAAAGTTTAAGCACTGCAGCAATAGTTACACTTAATGTCTGCTTACCTGCGGGATTCATACTCATTCTGATCTTCCAACTTCCTCACTTTCTTCTTGATTATAGGCAACTTCTTGGTATCTACAAAGACTGTATTTTCCTAGAAAACAATAAAGGTAGATGGGAACTAGACCCATAAACCCCTAACCTAATGTTAGGCGCACTGTAGTGCTTTTGACATTTCAAATTCTCTAGGTCCGAAATGCAGTTCACTGGCTCCTCCTGTTGATTTCATACCATCTTTCCTCTTTATTTAAGAACACTGCGTGGGTAGTAGTACAGACTGCAAGTTCCTTGAAGGAAAGGACTATCTTAACTCATTTTGCTATCTCTGGTGCCAGGCAGTCAGTAAATTTTATTATACAAAATCTTAAGTTGTGTATGAAAATCACAGATTAGTGCTTCATTTTATAAACATACCCCACATACTTAACATTTACTGGGTTCTTACTATGTGCCAGGCATTGTTTCACATATATTATTCTCAAGTGATTTGAGAGCAGAGAGAAAAGTAAAAATGATTATAATTACCTATTCTGCTGGGAGAAGGTGAGGGAAGGAAAGAAAAAGCTTGCCCTGAAGAGATGACATACATTGGAGCTGTCCTAAAGTCCCAGCTCTAATGTACTGTAGAAGAAAGAGCATTATGAAGGAAGTGCTAATGAAGGAAGCCAGAATAAGGGATAAAGTACAATCTAATGTAGCCTAAAACAAGTGGCAAAATAGAGGATCTTACCCCTGTTGCATATTTTGCATACATCACACCATTCCATTCCCCTTCAATTGAGCAAAAAGACTTCTTGTCATTTGGAGAACTGAAGACAAAAGGAAATACTTGTGTTAGTCTCAAGTTGAAAAGTATTCTACCAAAGAATCTGCTCAGTGTGGCCCAACTACGGAGTAGAGCACAGAAGAGCAACCGTGAAGTTTTTGACAAAAGCATCTTAACAGAACTGGACTCCCCAGGGCTAACTATGAGGGCCTTCAGCAAGATGCTTATGAACTTGAGCTCCCAAGAACAGTGGGTTTGGGCAAGAACGTCCTATTCTGGGTGCAAGGACCATAACAGACTTGGCAAATTCCATATCCTCAACCTGTCCACAGCCTAGTGGAGACACATATCACCACTGAGATTCTACGTGGTAAGTGCTGTGGTGAGCTTACATGGGCACTGGGGGTCAGGGAAGGCTTTGCTTAAGAATATAATGCTGGAGACCAGGCTTTCATCCTCAGGTTGAAAAGGACCTCTGTGCCAAATGGTGTGAATACTTTCCCTGAGCAAGGATCCATTCTGCAAAAGCCGTAACAGACATCTACTTGGACACACAAGTATGGAATGTGAGAAGATAAGCAACACAGCAAAGGCCTGGTTAGGAAGGGCAAGGCATAAACAAGATTGAAAGAGGCCAGAAAAGGGGGAAATGAACAGGGCAGAGGGAGGAGAGCTGCTATCAGTGCCTGAAACTTTCTTTCCCACTGTCCCCTTCCCCCCAATTAAGGGTTCCAGAGTCAGAGAAAGTCATGGTGCCCTCACTGTAGACCTTCCACTGACTGGCACAGCCATCCGCATCTGACCCGAGAGTATCAAATGGAAGCAAGCCAGATGCCTGCAAAATGTGATGGTTACTATTTTTCCCTAGCAAAGGCACAGAAAAAGGGGTAGCTGTAAGGACTTGGAGGCAGTGCTGCGGGGGTCACAAAGTCTGCTGTAAGGACCAGCTCATCGTTCAATCTGGCAAGAATAAATTAGCGATCCATAATCTGGTTTAGCTAGGCAACCTAGGAAGGCCTCTTTTGGTTCAACATTGCAAGTCAGGTTCTTAGGAAGGAAACCTATCAATGACCTTTGACTGCTCTGAATATATGTTTTAGGTCTTCTTCTGATACCAGATTTTAACAAAAGACATGACACACAAAATGTGAAACAGGCTTACAAAGACAGAACCATTCTTTCACACTCCTAATCCAGAAGCTATAGTTCAAGACAAAAGGCAATTATTTCAGAAAAGCATAAGAGCTCTAAGGCAGAAAAAATACCTACAAAATCTCAGCAGTAATTCTGTGCTTCTTGCCCCCATAGAAGGGTTTAGTGTGGAAGATGATATTTGCACTATAGCCTGTTTTGGAACAATTAATATTGCATTCTCCTCCTAATTCCACCCAGGGCACTGTGAGGATAGACCTGCAAAATCAAAATTTTTAGGTAAGGTTGACAGTTAAGAGGAAGAGGGGGAAGGGGCATGTTTCAGGGAACAGCAGAGTCTACTGCTGATGACAGGAAATGAGCACACTTGCCTTCCATAGCCATTGGGGAATGTGAGAATGTAATGTTCATCATAGTCTAGACATGAGACACAGCCTGTGGAGAGAAGGGACAGAATCTCTGATGAGTAGTGCCAAGTGGCCACAAGGCTTTCTTGTCGAGTTGATGGATACTCCATTCAATTTAGGGATAACCTATCTAGCTCCCCACCCTTGCTCTCACCCCCAATACCAATGCTTAGTTGCTAACAATGACATCTAGTCTAGCCATTTTCTTTTACTAGACAAGTGTCCATCACACATTAGAATGACATAAAATTCTCCTATAACACTGTAGTCCACCCAGTGCCAACACACTTACCCTGCCCTATGTTGTGCACCCCAATTGACATCCCAAGGAACTTTGATTTGGTCCAGATATGAGCATTGAATTGTATCTTCTTGTTAAAACACTCAGCATAAAAGGCTGAAACTGAATAGAAATTTTCAGTTAGTACATTATATACCTACAGGCACCTCTCCAAAATTACATAACCTAGGGAAATAACTGGCTTCATGGGGAAATCCTTTACCCTTCAAACAGCCTCCAATTAGGCCAGGAGGTACCTACCTGCCTTTTATACCCTTTTCCCCAATGCAAGCATTCATTCAGAGACATGTGGACAGGGTCATCCCTGAAATGATGCTGTGGCCAACCCAGGAAGCCTAAAACCAAAAGGGCTATCTGTTCTGGTCTGCAAGTATGCCCAGGCTCCAGCCCCAACCTAGGCCCATCCAGTGTTTCCAGTTTTAATACTGCACTAAACAAACAAGATGTTGAGGGTATGTACAGTTGACCCTCCATATCCATGAGTTTTGTACCCACAGATTCAGCCAACTGTGAGTCTAAAATATACAGAGGCTGTGCTCAGTGGCTAATGCCTGCAATCCCAGTACTTTGGGAGGCCAAGACGGGAGGATCACTTGAAGCCAGGAATTTGAGACCAGCCTGGGCAACAGAGTGATACATTGACTCTAAAAAATAAAAATAAAAAAACTAGTTGGGTGTGGTGGCACACGTCCATAGTTCCAGCTAATTGGGAGGCTGAGGTGGGAGGATCATTTGAGCCCAGGAAGCCCAGGAGGCTGCAGTGAGCTATGGCTGTGCCACTGCACTCCACCCTGGGGCACAGAGCAAGACCCTGTCTAGAAAAAATAATAAAATACAAAATAAAAATAATACAAATAAAAGAAACAGTGAAATAACTATTTACGTAGCATTTACACTGTATTAGGCATTACAAGTAATCTAGAGATGACCCAAGTATACAGGAGGGTGTGCATAGGTTATATGAATATAAAAGACACCATTTTATGTAAGACACTTGAGCATCCTCGGTTTTGGTATCTGCAGTATGCCAGGAATACACTGTGTAGAAACTACGTATCACTTATATAAACTGTCTCACAGTTGCTGAAGTCTCTACAGCACAAATTACTATATATAAGATGACTCTGGAATCATTAAAAGTTGGTTTCCTAAATTCCTTCTTTTTATACATACTTAATTTGTGAAGCTCAGAGTCTGGAGCTTACAAAAGGAAAAGATATGAGGAACCAATCAACTTGAGTTTCCACTTCAGGGAATAGGAAACACACAGCTAGTCACACAACTAACAGTAACCTCAGCTATGGAGCTTTTAATGACCCTCTTTAGACAGGACAGTTGGAGAGCAGAGGTTGCAGAGGAGCTCTGTGACTTACTGGGTGGATGATGGGAAACCTGCTCAGCCACGAATGTTACACTGTTTTTGGAAACCCAGGGAACTGGTCCTTCTGAAACTAGTTCCTGCAAGCAAATATAACATAATTTTCTTTTGATGAGAAAACACAAATGACATCAGAGAATCTGATAATTGGGGTCTCTGCTCGCTCTACACACACCAAGCACCCTATATATATTTCTATTGCAGAACGTTATTCAATATTTTAATTGCTTTGTGTCAGTCTCCCTGACTAGACTAAGACATTCTTAAAGGCAAGGATCATGTGCCTCACTCAGGGCTGACAAGAGTAGGCACTTACCAATGTCTGCCAAATGAGTAAGAACAGACACATGCTTCTCTGTCTTCAGTATGGACTATATATAATGTGTCACTTGGAAAGGGAAACATATGGAGAACCATGTTTACTGACAGATTATTATGTGTCAGGTGCTGTGGGCTATGGTTTTGTTTTTTTCACTTCTAAAAGCCTTTTTACATGCATTTGAGTCTTCCTTGCTGGACATTTTCTTCAACCACTAAATTTGTTGGAGCCTCAGTTCTGGGTTACCTACTTCTGTAGCTATGCTGTCTTTCTAAATAATTTTATCCAATCCTAGAGCTTTAAAATGTCATCTAACTACACTATAATCTTTGAAAGCCCCATCTCCATCTCAAACCTCTCCCTAAACTCCACACTCTTAAATTCCAACTCCCTTCTTAACAGCTTCACAGACCTCTAAAACTTTATATTTTATTTTAGATTTTGATTTTTCCCTCCCCAAATCCAATCTTTTCCTTATCAGTAAATGACACTGCCACTGCTTAAGTCCACACACAAGGATTCATCTCTGATGTCTCCTTTCCCTTACCCCCCCCAATCCATCAATCACTTCTACCTCCACAATAAAGCTTGAATCACCATGTCTCTCTTGGAATAATGTCAAAGCCTCCACAATGGTCTCCATGCTTCTATATTTGTCCCTTCTCAACTTACTTTTCACAAAATCATTCTAATGATCTTCTCAAAACAAAAATGAGATCCTGAAAAACCATAAAATTATATTATGGCCCACAAGACCTTGCAAGATCTGATTTCTACATCCCCATCCTCATCTCATCCTACTCTTTTCCCTCCTTCTCACTACATTCAAACTATGCTGCTCTAACAACAATTTCTTCTATGGGTGGTGACCATCTTTTGATCATTGCTTTCATCATTATCATCTGCCCCTAAATAAAATCTTGAATCAGTATACAATTAAGATAATTTAAAAATGTCAATGCAGAACTCACAGTGTTCTCTTCAGTATCATTTGGTAATGTCCAATGACACTGAAAAATCTCGCCCAAAATGGGATTGTATGGCTTTTTGGCAACTGATCCTTTCCTTCCTGCATGAAAGGCTGAGAGGTACCATTTCACAACCTGAACCATTCGATCCTTGGGATCCTTCTGGTCACTAATGCTGCAATGGAGAAAGACAAAATTTAACACCCTGCTTTTTGGTAGAAGACAAGATGATATAACAACCCCCAGCATGGTCCACCTAAGTCCGACTGAGAGGACTGAGGACCTAGGACCAGGGGTTAGCTTAAAGTTTCGTTTAAAAATTCAGGTATAATATATATATAATTAAATGCATTGGTCTTAGTGGTTTAACTTTTTTTAAAAATTTCAACAGGTTTTTGGAGAACAGGTGGTGTGTTTGGTTACATGGATAACTTCTTTAGTGGTGATTTCTGAGATTTTGGTGCACCCATCACCCGAGCAGTACACACTATTTCCAATGTGTAGTCTTTTATCCTTCCACCCTTCCCCTTGAAACCCCAAAGTCCACTGTATCATTTTTTTTTTTTTTTTGAGATGGAGTCTCACTCTGTCGCCTGGAGTGCAGTGGCGTGATCTCGGCTCACTGCAACCTCTGCCTCCCAGGTTCAAGCAATTCTCTGCCTCAGCTTCCCGAGTAGCTGGGATTACAGGTGCTCGCCATCAGCTTGGTTTTTCATTCCCGAGTTTCTTCACTTAGAATAATGGTTTCCAGCTCTATCTAGGTTGCTGTGAATACCACTATTTCATTCCTTTTTATGGCTGAGTAGCATTCCATGTGTATATATGCCACATTTTCTTTATTTGCTTGTTGACTGATGGGCCTTTGGGCTAGTTCCATATTTTTGCAATTGCAAATTGTGCTGCTATAAACATGTGTGTGCAAGTGTCTTTTTCATATAATGACTTCTTTTCCTATGAGTAGATACCCAGGAGTGGGACTGATTAATCTAATGGTGGATCTACTTTCTTTTTTTTTTTTTGAGACGGAGTCTCGCTCTGTCGCCCAGGCTGGAGTGCAGTGGCGCGATCTCGGCTCACTGCAAGCTCCGCCTCCCGGGTTCCCGCCATTCTCCTGCCTCAGCCTCCCGAGTAGCTGGGACTACAGGCGCCCACAACCGCGCCCGGCTAATTTTTTGTATTTTTAGTAGAGACGGGGTTTCACCGTGGTCTCGATCTCCTGACCTTGTGATCCGCCCACCTTGGCCTCCCAAAGTGCTGGGATTACAGGCGTGAGCCACCGCGCCCGGCCGGATCTACTTTCAGTTCTTTAAGGTATCGCCATTCTATTTTCCATAATGGTTGTAGTAGTTTACATTCGCACCAGCAGTGTAAAAGTGTCCCCTTTTCATCATATCCACATCACATCTATTATTTTTTGATTTTTTGAATATGGCCATTTTTGCAGGAGTAAGATGGTATTAATAGCATTGTGGTTTTGATTTGCATTTCCCTGATAATTAGTGATGTTGAGCATTTTTTCATGTTTGTTGGCCACGTTTTTTTTTTTTTTTGAGACGGAGTCTCGCCCTGTCACCCAGGCTGGAGTGCAGTGGCGCGATCTCAGCTCATTGCAAGCTCTGCCTCCCAGGTTCACGCCATTCTTCTGCCTCAGCCTCCCCAGTAGCTGGGACTACAGGCATCCACCACCACGCCCAGCTAATTTTTTTGTATTTCTAGTAGCGACAGGGTTTCACTGTGTTAGCCAGGCTAGTCTCGATGTCCTGACCTCGTGATCTGCCCACCTCAGCCTCCCAAAGTGCTGGGATTACAGGTGTAAGCCACCACGCCCAGTCAACCATTTGTCTTATTATCATCATCTTCTTTTGATAATTGTCTATTCATGTCCTTAGCCCACTTTTTGATGGGACTGTTTTTATTTTTCCTTGCTGATCCATTTGAGTTCCTTATAGATTCTGGGTATTAGTCCTTTGCCAGATGCACAGTTTGCAAATATTTTCTCCTACTCTCTGGGTTGTCTGTTTACTCTGTTATTTCTTTTGCTGCGCAGAAACTTTTTAATTTGACTAAGTTCCATCTATTTATCTCTGTTGCATTCACTTTTGGATTATCGGTCATGAAGTCTTTGCCTAGGCCAATGTCCAGAAGAGTTTTTCCCATGTTATCTTCCAGAATTTTTATGGTTTTAGGTCTTAGATGTAAGTCTGATATATGTTGAGTTGATTTTTGTATAAGGTAGGTGAGTGATGTGGATCCAATTTCATTCTTCCACATGTGGCTTGCCAGTTATCCCAGCACCATTTGTTGAGAAGGGTGTCCTTTTCCCACTTTATGTTTTTGTTTGCTTTGTCAAAGATCAATTGGCTGTATTTCGCTTTATTTCTGGGTTCTCTATTTTGTTCCATTGGTCTATGTGCCTTGGTCTTAGTGTTTTGCTTGAGGAGTTGACAAATGTATATATCTTTTAATTAATCATCAATCAAAAAACAGAATATTTCCATTAATCCGGAAAGTTTCCATATCTCCCTTTCCAAACAATCGCCACATCTTACTTACCCCCGAGGCAAACACTGCTTCTGGTTTCTAGTATCATAGATTAAGTCCATGTAAGTGCATTGCTTAATTGTCAAATAATTGGAGATTTTCTCTATGTTATCAATTACTAATTTAATTCATGGGTGTAGAATATACACCTTGTATGATTCCAATTATTTTAAATTTATTGACTTCCCTGTATATGTTCTATCTTGATGAACATTTCACATGCACCTAGAAAAGACTATGTGTTATACAATTGTTAGGCAGTGTTTGGAAAGGCCAATTGGGTCAAGTTGATTTGATAATGCTGTTTAAATCTTCTATAGCCTTCCTGATTTTTTGGGAGGGGCAGGGAGGTGGTGAAGGCAGAGGCTACTTGCTTCATCAGACACTGAGGGATGAATTTGTGGACTTGGCTATTTCTCTTTTTAGTCAATTTTTGTTGCTGCATGTATTTTAAAGCTGTGTTATTAGGTACATATATATTTAGTGGTATTATTTATTCTTGATAAATAGATACTTTTATCATTACAAAATATTCCTATTTGTCTCTAATAATATTTGTCTTAAAAGTCTCCTTTGATACTTATACAGCTACACCAGTTTTGCTATGCTTAGTGTTTTGCATAGATATCACTGTCCATCCTTTTACTTTTAACCAGCACCTTTAAAGTTTCTCTCCTGAAAATATCATATAGATAAATCCTGCTTTTTAAATCCAGTCTGACATTAAATGGAATGTGTATTCTATTTACATTTAGTATAACTGTTGATATAGTTGGGATTAACTCTACCATCTTGATAGGTTTTCTACATGTCCCCTTTGTTCCCTGTTCTTTCTCCTTTTCTCCTTTCTTAGAATTAATGGAGTATTTGTACGATTCCGTTTAATCTATTGGCTTTTGAACTGTACTTTTTTTTTTTTTTTTTAAGACAGTGTCTTGCTCTGTCACCCAAGCTGTAATGGTGTGATTATAGCTCACTGCAGCCTCAAATTCCTGGGACTGCATGACCCTCCTTGTCTTAGCCTCCCAAGTAGCTGGAACTACAGGTGCACACCACCATGCCTGGCTTATTATTATTATTAAAAAAAATTTTTTTTTGTAGGGACAGGGTTGTGCTATGTTGCCAAGGCTGGTCTCAAACTCCTAGCTTCAAGCACTCCTTCTACTTTGGCCTCTCAAAGTGCTGGGATTACAGGCATGAGCCACTGTACTTGGCTTGTAAATAGTTCTGGGGGCCTCAAAATTTAAATTCTCACACATAAAAACTACCCTTAAATCTCAAATCTATACCCAATGAACAACTGGTATGTTCCATTTTTACTTACACATGTTACTAATAAATGCTTAAATTTTACTTCTTAAATTATCTGTTAAACAGTGCCATATTTATTTAAATTTCTGCCTTTTGGGAATTGGTTATTCTTTTAAATGTTCATCAAGAAAAAAATATATATATTTATCAATGTCAGCCAATGTATCCACCCAGCAAGACACTTCAGTGATATGTATCTGGCTTCAGTAAACCACAGTCTGAGACTAAGGAATGCAGAGAAGACGAACTAACAACATTCCCTATTACAAAAAAATTTCCTGCTACCAGAGAAAGGCAATGTGAACTCACCTCCTTGTAAATCAATTTCACCTTTACGTTACTTCTATCTCATACATATATGCATATATAATATTGCAAACTTTATATTTAAAATGTATAAATCATCTATAATTTGGATGCTATATTGTAAGCTCGAGGGCAGGCACTGACTTTTCCTTTCTCCAACTCATAAGAAAGTGCATAGCAAACAACGGGTGCTTTAGAAAGGTTTGCTGAACTCAGAAAATTAAACTTCATTAAGATATAGTACAAATAATTTGACAGTGATTGCCAGTGCCTGGATTAAATACACTTATACCATTGGCCTTGTAAATATTGGCTACCTATTAATGGGCTCTTGAGAATTTTTTAAAGTGTTAAACTTGGTTGCCTAACAACATCACCACCATATAACTTAAGCAAACAGATAGGCATCCAGTGTAAACACATTATTCAATACCACAGAATACCCAGAAATGTTTGAAAGGTGACAAGGAATCAATCTATCCTGCAAAAAAAAAAAAAAAAAAAAAAGGGCAGAAAGCTGCTGAGTAACATCTGTAAAAGTTGGAAACTATCATGTACAGTCAAATACCTCACAAACAGGTCCGGATGTGCAAAAAAGTCTGCATACATTTCTAAAAGAGATCTTCTTTCAAGAATAAACGTTGGAAGAACTACCTGAAAAACATACACATTTGACCCTTGAAGATCAAATTTCTCTTCAGATAAACAGATTAAAAAAAAAAAAAAGAAAACAAAACAAAACACCACCTCATTCAAATCATGGTAACATCCACCACATATTGCCCAGGCATGCTCCAAAAACTTATTCTCAACCTGTCAGATTCAGAAATGACCATTAAACTGCCCAGCAGATCAAAAACAGAGAAGGGGTTTTGAATGTTCAAATGTCACTTCCTCTGTGCAACTTCCTTTTTCTCCCTAAGTATAGTAACAGCAACAAACTACTCAACAAACTCACTCAGAGGAATCCTTTGATGCCTCCTATCTGCTGGACATTACATATACATTATTTTATTATTTGTATATTACATACACATTATCTCACAGTAGCCCTATGATGAAGAAATTATTAGCCCAATGATGAACAAATCATTACAGTGAAGAAATACGAAGCTCAGAGGCTGAGAGATTTTCTCATTGTCCTATTATTAATGTGGAATTCAAAACTGGATCTGAGTTTGGGGTGTGTGTGCACTTTCCTCTCTACTGCTGTTGCTCTATCATCATTAGACAAGTGTATAGGAAATATATGATGAGCACCTACAATCCAAGAATTAAGTTTTTATTCACACTTGTGCTGTCACTACTATTTACACAGTAAGACACTTTTAAATGAGCAATTAAAGGAATAAACAAAAGGAAGAAGAGAATACAGACTGGGAACCGACAAACTGGAATATGGGAAGACATGAGAAAGATGAGGATTAACCAATAAAAAAAGAGAAGAATTTCATTAGAGAATGGGAATGGAAGAAGAGTTTTTGAAATGAGTATCAGATTATCAATTACTCATTACGAAGTAGAACACCCCAGAGTGAGCAAAAATTTCTTTACATTTAGTAGTAACTACATATCCACCACATTCAAGGTCCTGTGTTAAAAGCTATGGTGGAGGCTGGGCACAGTGGCTTGTGCCTATAATCCCAGCACTTTGGAAGGCTAATGTGGGTGGATCACCTGAAGTCAGGAGTCTGAGACCAGCCTGGCCAACACAGTGAAACCCCATCTCTACTAAAAATACAAAAATTAGCTGAGTGTGGTGGTGCACGACTGTAGTCCCAGCTACTTGGGAGGCTGAGGCAGGAGAATCGCTTGAACCCAGGAGGCGGAGGTTGCTGTAAGCCAAGATTGCACCACTATACTCTAGCCTTGGTGACAGAGCAAGACTCCATCTCTAAATAAATAAATAAATAAGTAGCACTCCAGCCTGGGCAACAGAGCAAGACTTCGTCTCTAAATAAATAAATGCAAGCAAGCTATGGTGGAGACAAAGGTTAAGTATGAGAGAATAACAAGAGCATTTAAACTGCAGGTGGAATGTGACTAACATCATACAAGAAATATCCTAAGCACTTTGGAAGTTCAGTTCAAGGAAAGATCATGTTCTGTTTGGTGGACCAGAATTAGGGCAGAGCTGGGAAACAATTTATTGAGGTGGCACTAGAGAATAAAGCCTAGAGAAGAGGAAGGCTGTGATAAAAGAACAAGGCATGGAGACGAGAGAAGAAAAAAAAAAAAAGACAAGGAAAGGCTAGGAAAAGGGGTGTGACAGGGATTCATCAGTGAACCAGTGTGGCTGGACATATAATGAAAATATAAAGTGGGCTGATGAACACAAGCTTGGAAAGGGACACTAAGACTCTAACACTTAGAATCTCTATCATCAGACTCTCAGCATTTAAATTTTAGGTAAACATTTTTCTTCCACAGAACACGTAAATTCATAATCCAAATAGGGTTAGATTAGCAGGTAAGCTTATATGCTGACTTAGTACAATTTCTTACCACTTTAGATAACACAGAAATTATAAACCACCGAGAAAAAATGCTGAAGAAGAAAACGGGTAAATACCTTCAATGTATAAACAGCTCTTACAACTCAAGATGAAGATCACTACTCCAGGAGATAAATGGACAAAGGGACTGAACAGCCAAAAAACATTTTTAAAAAGTTTAATTTCACATGTAATTGAAGAAAACATAAATATTTTTTTCTTCTACTTAGGATTTTTCTGAGAACTCTTATTTAACAGATTTTCTTCAATATTTGTAGTGCTATACTGATAAATGCTATTAAGTCAAACTGCTGTAACAGTGATGAAGAGAGCTGGGTTTAGTTGTCTTCAACCTGGGTTCAAGCACTTGTTTAGCCTCTTCTTAGCTGTGAGGAAGCCCTGAAAAATTAACTCAGTTTCTCTAAGTACCTGAAAAGAAGATAATTACATGTGCTGCTTATATGTTAGGATTGTTTTAAAGACTAAGTGAGGTTAAATGGGATGTGACTGTGTAGTATTTTTTAAAACTACAACGTATTTGGAAAACAAACTCTTTTCATAAAGTATCTGAAGTGAGAAAACATTCTTAAAAAAGACATAAACTTAAGGCATTATTGTAATAATACTTTAGAATGCATAAAAGGAACCAAGATTTCAGAATCTGTTGGCAATCACAGCCATTTGTGCCAATACAAATTTTGAAAATGACTTATTTTAAACACATTCAGCAAAAAATAATTATAATAGTCATAAAATAAACTTTTAGCAGCTATGGACTCAAATATGGATTATTTGGCAGAGAAAATTATGTGAGGCAAGAATTACAAACTTGATTGTGGCAAACACATCCGGTTGCCTCTCCACATCCATGCTTCACCCCCAAGAACTCTGATTCAGTTCAGGTTCAGCTATGGGCTGCCATGGCCCTCTCCCACGTCTCAAGGGGTGAATGTAGATTCATTTAAACCAAATGCCAGTGGCAGGTTTAGGCATGAGCATATGCCTGATACTGGCCAATGAGATTCAATAGGAAGCTTAACGAGCCACTTCTGGAAAAGAATGTCCTTCCTAATAACAACAACAACAACAACAAAAAGGCAGCAGCTGTGCAATCTAATGATTACTGAAGCAATTCTGGGGACAAACTCCTGCAAATATTCTTCTGCCTAGAACATTCCTAGTAAGTGTGCTGGGCTCCAAAATAAATGTTGTCCTTGTGTTTCTGTTCTCACTTAGATTAGGGGTAAAAGGTTTTATTATAGACACTTATTTGAAGGTATTATGAATTAGTCTTTTTCTTAATGGCCCTCTAAATCCAAAACAAAAAGGAGTTCACTACTGACGAAGACTATAGCACTGGAGTTGATTTCGCCCTAACAAAAGTGAGAACCCTAAATTTAATCAACTCCCAAAGCTCGGCAGAACAATAATAAATATGAAAGCTACTAAAGTTCAAGCCTTCAAGACAAAGGCGGTAGTGGAAAGATTATAGGTTTTAAAATCATGGAGCAGATTAGAATCTCAGTCTGCCACTTAATATGACTTAACATGACTCAGCCACATTATTTCACCTGAGTTTTAGTTTCCTGATGAAGTTAACAGTAACGCCTACTCTGCGGAACTGTGGTGAGAATTAAGTGAAAGGAGGGGATTTCTGGCACAGTGGCAGGAATATACAAAGGCAACCATATACCAGTCTCCTAATTCAAGCGTGCATTCTATTGAGAGCTCCAAGTTTAAAATCAAAGTCAAATCCAGACTATGGTAATTGTCAGTATGTGTCATTTTGCATGCCTGTAATCCCAGCTACCAAGGAGACTGAGGCAGGAGAATCGCTTGAACCTGGGAGATGGAGGTCACAAATATGTCACAATTTTACATTCACAATCTCTTCCAATCCTTACAACCCTCTGAAACAGGTTACTATGTGTCCAATTTGCATAGAGAACCCTGAAGTCCACAGAGGAAGAAACAGAAGAAGAAACTCACTGAAGCCCGTGCGTGGTTTGATAATAGTAGAGGTAGAACGAAAACACAGATCCTCTGACCCTAAGATTAGAACTCTACCAAGTCTTAACCCATAGAACTCATACACACTGTTCTCTATGAAATTATCCTAGCTTGACTTATTTCATCATTTACAAAATTTTGTTTACTTATCCACATGTATATTAAATCACAAGAAGACACAAGTATAAACAAAAATTATGTCATTTTACTACATTTGCAGGCACACTCACCACACAATCACTGAGAATCCATACATACTCACACAGACTTACAGCAAATTTGGTCTTACCTTAGTAAGATCCATTCCAAGCCTAACCTGTGACAAAAGATGCATGATAACACTTTTGTGCTCCTCCACAGACCCTGCCTCCGCGTCATCATCTCTGTCATCATGTGAATCGAAAAGGTCTAAAATAAAGCACATCTTATTAGAATGGTGCTAAATTGGGCCAATCTGTGCTGATACTAGAATTACAATTTTTTTTTTTTTTGAGATGGGGTCTCACTCTGTCGCCCAGACTGGAGTGCAATGGCATGATCTCGGCTCACTGCAAACCTCCGTCTCCCAGGTTCAAGCGATTCTCCTGCCTCAGCCTCCTTGGTAGCTGGGATTACAGGCACGCGCCACTACACCCAGCTAATTTTTTGTATATTTTGAGTACAGACAGGGTTTCACCATGTTGGTCGGGCTGGTCTTAAACTCCGGACCTCAAGTGATCCGCCCACCTCGCTCTCCCAAAGTGCTGGGATTATAGACATGAGCCACCACGCCCGGCTACAAATATTTTTAAAGAAAAAAAAGTTAAATTATCAAAGGTCACTCACCAGCATCACTTGTTCCATTGGACATGGAAGAATTAAGTGATTCTGTGGTATCTGGGCGTTTCAGACTATTTCCCGAGCTGCTGTGTGTCAGGACCGAGGCAGATCCAGAAGAACTAAAAAAACATTAATCACCTTATTTAAGCTAAAGAAAGCAATTTAGAATCATAGTAAGCTAGACTCTTACAGTTAACTGGTTACATGCATGCATATACACGCTTTCAAATTCTCTTGATGACAAGGTCTCTTGTCTTATCCTTTATGCATAGGGCATGCTCAACAAAGCCATGTTGATAGTCAAGACCCAGAGGTCATCAAAAATTAGTGAAATCTTTGCCTCTGCATTTAAGTTTAAAACTACAGTTCATTTTCTGATTTTGTTACTGGATATAAATCTAAATGTGTCACAATTCTTGGCAACAATTCCAGAAACTCAAAAACGGCAAGTCTCAGAAATATGCCTTGTCTTTATGTTTGAGATCCTTTGATAAAGGCCCACATTGGTATTAACATTCTTCCTAATCATTAAAAAATTGTACTTAAAATTAGAAAATAAAAAAGCGTCTTATTTATGCAAGTAAATTTATGCTAACTGGCTTTATGAGCCAGTTAACAGGTCTAAAGAAAGACTGTTCTATTATTAATAGATTATCATACCTGTGATCATATTTTACCCACGGAAGTAAGAGAGTGTGTGTGTGTGTTTGTGTGTGTGCGCGCACATATTTATATTTTTCTTAAGAGATAAGGTCTCCCTATGTTGCCCAGGATGGACGTGAACTCCTGACCTCAAGTGATCTTCCCACCTCAGCCACCCAAGTCACTGGGTTTACAGGTGTAAGCCACCACACCCAGTTGGTATTTGTATATAAATAAAGGAAAAATTAAAAAGGCACATAATTTACTTATTAAATGTAAAAATTGAAATCAAATTTCTCACACTGTAGATATTTATAAAACAGTACACATATAACAGTCGTATCACAACTCTACAGGTGTGAAAGCATGTTATGTATTCTTTTTTTTTTTTTTTTTTTTTTTTGAGACAGAGTCTCACGCTGTTGCCCAGGCTGGAGTGCAGTGGCGCGATCTCGGCTCACTGCAAGCTCCGCCTCCCGGGTTCCCGCCATTCTCCTGCCTCAGCCTCCTGAGTAGCTGGGACTACAGGCGCCCGCCACCGCGCCCGGCTAATTTTTTGTATTTTTAGTAGAGACGGGGTTTCACTGTGGTCTCGATCTCCTGACCTTGTGATCCGCCCGCCTCGGCCTCCCAAAGTGCTGGGATTACAGGCTTGAGCCACCGCGCCCGGCCGCATGTTACGTATTCTAATCTAATCATAGTTTGCCCTTGTTACCTTCTTTTGCTTTTTTTAAATTAATAAACTTTATTTTTAGAGCAGTTTTAGGTTCACGGCAAAACTGAACAGAAAGTACAGACAGCATGCATATACTCCCTGTCCCTACACATGCAAACCTCCCTCACGATCAACATCCCATACCAGAGAGGTATGTTTCTTACAACCAATGAGCCTACATTGACACATCATTATCACTCAAAGTCTACAGTTTATATTAGGGTTCACTCTTGGAGTTGCCTGTTCTGTGGGTTTTGATAAATATATAACAACATGTATCCATCACTGTATCACACAGAATAGTTTCACTGCTCTAAAAATCCTCTGGGCTCTGCCTGTATTAGAATGCTAGAATATTAGGATATTCTAAAATTAGAATATATTATGTATTCTAATTTGTCCTGGTTACTTACCTATTTTTCAAAATTCCTTGAGTAACTAAGTATTACTTCTTTGATAACTTAGTAGTATAGATCATAAGGTACTATGACTAATGTCTGCCTCACCAGTTTTGAGAGGCAGTGGAAAATATGTCTAAAAGACGTAGGTAAGAGAAATCAAATAATCATTAAATGACAGAACTGGGGTCAAGCATGGTGGCTCACGCCTGTAATTCCAACACTTTGGGAGGCCAAGGCGGGAGGATCACTTGATCCCAGGAGTTTGAGTCTAGCCTAACATGGTGAGACCCTATCTCTACAAAAAATAAAAAAATTAGGCTGGGTGTGGTGGCTCAGGCTTGTAATCCCAGCACTTTGAAAAGCCAAGGTGGGCAGATCACTTGAGGTGAGGAGTTCAAGACCAGCCTCATTAACATGGTGAAGCCCCATCTCTACTAAAAATACAAAAAATTAGCCGAGCATGGTGGCATGTGTATGTAGTTCCAGCTACTTGGGAGACTGAGAAATGAGAATCGTTTGAACCTGGGAGGTGGAGGTTGCAATGAGCTGAGATCATACCTCTGCACTCCAGCTCCAGCTTGGGCGACAGAGTGAGATTCTGTCTCAAAAAAAGAAAAAAAAAAAATAGCTGGGCATGGTGGTGAGTGCATGTGGTTCCAGCTACTGGGGAGTCTCATGGGGGAGGATCACTTGAGTCCATGAGGTTGAGGCTATAGTGAGCTGTGTTTGTGCCAATGCACTCTAGCCTGAGTGATAGAGTGAGACCCTCTGTCTCAAAGAAGAAAAACAAAAAAGCATGAAAGTTATCTTTAAAATGTTTTGTGCCTCTGTGATGTATCTCAAAATAGAGTCAATCTTTTAAATCAATTGACCTAAAAACCCCAAATGCTATAATATATGAATCTTATTTTAGATGCAATTCCAAAGGTCCTATTTATGCTGTGTTTTTTCTCCTTACCCATGGTTAGAAACCATGTCTGGGCCAAGTGAAATACTCAATAAGACTGTAAATGGAAAAAAAATGGGATAAATTTTTAGCCATTTCATAGTTTACCTTGTTCAGAACAAATGATATAAAGAAAACAGTTAAAAACAACATCTATGTATACAGGAAAGTTTTATCTTCAATGGGCTAATTGTCTAGAATTTATGTATAAAATCATAAAGTATGCAAAAACACTTTAAAGCTATGAATTACAATATCAATTTATTGAGTACCTTATATGTGCCATACACAGTATGTCTATATCTACATTACGACCCTAAAATAAACACAATGACGCTCATAATACACAGATGCTCAGAGGTTCAATGACAGGCCTGAAGTCATACAGCTGGTGAGTAGTGGAGCCATTTCAAACACTTCTGGCTCCAAAGTACATGTTCTTTCCAACATGTACTTTTATCTAATTTATAAATGCGTAAGCTACACTGCTCAGTGACATAGTTACACAGAAGCTATCACTAGTATAGGTCTTTAGAAAAAGAACAGTGAAAGGACTTAAGCTTTCAAGTTCTCTTCCTTCAGAAAGAAAAAAACAAACAAAAAATAGTAAAAAGAAATTTGACCTCAGAGTTAGAAAATTAGCAGTAGCAGCTGAAGACCAGCAGGTGTCACAAGCTCGAAAACCTACAGACGCCAGGCAGAGAATACGTGGACAGGACCAAGACATAAGATAATACGGAACTGGGGAGCCAGCATACCCAACCTGAAAGGATCTTAAAGCCTTGTTAAAACAAAACAAAAAACAAGTCAACAGAACACTGTGCTGCCCAAATAAAACATCTTCAGCCTTTACTGGTTTGGGCTTCTAGATTAGGGTATACAAACAAGGAAGAATGAAATTGAGGGAGAAAAGGAACACAGAGTGGGTTAGTTGGACATAAAAACTTCACACTGGACCCGTTCAAAGAGATGTTAATGAACTATGTGTTTATTATGGGACAGGGTACTGGGAAAGCACAGAAGGAACCTTAACAGCAGGAATAGAAGGAGCCCATGAGCCTGTGCATGACTTTGTAGACCTGCCTATTACAGGTACAACAAGTGTTTTAAATGTTTTGATTTCATAGAAATTTTGGGAGAATCCCTTATACCGGGTCCAGAGAGTGTCTATCAGTGATGTTACCAAGAGCTAACCACATATTATCAAGTTTTTACTGAATATAGTCATATGCTTTTAAAGGATGGATAGATGAGTGATTTATTAGCAAGTGATAGTCAATTGAACTTTGTTTAGAACAACAGCTAATGTATTGTCTTTAGGCTGGGCACAGTGGCTCATGCCTGTGATCCCAGCACTTTGGGAGGCCAAGGCGGGCGGACAGCCTGAGGTCAGGAGTTCGAGACCAGCCTGGCCAACATGGCAAAACCCCGTTTCTACTAAAAGTATAAAAATTAGATCGGCATGGTGGGCACCTGTAATCCCAGCTACTCAGGAGGCTGAGGCAGGAGAACCGCTTGAACCTAGGAGGCGGAGGTTGCAGTGAGCCGAGATCACACCATTGCACTCCAGCCTGGGTTACAAAAGCAAAACTCTGTCTCAAAAAAAAAAAAAAAAAAAAAAAAAAGGCTGGGTGCGGTGGCTCATGCGTGTAATCCCAGCACTTTGGGAGGGTGAGGTGGGCAGATCATGAGGTCAGGAGATCGAGACCATCCTGGCTTACACAGTGAAACCCTGTCTCTACTAAAAATACAAAAATTAGCCAGGCGTGGTGGCGGGCACCTGTAGTCCCAGCTACTCGGGAGGTTGAGGCAGGAGAATGGCATGAACCCGGGAGGCGGAGCTTGCAGTGAGCTGAGATTGCGCCACTGCACTGCAGCCTGGGTGACAGAGCAAGACTCTGTCTCAAAAAAATAAATACATAAATAAAAACTCTTTAATTCTCTTTTAAATACAATAATGATTGAACCCTTCATAAATTAATAATAACCTGTCATTTTGGAATTTTCTTCCAAATGCTTATTTTCTTTTAATCCCATTATTATAAAAACGTTTTTCCAAAATTAAATTTCTATTGGCAAACTGCTAATAATGGTTTCTTAATAGTTTATGTTTTAACATTCAAAATGAAGAAAAGTAATCAATAAGCTAAACTAAGCTCTTTCTGCTATACTGGTCTTCTTTAGTTGTAGACTTAAACCTCCCTTCCACGTCTTAACCATATATATTCACCTAGACCACATATATTTCACTTTTTCCCACATTCAACAGCTGAACTGATCATAAGTCAAAAAACTTCATGAAGCAATAGTCATTTTCCATATATGTGCTAACATTTTGAGCAGTTATGATACAGTCATAATACAAATGCTGTATTTCTCAATTCATGTGCATGCTTAAGAGAACTAGAGTCTTAATGCAACATTTCTTATTTAAAGAAACCAGCATTCAAGGCCTAAGGACTGGCTGAAGGTAATTAGCTTGCAAATTCACATTTAATTATTTCCAAATTTGTACTGTCTTAAAAAGCAAAAACCCTAGCTATAATAACAGTACCAGCCTCTGAGAAAGCAGAATTAGAAATAATTCCCAACAAAAACTAAACCAACTATTAATATATCTACAACAAACACAAGTAAAATGAAAGTATATCAGTAATTCTACTTTTTTTCTTTTTTTATGAGGGAGTCTCACTCTTGTCACCCAGGCTGGAATGCAGCAGCCCAATCTCGGCTCACTGCAACCTACACCTCCTGGGTTCAAGCGATTCTCCCATCTCAGCCTCCCGAGTAGCTGGGACAACAGGCATGTGCCACCACACTTGGCTAATTTTTGTATTGTTTTAGAGACAAGGTTTTACCATGTTGCCCAAGCTGGTCTCAAACTCCTGGGCTCAACTGATCCTCCCGCCTCATCCTCCCAGATTGCTGAGATTAGAGGCATAAGCCACCACACCCGGCTCCCGAAACTTCTTTTTGTTGTTGTTTGGAGACAGACTCTCTTGCTCTGTCATGCAGGCTGGAGTGCAGTGGTGTGATCTCAGCTCACTGCAACCTCCACTTCCCATGTTCAATCTATTCTCCTGCCTCAGCCTCCTGAGTAGCTGGGATTTATAGGCATGCACCACCATGCCTGGCTTTTTTTTTTTTTTTTTGTATTTTTAGTAGAGACAGGGTTTCACCATGTTGGTCAGGCTGGTCTTGAACTCCTGACCTCGTGATCCACCCGCCTTGGCTTCCCAAAGTGCTGGGATTACAGGCATGAGCCACCACACCCGGCCTCCCTGAACGTTTTTAAATAAAATTAGTGCCTTAAAGCCAGCGCAGAGAGACAAATTTGAGGTGGACTTATGTTTCCCTGTAAGTAGACTTGCAATAAAAAGCAAAAAGGTTTTTTTCCTCAAAAACCTGGGACTTAGTCATGGCTTCTAGTGCATTGGGCAGCAAGTCCCTTTTGCTCCATAACACTGTAGGAAATAAATTTCTGTTGTTTATAAGCTACCTAAATCACTGTCTTTTGTTATGGCAGCTTAAAGGGACTAAGAAACCATACCATGTATTCCATTAGATTATAAATGTCTGCCTATTCCCCCAAAAGTTCCCTGTGGGCAGGGCCTGGGTCTCTGTAATCTCGTTATCAACCTAGCACGGTACCTGGCTGATAGGTATTGAATATTTCCACTCTAATTAAAAAAAAAAAAAAAAAAAGTAATAGAAACCTCTTATTCGTATAGTGCTTCATAGCTTATTCACTCTCATTGGACCCTCTCCTAATGTTTGTACTGCAGAAATGGCCAAGATTCAACTAATAACACTGGCATATTACTAGAGGTGACGCTATTTATTCCATTTGGAGTAACTTAGGATTAAAATCAAAACTCTCACAGAATTGGCTTTGCTCAACAAGCCAACTAAAAACAAGTTGTCCATACAACTATTATATATCAATAAAAAAACTGATATTATATATCAATAACATAAAAAAATATATTGATATACAGATATCAATATATCTATTAAAAAGGTTGCGCTTTTAATTTTCCCAAATAATAACTGATGAGGCAAGTCTGTCATTAACACTAGTCTCAAAATCAAATTAGATTTTTAAAAATAAGGAGGATCATTTAAATACATATTCTGTTCATCTACTTACTCTATTAAGCGCTTTGGGGATGAGCCACTTTGATGGAATTCATCGGCATCATAAAATTCATCTTCACTGCTGGAGTAAGAGAACTCTGGGACTGTATTTGGAGACAAGTTCACATGGCTTGGAGAAGTGAGACTGCTACTTGGTGGTGAATGGCCACTGCCTAGGAAGTTAAAAGGGTTTTAGAGAAAAATGTTGCTGATAGAGAAGAGACTAGGGAGATGGAGTCAAAGCAGACTTTTCTAAAATCAAGAAAGAGTTTGGTTAAGTTTGTAAAAGCTGCTACACTATTTATAAAGAAAATCAACATTTAAACTCCACACAGAAAATGGCAAATCATGATATAAAATGAGGACACAGCCTTTTAAATAAATGAAACAAAAAGCTATGTCCCCATTCTATAAAGATTATCATTAATACTAGGAAGGGGGCCCTTCTGATTATATGAGTTGTGGAGTTGCAAGTACCACAACAGATACGATTACCAATGGGATGCCAGGGCTCTTATTTTACACTGCAGATCCAGATACCTAAAAATGCAGCAGTGAGCCGCTGGGAATGCAAAATGCAAAGAATATTAAGACCACATAAACATTAAAATATTGCAGGATATCACATTCCTATCATTCAATATTTTCTGGCAATCACATGGAAAATGCACACACCATCCAAATTCCTCTCTTTTTTCCACCTAAGTCAGGGGTCAGAGGTGGAGATAAAAATAGAGGGCTACTACGACAAGAATGCAGAAAATGAAAAGATTCTGAAGAACATTTTTCTATTCCTAAACAATCTAACTAAAGAAATGGAAATTAATGAAGACCCAGAGAAAGAAGACTGCCATCTAATCTCTGAGATGATCATCTGGTACCTTGTCTAGTAGTAAAGCAAGAACAGAAAAGTATCAAACCAGTCAACAAATGGAGTATTAAGATCAATTTAACTTACTGAGCATTTAAGGGCTGTCAGGCAATTTATGCTAATCTACAGATGTCTAGTGAAGACTAAAGTTTTTTAAGACACTGATGGCAATTTGAAAGCCAGGGCCACAGTTCTGGAAGAAATTGAAGACAGCAATAAAAACGAATCCAGGCTAGGCACAATGGCTCATGCCTGTAATTCCAGCACTTTGGGAGGACCAGATGGGAGGACTGCTTGAGACCAGGAGTTCAAGACCAGCCTGGGCAACAAAGTGAGAGCCTCGTCTCTTAAAAAAACAAATAAATAAATTAGCTGGGCATGGTGGCATGTGCCTGTGGTCCCAGCTACACGAGAGATTGAGGCAGGATCACTTGATCTGAGGAGGCTGAGGCTGCAGTGAGTTGTGTTTCTGCTGTTGCAGTCCAGCCTGGGTAAACAGAGTGAGAGACCTTGTCTCAAAAAAAAAAAAAAAAAAAAAAAAAAAGAATCCAGAGTCACAGATTTTTTGCCCATTCCTGTATCTATGGTTCAATAGTTATGAAAAAGAGCACATGGGTTTGCCACATTTAGTCATCACATTCACAAAGGTATTTTAAAACGATAACATAAAAAGTTTAACCCCAAAAGGTAATGCTTATTTTGGAAATTCCAAAGGTAGCTCACCTTATTAGTAAATAACTTTATATTCTTTTTATTACCGAACAGAAAAAATAAGAGAGAAAAGCAGCTTTTTCTTATTGGAATTAAAAAAAAATTGACCAAGAATTGCAAATGATTAAGTAGCATGCAAATATTCCAGGTGATCACACAAGTGAAAATGTTACCTAAGAAGAAAATAAGTTTGAGTGGGAACTGCAAACAAAAGATCTAAGATTTACTTAGCAGAGTAAACATTTTATCTTATTCCTTTATTTCTTTTTTGTATTAGCAAGAAGGGAAAGAAAAGTGGAGAAAATGAAGTTAGGATGAAAAATCAAATAAGATATAAATCACAGAAATTTAATTTTAAAATTTTCTTTTAATCTATCTACTCTAAAGTGTTACATTTTTGAAATATCTTCAACTGAAATAGTTTCAGAAGATTATCTTCTGGAAATAATTTTTACTAAAATTAATGTACATAAGAAGAGCTTCTCACTTTTTCAAAGTCTGTTGCTAGTTTTATGTATTTCCAAACAGAAAAATTTTAGAAATTTGGCTGTTTCAAAATTCTGACATAAAAATACAAATGACAACAAACAAGTACTATTTTTTTAAATGAAGAAGAGGTGACACAGCTCAGGAAATACAGAAGTCAGCCAAAATATTTCAATTTCATTATTCAAATTGCTTATCAGCCTTTTCCCAAGAGCTTCAAGTAAGGGAGCTACTTTTTTTTCTTTCAAAATTCAAAGGCACCTGCCCATGCTGTTAAATAGTAAAGATCAAAGTAATAGCATCAGTACTTTTACTAATTCAAATTTTTAAAATCACACATTTTAAAATCACAATTTTTAAAATTCATTATTACATAGGAAAAATCCTATCCAGGAAAAAAATCTGAGGATGAACAAAAGCGGCTTATCTCCCACTTCTTCAAGAGTGGTTTTGGTTTTAGTTTCCAGGTTTAACAGTGTGAAAAGTGCTAGATGCATCCTTGAGTTCTGTTTTACAAGTTATTCAACATGTATTTAATTAATTTTAAAACAAGAATAAATCTAGTATCTAACACTGATAGTATCCCTGTAAAACAGAGAAAAAATAAAGACCATAAGCTTAAACGAATTAAGAAAACGCAGGCTGGGCGCGGTGGCTCACACCTGTAATCCCAGCACTTTGGGAGGTCAAGGCGGATAGATCACCTGAGGTCAGGAGTTCGAGACCAGCCTGGCCAACATAGTGAAATGCCGTCTCTACCAAAAATACAAAAACTGGTGGGGGTGTGGTGGCGCACGCCTTTGATCCCAGCTACTCAGGAGGCTGAGGCAGGAGAATCGCTTGAACCTGGGGAGTGGAGGGTGCAGTGAGTCGAGATGGTGCCACTGGACTCCAGCCTGGACGACAGAGTGAGACTCCATCTCAAAAACAAAAAAACAAAACAAACAAAAAAAAATGCAAATTAAAATGAAGTATCTTTTTTCTGACTATAAAACTGACAAAAAGGTGAAAGATTGATAAATGTTTTCTAAAAAAATACACATATGACAAAGGTGCTGTACAAGGATATCACTGAAGTATTGTTTATAGTGGAAGAACACTGGAAAAAATTTAAATATCCATCAGTGGAAAAAACAAGCAATACCTGCCTAGGCAGCTGTAAAAAGAATGCTGTAGACCTAATTTTACAAACATGGAAAGTGCCCTAAGTGTTCTTTGTTAAAGGAAAAATGCAAGTTACAGAAACACATTACCTAACTTAGGTTTAAACAAAAACAATAAAAATACACAACATTAAGTGTAAATTCACATACACGTATGCAAATTACTGGGGGGAGAGTAAAGAAGACTTTCCGTTTTTATTCTGTGCACTTCTGTGTCAGCTTCATAGTAAGAAAGTATGCAAGTCTAGCTGGAGTAAATTTTTCAGAAAGTCAACATAGATCACCAAATAAATGTTAAGGTAAAAAACCAAACTGTAATATTTTATTTTATTTAAATTATTATTATTCCAGGTATGGTGTCTCATGCCTGTATAATCCCAGCACACTGGGAGGCTGAGGCAGGAAGACTGCTTGAGCCCAAGAGTTTGAGACCAGCCTGAGCAACATAGGAAGACTCCTCTCTACAAAAACCAAAAAATCAGCCAAGTGTGGTGGTGTGTGCCTGTGGTCCCAGCTACTTGGGAGACTGAGGCCTGGGAGGTCAAAACTACAGTGAACCCTGATCGTATCACTGCAATCCAGCCTGAGTGACAGAGTGAGACCCTGTCTCAAAAATAAAAATTAAAAAATTTTAAAAATAAATAAATAATACTTACTTACTGAAGCTTTTCTTTCAAACACAGAGCTAACCACTTCATGTGTGGAACTGTAATGTTAAAACTAAGTTATCTCCAACAGAAATATACAACACATTTCTTCAACTTTCCCCCCTCCTCATCAGAGATCACAAACAAACCTCAAATGTTAATAAAGAGTTACGAGAAATAAAGAAATTATGCATATCTGTACCTGTACTATTTGGTGTAGGAGTCTGATGATGTCCCAAGGTAGCCAACACAGGTCCAACTGGGAGGGAAGATGGACGCTGCTCTGACTTACACAACTGAACAGGTTCTAGGAGATTTGAACATATAAAATAAGGTACAGAAACAGCCAAACATACATTCTATTGACTGTAATTGTCTGGGATTCAAAATCCGAAAGGTGAGTAATTTTTGAAACTCTATTTCATTAAGTCTAGTTCCATGCTACTCCTTCCTTTTGACTTCCTAGCCTCTTAAACTCGATGATAGGCTACAGAGTACTAAGATACTAGGCAGGATATCAAAAGACCAGCCACAGTAGGCCAATACTGCAGCATAACTACGCTGTAAAACCAACAAATGATTCTGATGACGATGTGTTTCTGAGCCTCAAACGACATAAAATCAGAAGTGGAGTACAGTACCTCCCCCTCTTTAGCCCCAAGAGGTAGCTTAAGCTAATTCACTTAAGGAGTAAAAACTCACAAAAGGATTTCACACACTTACTAGTATTTTTAAAAAGCATTTTCCCTTTTATAGTACAATTTCTGACTTCACTATGCCATCATTGAAAACATAGAAATGTTGGATACAACAAAAAGGCAAAAGGAATCAGTCAGCGTAGCTAGGTATTGGCCCTGAGCCCTTCTTTGCCAGTTTTAAAAAAATTGCATTTATTGCTCCATACCAAAAAACAAACAAACAAAACAAACAAAAAATCACACCCAGATGTCATGTGATCAGTAGGCATCATAAATTTCCTTCTTCACTTTCTCATTATCTTAAAATCTACCATGAACATACCATTTGTGTTGTTCAGAGCTACACAGAATACCCCAAAACGGAACATCCCTGGGTTATCCTGAATAAGGTATAGTACTTTTTCCTTGCTAGCCACGAATTCTGAGTCATAGAATTCTGTCCTACCAGTGAATCCAAATCTTAGTAACCACGTTTGTTTTCTATCTCACTTTGAATACCAAAACCACTCTCATCACACTTCAGTAAAGCCCCAATATCAAAACACTATCATCTTTTTCCAGTTCACTTTTGGCTGTATTATTTTTTGAGTCCTTTTATTTATGAAAAACAAGGAAAACCAAAAATAAACAGTAATAGCTAAGACTGCTATGACAGCCACACAAATTATTTTTTTCTCATTAATGAATCTATGAAACACTTTCCCCAATTACCTGGAGGTAACACAGTCTGGGAAGGCATTGTGCTGATCACAGGTTCCAAAGGACTCGGTTGATATATTGCATCTACAGGATTAATAGTACTCTAAGATAAAGAAACACAGTATAGTTATTTTTAATTAAATGTTCTCATGCTACCCTCCCAAATGCCCACATTTATGACTGCAAAATCCTGAGGGTAGCTATACAGATATGTTGATCAAAATGAAAAGAGGAAATGAAACACCTATACAGAAGTGTAAGAGTTTCTTAAAGCATAGTAAGGAAAGAAAATGAATGAATCTCTGTCACAGAAGAAGGTAAAGCTAAATGGAAAAACTGAGGAGTTATAAAATGGTGTGGGGAGATTTCAGGAAGTCAAAACCACCTCTCAATTCAATTCAGTGTTTCTCAATTTCTTAATTCACCACAAATATTGTTTCTCTGTTTCTTTCACTTTTGGTGAGTTACACCAAATGTCCAAGTAATGTACCTGCACCACTAGGATCTCATCTTTCATCCCATACTGCTGCCATCACACAGTACAGTCACTCCTCAGGTACCCAAGGGGGACTGGTTCCAAGCGCCCCCTGAGGATACCAAAATCAACAGATAATCAAGTCCCTGATATAATATGGTGTATTTGCATGCAACCTACATATACCCTCCCATATAAGTTAAATCATCTCTAAATTACTTATGACACCTAATATTATGTAAGTATTATATAAGTCACCATTATACTGTATTGTTTAGGAAATAATGACAAGGAAAACAGTATATACATATTCAGCAAAGAGGTACTTTTTTTTTCCCTCAAACAGTTTTAATCCACGGTTGGTTGAATCCACAGATGCAGAAGGCCGACTGTGTGTCTAGTTTTATGGTCACTAAAGAGAAAGAGATGTATCTTCTAATTGGGGAGTGTAGAGAAGAGGGCTTGCTTTCTGAGGATTCAGAAGAGAGGGAGAAAAAAATTCAGACATGTAGTTAATTTTAGAGGGGAGAAAAGTCCAGGATTCTCTGATTCTAAGTCAAGAAATTATTCTGACAGCATGAAGGCATTTTAAAAAGAAAACTCCGTAACTTACTGATAGGGTTGGGGGGTGGGTGTGTACATGTTAAACCAAGGTCTTTGCCACAGCAAAGTTTACATTTACCATTTAGAAGACTAAACTGGGCAAACTCAAGAAATAAAAATGTAAGTTCTTTAGCTTCAATTGATCTGGAAAACTGAACTTCACATATATATTAAGTAGTGCTTATAACAGAAGATACTAAAACGGAAATATAACAGAAAGATTTTGCCAACGAATAAGCCCAAAAAAGCAGTTGTAAAAACTTAAAATCACCTAATAATAGAAACTGAGGTAATGGTAAAGTTTTTGTAGCATTCTCATGTAATGTCTAAGTTAAAAAAATTTTTTCCAGGCCATATGAAAAACAAACACACACATTGTTTTCAGAACTGTTAAACGAAAAATATTTAAAACCAAAAAAACCCAGCCCTCTTTCTGCATGAATATCTAAAACTCATTAAATAAGGTCTCTTCAATCAAGTGACTTGAACACAAGAATTCTGATTCTTGTCACTACAATAGTTTATCTGCCATAAATACTTTAACTGAAAAATGAAGGACACTTAGAGAAAATACCCCCAAAACAATCAGTAATAATTAAAAAAAAAACCAAAAAACAAAAAACTAAGAAACTGAAGTGGGGAATGTTTTGAAGCACTGAGAAAAGCAAAGAAACAGAGACCTGGAGTTTTTAATTTCTTAGAATCCTTAAGTCTCTGATCCTCTATGGGCCTCAGTTTCCCAGTCTGCAAAATAGTCTGTTTTATATGGGTGCTAAAGGCTTTCTGGTTATTACTTTGATTCTATTTTCAGATAGCAGACCAAGCCATAATAACTAAACAAGTATCTCAACAAACCTGGAGCTGTTCCTAAAATAAATTCCTTGTTTACACAGCACTTTTCTTGAAAATAACTCCAAATGCTTTACAAAGACAAAATTCCACCATTAACGCTTTGATATATAGGAGTAAGAATATGTCACACCTCCTTACCCCTCCCACTGAAGGGAATAAGAAATAAAATAACTTTGGAACAAGGGACCAGAATTATCTTTTGGATGTAATCTTTTATTTTCCAGATGAAATGTTCTTACAATTAGGCTGGTCAACCAAAGAAAACACTTAAAAACTTTTTGCACTGTTAAACAAAAATTATGGGAGGCTACTGCTTTGGATTGAACTCTTGTACTAGGGCCCAACAGATTAGACCAAACCAAAATGGAGTCACTCTTGCTAAATGCCGTATCATAAAACTCTAAGGAAGCAAGTGGATCCCAAAATAGACCAGTTTTTTTTTTCTGAAAATAGGAGATTCCAGTCTACCTGAGTCAGTGTAATATGGAAATGCTCTCTGTTTTAACCCTTAAAAGTAATCTGATGTTATCAGCATTTTTTCCTGTTACAGTTCTCATCTTACAAAACCCACTGTTTGCCATTGCCCAGTGGGACCTCTCATTCTATTTTGTAGAATGGAGGCTGACCCAATCCATGCATCTTGAATAAAAGCCAATTCGATCTATGATTCAATCTGTTGTAATTTTGTCTTTTGACAGCATGTATATTAAAAGTACTTGATCTTTTTGTTATTGTTGTTTTTCATAGAAAAAATAACGATGCTACACTTATCCCCAGTCCTTGGTCAGTCAACTTCAGGCTAAAATATGTCACATTACATTCTACAACTTGCTTTAAAAATAAATGTGCAGAGCTTGAAAAGCAAAAATACTACTACTCAGCCCTCATCTGTTGTGACATTAATGAAACCCATGTAATACAATGTATTGTACATACACATACATGTATGTATAGCTAATATTTATTGAATACTATGTGTTTGTTCTGTACCTTACAACACGCTTCTATGGTAGAACCTTTCAGTTGTCTTTACAGGAAAAGACATTAAGACTCAGAAAGGTTAAGTAATTTGCCAAGGTCACAGGTAGTGAGTGGCAGGGCTGTTTTATTTGAATCCAAGCAGCCTGCCTCTAAGGCCTATTCCATGAACAGTTCCTCTATTTTTTCAAAATAAAAATTCTTAAGGAAAATATGCTCTAGTCCCTGGGCAAATGATTCAAAGATATTTTTCTATTAGTTTAAATTTTCTATGAGCATGAACTTTCTAGATGTTTTTCATTGCAAATTATCAAGTGTTTTTGGTATGTTTTATAAAATCCTGCCTCTTTTATTCAATATAATATAACTAATTTGGCTTTGAGGGAAAAGAGATAAAAATAACAGCCAACAAGGTTTTCCTCTGGAGTCTTTGGGGACCATATAATGCTAGACAATACATAGAGTCCTTTCCCAGGAGGCTAACAATCTTCAACAGTATCTCAGGAAGAAATATTTCACTTTGTATTACATTTATATCATACAACTGTATTATATCACCACGGATCATACTTTGAACTGACAAAAATTCTGATGTATTTAATTCAAATTCCAAACATGTTTGTTTTACTCCTGCTTTCTTTTTTTTTTTTTTTTTTTTGAGACGGAGTCTGGCTCTGTCACCCAGGCTGGAGTGCAGTGGCGCGATCTCGGCTCACTGCAAGCTCTGCGTCCTGGGTTCCCACCATTCTCCTGCCTCAGCCTCCCGAGTAGCTGGGACTACAGGCGCCCGCCACCGCGCCCGGCTAATTTTTTGTATTTTTAGTAGAGACGGGGTTTCACCGTGGTCTCGATCTCCTGACTTTGTGATCCGCCCGCCTCGGCCTCCCAAAGTGCTGGGATTACAGGCATGAGCCACTGCGCCCGGCCTTTACTCCTGCTTTCTTAAGAAATATGCAGGCCGGGCGCGGTGGCTCAAGCCTGTAATCCCAGCACTTTGGGAGGCCGAGACGGGCGGATCACGAGGTCAGGAGATCGAGACCATCCTGGCTAACATGGTGAAACCCCGTCTCTACTAAAAAATACAAAAAAAACTAGCCGGGCGAGGTGGTGGGCACCTGTAGTCCCAGTTACTCAGGAGGCTGAGGCAGGAGAATGGCGTGAACCCGGGAGGTGAAGCTTGCAGTGAGCCGAGATCCGGCCACTGCACTCCATCCTAGGTGACAGAGCAAGACTCCGTCTCAAAAAACAAAAAAAAAAAAAAAGAAAAAAAAAAATGAAATATGCAAACACAGATTTAACTTAAAATTGTTTTAAAACCAAATATAAAGATAACATACTCATCCTTTCAAGTACAATCATGAGATGTTTTTGAAAATTTACAGAATGTTTTTCCAGATCTCAGACAAGCTGGCGTTTTTAAGTCTAGGACAAAAAAAAAAAAAAAAAAAAAAAAAGGCTGCCTCCTGCTTCAGGAATACAGACTGAACAGAGGTCACTCAGTTACCATAAAACTAGGGTAATCACAAACCACAAACCTTCAAACTCTTTTATTTCCAGCTGGGAAATACTAACAATACAATTTTCTTCCTTCTTTTTAGAGGGGAAGTTGAATATAAGGAAAAGGTAAAAAGATAAGAGAGAGGAAAGAGTAAGAAGATGGCTATAAGAGAAAGAATTCATGTTGTAAATTGTTCCAACAAAAATGCAGTACATACCACATTAACAATGATGGTTAACACACACACAAAAACTAAAAATAAAAGATAAAATAATAGGAACTTATAAACATATTCAAATAGATTAAGGTGTGTTTCACTATTGTACTCCCCCCCAACCCCACTTTCATCTGAGAAAAAAAGAAATTAGACAAGAAATGTGGCACTGAGTTATGCATTACTTAATTGAAAAAGCTGAGTATTCATACCATGATTAACCCTTCAAGTTAATACATGCAAAGTGATTCAATCTGAACCCACACTTAGAAAAATTTTAAGACTGTCATTTCCCCTGCAAATGATTGCTGAAAGATGTGAGCTTAAAGGAAATTGCGAGAGTCAACAACAAAAAGCAGTGAGTAGTTGGCATTGAAAAATGAGTAGTAATTCAGGCTTCTCCTGATATGACTGGTTATAATGCTCTGCAGAAGTAAAGGGAAACAAAAAGATTAGATTAAACTTACTATCATTCCATCTGCGTGCTTCTCCACATTACTCTGGTCCTTAAGGAAAAATGTTAAAAATATTAACTTTATTCTTACAATTAAGTAACTCCTTGTGTATTTCTCCTACAAGAAAGCTTATTTACTAGGTAAGTAACAATGTTAGAACATGATTTCTCTGCCTCCATTAAGATTTTAATTCCATGTGTACATTCTGAGCCAAACACAATTCTAACACTGGCTACACAAAAATCAACACCAACAGCATGGCAATTATTTTTCTATATAGGGATTTAACTAAGTTCATCGTGGAAATATCCCGTAGAACTCTAGTCACGTTCAAAATTCCAGGCAAAAGTGATCTCTACACAGATGAACCTTTGAAAACATGATGTTAAGTGAAAGAAGCTAGTCACAAAAGACCACATATTGTAATATGCAACTTACATGAAGAGTCAAGAATAGACAAATCTAGAGAGAGAAAGCAGATTAATAGTTGCCAAAGGCTGGATGGGGTGGGGGGTAGGAGGCTGTTGGAAAAGAAAGGGAGGCACTGACGTTCCTCAACTTACAGTGGAGTTTACCTCCCAATAAACCCATCTGAAGTTGAAAATACAGTAAGTCAAAGACACATTTAATTCATCTAACCTACCAAACAGCATAGCTTATCCTAACCTACCTTAAACGTGTTATAGAACACTTATATTAGCCTATAGTTGGGCAAAAACCATCTTGCAGAGTTTCAGTTGGTTGCCCTTGTGATCATGTGGCTGACTGGGAGCTATAGCTTGTTGCCATTGCCCAGCATAGTGAGAGAAGATCATATGGCATTATCAGTAGCCTGGGAAAAAACCAAAACTCAAAATTCAAAGTACAGTTTCTATTAAATGCATATTACTTTTTTGCCATCATGAAGTTGAAGAATCCTAAGTTAAACCATTGTTAAGTCAGGGACCATCTATATAGGAAATCTATATAGAAAATGATTGCTTAATAGGTCTAGGGTTTCTTTTTGCAGTGACACAAGTACGCTAAAATTAAATTATGGTGATGGCTGTACAATTTTGTAAATATAATAAAAACCATTGAAATAAACCATTTGCTTATTTATCTCTTTATTGGCCATCTACCCTAGAGTACAATCTTGGTGAGGACTTTGGTCGTCTTACCAGTTGTATTAGTCTGTGTGGGCTGCCATAACAAAATACCATAGACTGGGTGGCTTAAAGAACATCCATGACTTTGAAGACTTGGTGCAAAAAGAGAAAGACTCATGCCTGTAATGCCACGCCAGCATTTTGGAAGGCCGAGGACAGAGAATCACTTGAAGCCAGGAGTTGAGACCAGTCTGGGCAAAAAAGTGAGACCCTGTCTCTACAAAAAATTTAAAAATTAGTGAGTGGGGCACTGTGGTGAGCACCTGTAGTCCCAGCTACGCAGGGGGCTGAGGCAGGAGGATCACTTGTACCCAGGAGTTTGAAGTTACAGTGAGTTATTTATGACTGTGACACTGTACTCCAGTCTGGGTGACAGAGCAAGACACTATCTCTTAGAAAAAGAGAGAAAGGGAAAGAAAGAAGAGAGAGGGAGAATATGAACTATCTCATTAGTAAATTTTTATACTGATTACATGTTGAAATAGTATTTTTGGTATACTGGGTTAATAAAATACATTATTAAAATTAATCTCACCTGTTTCTTTTTACCTTTTAAAATGTTGTTATAAGAAAATTTTAAATTATATTTATAGCTTTCATATTTTTATTGTATAGCACTGGTCTAGACTTAGGATATTCAATAGGAACCGACAAAATTAAAGCCTCAAATTCTAAGTCATCAACAGTATTTATTTGCATCTATTTTATGCAAGATTATAAAAACTACATAAATCAAATTGATCTGTGTCTACCTTGAAAAATGTTAATAGTCTCTATCTTTGTCTATAAGAATAACCATTTAAAGTGCCTGATTTTAATTGTATTGAAATACTGTTTTACCGCATGATTTAACTGGCGAAAATCAACCAGAGTTTAAATTTGTAGCAACTATATCTCATAACCAAAGCATGTCTAGCACAGCCTTTCAATTTCAGTGATAATTAAACAATGCAAAAATAATGCTCTGGTAAATCATAGTCAACCCCCTGGCACATGCCATTCTGACAGGCATTCTGAGTTGTGGTATGTGGTCACATCACCTGACTCTGATACTGGTTAAGTCTCCACCTGCAGAGGCCTCCTAGCTTATCTTCGCTCTGTCCTGCCCTACTCCCCTTCTCTCCCCTTACCCCCCAGCTCCACTGCAGTCTCCCAGGAAAAGAACATCAGCTGTCTCCACCAAGGGTAAAAGGAAGGATGTCTTCTGAGATAACAAAGCCCACTTGAAAATTCCACTAACCAGGTGGTCTCAAAACTTTGCTACACATTAAAACCACCCAGGGGTTTAAAATAATCCCAATACCCAGGTGATATCCCATACAAGAGAATTATAACAGAATGTCTACGGGTGGGAGCCAGGAATCAGAACTGATTTCCAAATGACTCCAGTGTGCAGTAAAGTTTGGGAACCAATACGCTAATCATTTGGGCAGGAGAGAATCTACTGGGAGTGGGAATTCAAATGAAAGAATCAAAACTGGAAAGAGCTTAAAATTAAAATTTTTACTTACAGCATGCCACCTCTAAGAAGCTGATACTAATCAGCCCCAAACAAGAAAGGTATCAAATTAGCTATCTTCTCATATCACTTTGGGGTCTCAAATGGCATTATCTCCCTCAAAGTAGTTGATTCCGATATTTTATTAACCTGCCAGTGAATAACAGTCTGCCAAAGTGGCTATAACAATTTATATTTCCATCAGTACTCAATGGAAGTTCTCCAATTTTTACCAGATGTGTTACTGTCACTTTAAAATTTGCATCCTTCTATTTTTTTTAAATTTAATAAACACTTATTTAGAACTTATTACATGCCAGCTACCAAGAGCATCACAAATAATAATTCATTTAGTCTCACAGTATCAGTAAGAGACGACATTATTATTATCCCTCTTGTATATGGAATATAAACCAAAGCACAGCGAGGATAAATAAACTTCCTCCAGGGGTGGGGCTTGGATTCATACTCAGTACGGGTCCATAATCCATGCTCTTTAAGACTATGCAAAGTTGACTGTCACTATTATTCTAAAATCTTTTATTTTAATCACAGATTAATTGATTAAATTTACCTAAAGATTAGTTTATAGGGATGGTCATCACAGCACATCAGAGAGGTGGCTAAGTAAAAAAAAAAATCACACATATAGTGAAAATACTAAACCATGCAACCATTAAAAGTAATGCATTAGAAAAATCACTCAGTAATTCAGTTATTTATCAGGCACCTCCTATATGGTAAGCAACTGTAGGTACTGAGGATACAATGGGGTTATGGACTGAATGTTTGTGTCCCTTCCCAAATTCCTATGTTGAAGCCCTAACCCCAAAGGTAGCTATATTTGGAGATGAGACCTCTACAGAAGTAACTAAAGTTAACTGGGATCATAAGGATGGGGCCTCGATTCAATAAGATTAGTGTCCTTGTAAGAAGAGACACCAAACAGTTTGCTATCTCATATGTGCATGCTCCCTCTCTCTGTGCATACTCACCACGGAAAGACTATGTGAAGACATGGCTATTTACATGCCAAGAGAAGAGTCCTCATCAGAAACTGAACAGGCCAGAATGTTGATCTTGGACTTCTGGCTTCCAGAACAGTGAGAAAATAAACTTCTGTTTTTTAAGCCACCCAGTCTATGGGGTTTTGTTATGGCAGCCCATGCAGACTAATGTAAGTGGTAAGACGAGCAAAGTCTTCACCAAGATTGTACTCTAGGGTAGACGGCCAATAAAAAGATAAACAAACAAATATATCACGTAAACCTGACGAGTGATATAAGGCCACGAAGAAAAAGAAACCAGTGGGAGGTATAGATTATTTTAGATACAGGAGTCAGGAAAAGTCTTTCCAAAGATGTTCCTTGTGGTAAAAACCTGAATAAAGTGAGACAGTGAGCCTGGTGGAAATCTGTGGGAAATGCCCATCATGTGGAGGGAAAGTCAAGTAAAAATTCCTAAAGCGGGGGTTGGGGGGAAGCTTGTCTTGCCTGAGAAAAAGAAATGAGCCAATGTTACTGGAATGGTGTGACCAAGGGTAGGAGACAGGTTAAGAGGGCAGTGAACGTAAGTAATTTCTATTTCTTTACAAATGAGATGGAAAACATCAGGGGTATTTGAGCTGGCAAGTGACATGGTCTCATGTACATTTAAATTGAGTTTAAAGATATAAACAGAGTCCATATACGGTACAAATATAATTGAGGATTGTATTTGTACATAAGAAGCCTTAACAACAATAAAACTTCCTTCTGGAATAAATAAAAGGCCAAATTTCATTTACGTGATCCAAGTTACCCATTGCGAAGAACCCTAAAACGTAGTTTTATTAAGCTGGGCTAACACAGACAGGTAGCAAGTACAAATTACACTAAAAATGTTTTTGATGAGTGGCTAAACAGTGAACTACTGAAATAGGCTAGGCTAACCTACTGTACAACTATCTAAAGTCCTGAATGATTTTCAGAGATCACCCAAACTAGCCTAAACACTGTATTAGCTCCTTTGCTTCCCCAATCTTCAAGAGAAGGCAGTATGGATTCCCTAAAATATCTAGTCTCTCAGGGCATGGTGTAGTTTACTGGTTATCTACAGGTAAACTTTTGGATAACTGTAGGTGCTTCTACTCACCTATGTAATTCCAGAGCCAAGAAAAACTAAAATAAAAACCTTATCTCTTTTGTGCCACCAATCCTATCTTCCCTTCTGCTTGGCTTTGGAATATACTATGATCTACAACAGGAAATGAAAAATTTAGACACATACATAGGAAATCTAGGTATCGCTAACATCAAGAAACAGAACATAAGCCCTAAGTTCTGACACTTTATGTATAATATATTGGGCTGGGTTTGGTAGCTCACGCCTGTAATCTCAGCACTTTGGGAGGCCAGGAGTTCAGACCAGCCTGGGCAACATGGTGAAACCCTGTCTCTACCAAAAATATAAGAATTAGCCAGGTGTGGTGGTGCATGCCTGTAACCTCAGCTACTCAGGAGGCTGAGGCATGAGAATCAGTTGAACCCAGGAGGCAGAGGTTGCAGTGAGCCGAGATTATGCCACTGCACTCCAGCCTGGGCAATAGAGCAAGACTCCGTCTCGAAAAATAAAAAATATATTTTAAATCTGGCCTCAAAAGAAAATGACATTGCCCCATTTAATTTACAAGCTAAATATCCTTACTGTCCAAACACAAATGGATTGTCCTATGCTATTGTGTCATTAACAATAGTAGGTTAAAAGTCTCTATGATTTGGCAAACAAACATATGCAACTGAAGTAGTAAAAGAGATGAGTAATGGGAGGCTGAGGCAGGAGAATGGCATAAACCTGGGAGACAGAGCTTGCAGTGAGCTGAGATCTGGCCACTGTACTCCAGCCTGGGTGACAGAGCGAGACTCCGTCTCAAAAAAATAAAAAAATAAAAAAAAGTAAAAAAATAAACTCATTCAAACAACATTTCTCAACTTGGCTGCAGAGCTGGTCACCCACCCCTTGCTGGAAATAAAGGCATGTAGTGAAGTAGAAATATTTTTTAAAATTCCTATTCTCAAACAATAATATTCTTATTTCAGAAAATCTCAGGCAATAAAATATATATATTTAGGTTGAATACACCAAAATTTTTCAGAAAAAGAGACAACATATATGAAATTTTTAATCCACAATAATTCAAAATATATTGTTTCATGAATAAAGAACAATTAAAATCCACTAATATAGTTCACGACCAGAAAAAAATCTGTAATAATTTTTAAAAATATATCTCTATTATATTCTTCATTATGGACAATAACTGTAAGAACTTACTTCTCTATTTTCTAAGAAAAACTTTTTTTGTGGAAGCTTTTGTAAAATATGTCCCTGTTCCAAGCAGTGATAATGGATAAAATGGAAGGAAGGGGTGAGTCATTCAAACATGCTCCCCTCCTTCCCAGCTACCAGAAATGACATTACCAGAAACAGTAGCTAAGATAACATCCAAACACAATAGTTGTTCCATAGTATAAGCTCACAATACAGTTTAATGTAGAAAGGTACTATGTCTCAGATCTGAGTTTTTTCACTATTAAAGAAAAATGTCTTTTTAATTTTTGAACTCCATACATAAAGGTAATTGAAAGTAAAATTTACTTACTTTGGCAATCTGCAGCAACACAATGCAGTGTTTAATTGATTCTACCATGCTCTATAAAAACAAAACACTGATTTTAGGATCTTGGCTCAAATAAAATGGATATATAATATTAAAGCTTAAAATATAAAAATCAGTTCAAATGTATAGTGTTTAAGTCTATACAACACGAGAAATATCCTCTTTGGATCTAGTGGGTTCTAGTGTGCTGATAATGTCAAATGAAGTTATTCATTAGCAGTTCTATGAATTTTAACAAATGCCACAAATTGTTAATTTATACCAAATAATATATATTTTTTTCTTTTTTCTTTTTTAAGAGACAAGGTCTCACTATGCTGGTCAGGCCTGATAGCAGTGGCTATTCACAAGCATGATTATCACACACTACAGCCTCAAACTCATGGGCTCAAGCGATCCCACTGCCTCAGCCTCCCGAGTAGCTGGCACTACATGCACATGCCACCGTGCCTGGCTCCAAATGGTTTTTCAACACTTCAAACAGAAAGACATACGAATCTGATTAACTTCCAGATTCTTACATCAACAGCAGCAACCCTAAGAAATCTACCTAAGAAGTTGATGGGCTGGGTATGGTGATTCACACCTGTAATCCCACTGCTTTGGCAGGCCAAGGAAGGAGGATCGCTTGAGGCTAGGAGACCAGCCTGGGCAACATAGCAAAATCCCATCTCTACAAAAAATTAAAATAAAAATCAACCGTGCGTGGTGGCATGTGCCTACAGCCCTAGGCTGAAGCAGAAGGACTGTCTGAGCCCAAGAGTTCGAAGCTGCAGTGAGCTATGACTGCACCATTGTACTTCAGCCTGGATGACACAGCAAGACCCCTGTTTCTTTAAAAAAAAAAAAAAAAAAAGACTTTGATGGAAGTATGAAGAATAAAGGATCCTGTCAAAACACTGGTGAATCAAATTATTATTTTGCCTGTTTTAAAATTTTGAGCAAGCTACACATCTCATTAGTAGCCCATTATATAATGTCAGAAGTCCACTCTATCAGAAAACTTGAATTACAATATATTTTAATAAGAAAGAAGCCAGTTGCAGTCGCTCATGCCTACAATCCCATCACTTTTTTTTTTTTTTTTTTTTTTGAGACAGAGTTTCGCTCTTTTTGACCAGGCGCAATGGTCAATGGTGCAATGGTGCGATCTCAACTCACCGCAACCTCTGGCTCCCAGGTTCAAGCAATTCTCCTGTCTCAGCCTCCAGAGTAGCTGGGATTACAGTCATAAGCCACCACGTCCAGCGAATTTTGTATTTTTAGTAGAGACGGGGTTTCTCCATGTTGGTCAGGCTGGTCTGGAACTCCCGACTTCCGGTGATCCATCCACCTCGGCCTCCCAAAGTGCTGGGATTACAGGCGTGAGCCACCATGCCCGGCCAATCCCGCCACTTTTGAAGGCTGAGGCAGGAGGATCGTTTAAGCCCAGGAGTTGAGACCCGGACAACATAGTAAAACCCTGTCTTAAGAATCAAAGAAATTAATTTTTAAAAAATATGAAATAATATATCCATTGTGCATGGATGACACGTTTTATCCAAGGTTTCAGACAAGACCAGAAACAGGTAAATGGTACATGAAGTCAATTTCAATTAAGGAGCTTATTCTATTAGCATTATTTTAAATTCCTTTAGAAAATAATCAATGCTTAAGCACCCCTTTATAAATTCATAAAAACTAACATTTCAATTGCTGTCATCAATAGTGGCAGCTTAAAATAGAAATAACATTTTAAAACATTTTCTAATGCAAAGTCAGAGTGTATCAAATATATAACTTACATTTGTTGTCTCTTTGAGAGTTTCAATTTTCTGTGAAAAATAGTAAGTTTAAACAGAAATAATCAGAAGGACAAAGAAGCACAGTTGCTTTTTACTGGCTAGTCATTTAAAGAATTTTACCAAAATGTACTCATTCTAAGTGAGTACAAACAAGTTGGAAAGGGAGTACTTTTTGTTATATTTTGTTTTTTATCTAAATCAATTATTTGTATAAAAATTCCAGACATTTTATGAATTATATACCCTCTTTAATAAAATTCATGTGATTCAATTTAAGGTTTGTAAGAATAATATAAAACATTCTTATTCCTGGTTGAGCATGGTGGCTCGAGCCAGTAATCCCAGCATTTTGGGAGGCCGAGGAGGGAGGATCATGAAGTCAGGAGATCGAGAACCATCCTGGCCAACATGGTAAAACCCCATCTCTACTAAAAATACAAAAAATTAGCCGGGCGTGCTGGCGGGCACCTGTAGTCCCAGATACTCAGGAGGCTGAGGCAGCAGAATGGCGTGAACCTGGGAGGCAGAGCTTGCAGTGAGCCGAGGTCGTGCCACTGCACTCCAGTCTGGGTGACAGAGCAAGACTCCGTCTCAAAACAAAACAAACAACAACAACAACAACAAAAAAATTCTTATTCCTTACCTGAAAACAAGTTTTGGTTTTTCTACGAATTTCACTTATTTTGAAATCACATTTATCTTTCCTAAGTTGTTTTAAAATGACATGGAACTAAATCCCAAAACTAAGAATGAAAGGTGAGTTAGAACATGAGTTACTATTAACAGGTATAAAAGAGCCAAATGCAAGGCTATATAGTCAACAGAAAAGCAAAAAAAGAAATATAGCCAAGGAGGGGAAAAATGTTAATTAGAAAAAAGACAATATGCAAACTACAAAGTGGCTGTCAGAAATGCAAGTGGGGGACAATAAAGAACCATAATTAAACCCATAATTAAAACATGATTTGTTTCTTCATATATGGCTTTTTATTTATTCTGAATATTCTTGCTGGTTGGTTTATTGGTATCTGAAGTGACCATATGTAAATATAATAACTTTCTACCTTCAACATATGATACAGGAAAAGGAAATAACTTACTCCTAGGAATATAATACAGAAAAGGTATTATATTAAAGCTCTAGGTTGGGTGTGGTGGCTCACACCTGTAATCACAGCACTTTGAGAGGCCGAGGTGGGTGGATCACCTGAGGTCAGGAGTTTGAAACCAGCCTGGCCAACATGGTGAAACCCCGTCTCTACTAAAAATAAAAAAATTGGCCAGGTGTGGCGCATGCCTGTAATCCCAACTACTTGGGAGGCTGAGACAGGAGAATCGTTTTAACCCAGAAGGTGGATGCTGCAACGAGCTGAGATCGTGCCACTGCACTCCAGCCTGGGCAACAGAGCAAGACTCTGTCTCAAAATGAAACAAAACAAAACAACTCCCACAACTCTGTACATTATCCTTTTGTTTACTTAAGAAATCATAACAGAAATTTATCAGAAAAGTGCCCTTGAGGTCCATATGGCAGTAATACTATAGTAGGTCAATAATATTATTATAATAAGTAAAAACACACTAAGGTACTTAGTCTTCTCCAAAAGGCTGTGGAATTTACAATTTTTAACGTCAAAATCATGGTTATGGAAGTTACCTTTCTCTGTTCATCTTCTTTGCAGTTTTGAAGCTTGTCATCAAAGAGCTACAAGATTTTTAAAAATGGTTATAGTATCAAGTCACTTTACTACACCGTGTACATTTACTAAACACAGAAAAGCAAACATTAGTTCTTAAACACATTTCGTCCAGGGATGATTTATATGTTATTTTCAAGACAACATGTATTTTTTTTCAAGGCACTCAATCGAAGTCAAATTCTACTGTATCAAATTCTATCATATGAAATCATTTTAACTGGTCAAGATCAATCACTCTGGAAGAATTATAAACAAAAGAAAACAGACGACTTTTAAGAAATTGAACTATCAATTCAAACTTGAAGTTTTTTCCGCTTTGTTTTCGAAGTTTATCAACAGTCCTTTTCCTAGCACCTCTGCTTTTAATTAATTTTAAGTAGGAACTGAAGGAGACAATTCATTTCAGTAATGATAAAGGAGGTAGAAAAATCACTTCCCCATATTCCATCTCCCTCAAATTAAAAAAGCATTAGAAATTGAGCTGCTAGGCAGGGCACGGTGACTCACGCCTGTAATCCCAGCACTTTGGGAGACCGAGGCAGGCAGATCACGAGGTCAGGAGTTCGAGACCAGCCTGGCCAATATGGTGAAACCCTGTCTCTACTAAAAATATAAAAATTAGCCAGGCGTGGTGGCAGGCACCTGTAATCCCAGATACTCAGGAGGTTGAGGCAGAAGAATTGCTTGAACCCGGGAGGCGGAGGTTGCAGTGAGCCGAGATCATGCCACTACATTTCAGCCTGGGTGACAGAAAGAGACTCCATCTCAAAAAACAAACAAAAAAAGAAATTGAGCCACTAAAACACAGTTTCGTGGAAATTTTAAACAGAATATGAACCAAATCTAGAATTATTTTTTTTCTAATTATGCCTACATATTTACCTTTTTCTTAATGACCAAAAAAGCATTATGTAAATATGCTATTTACTAATATAATTAGAGACAAAGACCTTTGAATAAGTCACCTATCAAGTCTGCTTTAAAAACTGCTGAAGAACCACACGAGGGCTGTAAATTAACATCAAGTAACTGTTTTTACTAAAAAATCAAGCTCAGTAACATTTTCTATTTATATAAATTTAATATACAAATTAATGCCATACCTTTAATTGTTCAATCAAGATTTGTAGGTAAGCGTCAGCTTCTGTAAGTTTCTTATCAAAATCTTGGACACTAGGAACAAATCCTGAATCCAAACCCTAGAGAAAGAGAGAATTTGCAATGAATCTACCAGAACCCAAGCAATGTTTAATAGTACACAAAATACTTCTTCCTTCATACATGAAGACATTTCAAGTTTTAAAATACAGTTCTACTTTGACACAAATAATGGGTCTATTTAAGTGTTAGGTCTATTTAAATAGCGGTACATCAACCTTCCTCATTAACTTGGAACACTGCTTCCCTTCTCATCAATTACACTTGCTGCTGCTCAAATTGGATTTACTCTTCTCTCCAGAATCACTTTCTTATCTCCCCCAAACCCTGTAATTGGCTCCCAATCACCACCAGAACCACAGTAATTTAACAAAGGAACATAAACAAAACCCTCCTATGTTACGTCCTATTTTCCCCCTTTTCGTTCACTTCATTCCTCCCTTCCCTAAATGTTAACTTATATTCTCACTGTTTGGTTCTCCCATTCCTCAACTCACCCCATGATCTCTGAAGTTTTCCTCCCTCCTCCCCTACTAAAGAACGAACCTCTAAATTTTCTCCTCTTCTAAGAAGTGGCCCCTCTCTAAGTGAAAGAAACAACACCTCTCCTAGTCAAGTTTCCTACTCCCTTTCACCCTTGGTGTGAACAGTACACTTAGACAGGGTATAGATGTTTATTTATTTAGAAGGCCTACTTATTTCTCAGTCTAAAAGTGTATCATTTGCATGTCCTACTTTTTGCATACTTAAAGAGTTTAAGCTCCAAGAGCATTGGATTCTTATGTTTTAACTTTAGCCAAAAGAAACCTCTGAGTTCTTAATCATCTCTGACTAAAAAATACATCAATCCCGGGTGTAAAACACAAAACAGTTGGAGACAATATGACAACCACCATGCCACATTTTCATGCCCAGTCATCATACTGTTAAGCAGGGGACTGAGGGTTAGGAACCGCTACCGTAAAAATCCCAACCCAACCACAATACTCTGCACTAAATGGGTAAAATATACTTGATTAACATATCCATCTCACACTTGACTTCCACTCGTCATCTCCTCCCTGCCTTTGCCCAAAGCATGCTGATTATTTTCACATTCTCATTTTAGTAAACTGAAGCCAAAGTTTATTTTATATTACAGCAACACCTGATCTTTCTATACCTTATCATTAAAGCACTTTTACAACCATTATCTCAAAACACCAAATTGAGATGTTATGGTATTATAGAAACAGCAATGGGCTGGCAAATCTGGTTTCTAATTCCAGTGCATTCACTAACACAATATTGTGGCTGTCTAAACCTCGGTTTTCTTACCTGCCAAATACGGACATCCTCCTCCTCCTATTATTAGTACAGCCGCTACTACCTCTACTAAAGACAGCAACTAGTGACACTATCAATTACTACTATTATAGTACTTCTGTTGCTCTCCCCAAACTAAAATTCAAAAATTCGGAACCAAAGAAAAAATAGAATTTAAATAAAAATCTAAGTCCTATTAAGACCACGGGAAAAATCAACTTATCTCATAATTTGTTTTCTTTTTCAAATTCAAAGGTGATAAATATATCTACTTTTTTTTTTACATACGTGTCAAGAAACTGTTTGACAATGAGTATTACAAAGCCCCTTCCCAATGAGATGACATGTACAAAAACAAAGTTGAAGAAAAAAAAAAAATCTTAATAAACAATGTATACAAAATCCAGATATATTTATAAAACTGTGTTTACACATCTTCATTTTTAAAGATAACCCAAAGAAGTTCCTGTTAGAGACATTTAAAATATACAGTTTGGTGATAAAAGATATAGAAATGGATAAATACATCATATTTCATAGATATTAGAGTACTGCCCTATCAAAGAAAGGAGTAATTTATTTCCATGTTACTGTGCCACAGAAAAATCAGGACTGTTTGGCTGGTTTTTTGGTTTTGTTTTGTTTCACACAGCAATGTAACATGATTATCAATAATTAAACTATGAAGACACAGCTAAAATCAGCTAAATACATCGTTTTTAGTAAATATTTTAAAAGGTTAACGGCATATTCATAAATGAATAAAAAAGCATCTAAACAAGAGGGGAAAAGTGATATTTAAGTATTTTCACTCTTCTGAATCCATTTAGAATATTGTAAAAATCTAACTAAAACATCCTTTTTTAACAAATAACCGATTAGATTAAAAATTGTCCAGTGACTGAATAGAAACAGATTTAAATTACTGCTATCTGAACCCTACCTAAATCAATTCTTCAGAAACAACCTTTTGATGTTCGTAGAATCATATAAACCTCACCTTGACTCTCTCCTTAGACTTGCCTCTAGATAGTCTTCTACAACCTTCTTTTAACCCTAAACTTCACACTTCACAAGGTCCAAGCCAAAGATCTACTCATCAACCCATTTTTCTTTAGGTAATGTATAACCAGAGGTTTATAATGACAGTCCCAGAACTGGCCCAATCATCCTTGCATAGTAATGCACAAATTTTTCATGTACTTAAAAGGAAAATCTATGTATACAGTGCCCCATTTGCAACCAATATCATATAAAATTCATCAACAACACGAACAAGTAGTTAACAAGTGTTTTCTCAAATCTAGTAAAACTAATACTCTAGAAGAAAACACAAGTATGACTTTATATTGTGACTTATAGCATCAGTCACCTAATTCAACCTCCCATTCGCAGAAGTTCTTTTCATAACATCTTTGAAAGTCATCTAGTCTTTTCTTAAGTATCTCATGAGATGAGAAACCCATTACTTCCTAATGTAGATTATTTCATAAAAATTCTCCTGAAGTATTAACTGTTCCTCTTTCTATTCAACATTTACAACACTAAGCAATAACATTTATTCGTATTAATCCTTTTTAATGCAGTTTTATTTTTATTTATTTTGTAAGACAGGGTCTTGCTCTGTCACCCAGGCTGGAGTGCAGTGGTGCAATCAGGGCTCACCACAGCCTAAACCTCCTGAGCTCAAGGAATCCTCCCACCTCAGCCTCCACAGTAGCTGGGACTACAGGCATGTGCCACCAAGTCCAGATAAATTTTTATTTTACTTTTTTGCAAAATAAAATAAAAACTCCTGAGCTCAAGCAATCCTCCCACCTCAGTGTCCTAAAAAGTGCTGAGATTACAAAGTGTGGGCCACTGTGCCTGGCCAAGTTTTAAACAGGACTAAGAATACAGTCCTTTACCATATTGAGGGTGGTCTGTCTTTGAAAAGAACTGAGAATAGGGCAGATCCTTTCAGACAAGAGTGTGACTTCATACTTCTTACAGTAGCTTTTGAGAACAAGTTGGGAGTCAAGTAGATAAACATTCTAGTACTCTGTATTTGCTCTATCTAACATTTATCACATTTTATCATAATTAAATACCTGAGTGACTTCTCTGAAGGACTAAAACTCCACAAGGGCAGGAACTATGCCATTCATTAATCACTATACCCATCAGGGCCAGCTCAGTGTTAAATGAACACACATGGCGCTGGCTACAGTGACTGGAAATTGTTGATGCCACAACATGGGTCTTCCTCATGACCTCTTTTCCCCGAGATTTCTCTTGCCTTTCTGTTCTCTTTCTCCTATTCTCTACTCCCTCAAGTCTTTTCTCCATGTTGTCTTTCCTTCTCTTTTGTCCAGGTCCTTCAGTAGTAACTGAAGGGATTGTCACATTATTGGCACTCAGGACCAAAGAGGTTGCTGCTCTTTGGTTTATTACACTGATGTGAGCCACAGCTCTAATTAGACGATTCCTGTATGAATTCATTTAAAGTTTAAATTATACACAACAGTTATAGAGAAATAAAGACAAAATGGTCTATGATATAACAAGAAATTAAATTAGAAGAATCTCAATAGAAATTAAACTTCAATCTAATCATAAAATTTAGAAATCTATGTAAAGAAAAACCACTTTCTGTGGCGAGTATGCTAAAAAAAAAATAGTCTCTGGTTTTCAAAAACACTTTATTAATAAAGCTACTGTAGCCTGGGCACAGGGTAAGACCCCGTCGAAAAGAAGGAAGGAAGGAAAGAAGGAAAGAAGGAAGGAAGGGAGGAAGGGAGGGAGGGAGGGAGGGGGGAGAAGGAGGGGGAAAAGAGGGAAGGGAAGGGCAAGGAAGGGGAAGGGGAAGGGAAGAAAAAAGGGAAGTAAAGATGACAGGAAAGGAGGAAGGAAGGAAGGGAGGGAGAGAGAGAGGGAGAGAGAGAAGGAAGGATGGAAGGAAGGGAGGGAGGGAGGGAAGAAGGGAAAGAGAGAAAGAAGCAAAACCTAAAGTAGATATATAAAGTCAAGAAGAATAACACATACTTCTATATCATCCAGGATCTATGTATCCAGTTTAACAGAGAGAGAAAGAGAAACATATACATCTGGACCAATTTAAGGGGAGTTTCTAAAATAATGTACCTAGACTTGTAGAAGAATATCAAACTGCCTCAAAATTATATGTCGGTACTTCCTACTACCTTTCTAATTCTTAAATTAAACAACACTACTTTTTTCAGAAGGAACTTAAAATCTAACAAATGTCAGCAAAATCAATTTTTAATTATTTTAGTTAGGACATTAAACACTATTTATACTTTACACATACACATAACTGCATGTTTTACCCCCATTAAAAGGAGTACTGCAAGAGAAGTCCTTGAAACTGTCTGAAGTACATATAAATTATAGTTGCTTTGGAGAGACACTTCCTTAGTAAAACAATACGAGAGTCAATTCCCGAGGCAGAGTAGGAGCTTTTAAAGGAATTCCTGCTGACAGAGGAAGAATAATGAACAGTGGAGATAAAGGTGAAGTTCTTGAGTCCAGAATCCGGAAATTAAGAAACCTATGGGTGACCTGAGGAACCGAGAATAAGGTAGAACAGGAAGGCTGAGTAACAACGTTGTAAAAAGAAATTCACAAATGACTAATTATTTTCATATCTAATTTTATTTCACAGTGAAAACTTAAAGGATTAAGTGTCCTATATGCAGTACTTTCTCTTATAGGGCAAAATCTTATATAATAAAATATGTTGTAAAAAGAGAAAAAGAGAATATATTAGAAGTAAATTATTCTTAGTCTCATAGAAAATTCAGAATAACAAGAAAAACAGGTAAGTTATCAGTAGTAGAATTGTAAAATAAAACAACGGCTTAAAAACTTAACAAAGGAAAAACAAAGAACAAGCCTCCTAATGAAAAATAAATGGCATGAATCTGGACAAAAGTAGACTTTTTTTAAAAATTAGCAAAACAAACACCCTATAAGAAAAGTAATGAAAACTTAGCAGGAATGTCATTTTGATTAAAATATGAGAATATTGGAAAGTTTATGTTCACAATTAGCAATTTGAGATGACATGCATCACAGATAAGCTTTCATCCAAAGAAAGAAGTATAGAGCATACTTACAATTCAATCACTTACAATTATTTTTGAAAATTCAAGAACTGGAGAGATACCAGAAGACTGGAAAAAAGCAAGTGTGGTACTGATCTTCCATAAAAGTAAGGAAAAGAGAGAATAGAAAGTTACCATGCTGTGAGTCTAACATCAATAATCAAGTAAAGGAATAATAAGAGAAAAATCTGTAACTACACAGAGGAAAAGTAGGTACATGAGCAGCAAGTGGCAAATTAAAAAAAAAAAAAAGAGACTATGCCAAACATAATGGCTTTTCTGTTCCTTAGAAATTTAAGTTAGCAAATTAAGTTTTTAGAGAAATGACATTTTGTCTCCCTACCAAAAGTGGGTTTGACGATGAAAAAAAGTATATTAAAGAGACCAGAAATATTAATTATACCATGATTTTATGTGAGGCACACTAATTTGTGATTTCCTTGGATTACTGAAAATTTGGAAACATTTACAATCCCTATTGTCCCTGTGGTTTATCCATTTCTGCTAAGAGAAGAACAGGACTTAGAAGAACAGGGAAGTTCTGGGGTTAAGAATTTCACCTCTTTTAATCCTAAGGAATATTCAACTATCAATTTATTTGTAGTGAAGACTATCAATTCAAAAATATCCATAAAATTGAGCCTAGTATTAAACCTTTCCTTTCACTGTATCTTAGAGAAGTTATTTTCCATTTAAGCCAATGTCTTGATAATCTAAGCCTTCAAATTAGGTTCTCTATTGTCAACATGGTAGCTGTACCTACCTTACCAACTGCTAGGTACCCCAAGAATGTCCTAAAAAATACGGTCTTTTTCTGTAGTGCTAAGTAAGCAGCTCTAACACCATGGATGCACAATGTATACTAAATTTTTCAGAGTATTAAGTACTCTACTAGACACTTTCCAAGCTTTCTCATTTGATCATTGTAATATAGTAAGGTAGACAGATATTAAACCTATTTTATAAGTGCTTATCCAAATCATCCAGCTGAATTTTTTTTTTCAATAGGGATATCAACCTAGTCCTCTAACCAAATCCATTATACTTTTGTATTAAATCACAATGATGTTTAAAAGGAATTAATGACAGAAGGGCACTAAAATGTAATCTAAAAACTGCCTGAAGGCCCTTGACATAGTGGAAACGAGCACGAGCTTTAAGGACTCATATAGTTTTAAATCCTGAATCTGCAACTTTCTAATGAATTACCTGTGTGATGTAGCCAAATTACTTTTTCCACCTCCATTTTCTCATCCATGAGTATAATAATAAACTACTCAAGGTTACTGGAGAGATGAAATGAGTAATACATGTAAAGTAACAGAGTGGTAGGTGTTCTACTTCCCCTTCGTAATTTGGAGCCTTAGATAACCAGGATTCACCACTATATCTCCAGGTCCTTATGTATAGAAGGCCCTCAATGAGTACTGACGGAATAAAAACAAAACAAATGAAAAACTAGATAATACTGTAACATACAGGCAATTTTCACAGAGATCTACAATCAAGTAAAGGCTATAAGCATAAGTTAAATTGTATTCAACATCCGTTTTAAAAACAAGCTATAAGTTGATGAACTCCCAAGAAGATAATAGAGAATGGTAATTTAAAAAGGAATGAATAACAGACAAAACAAGTGGTAAAACACAGTATGGAAAACAGACCAGGAAAAATATTCCAATTTGAGATGTTCAGGAAAGCCCTGGGTATTATCACTGAACCACAAAAGGTAAATTGTACTTAATTATTACCTTGGTAACAAAGAATCAAACAACATAAATAAAGTTTTTTTTTCATAAAAGAATCTAATTTTTGAACATACGTTAGTGCTTTGAAAAACCAGAACTGCTTTTATCTTTAAATTTACAAAGAAAGATTTATGTGTAATGTTCAGTTTCTGATAAAAAATAAATAACATGAAACAAATCTGAATTGCTCATATATAGTTCTGACAGAAATGAGCTGCTTTACAAACAGGAATCAGGTACAGCTAAAATGCATGAACTTCAATAATAACCCTTAACACAATTTCTTACTCTTCATGACACCCTCATCTGACACTAATACACCCTTTGACTTATAGAACAAAACACAAATACTAACTCCATAAAGTTATTTGGTTACTTAAACAACTAAACAATAAAGGTTTGGAATTGGTACCATTTTCCTCTATTTAAATCACTGACAGCTTGTCTTTCCCAGACACTCCCAATTTATTCAGCAAACCCATATGAAGAAGTTACTACCAAAACAAACAAAAACCTTAGGTCTGTAAATAGGATGACCATATATTTTAGTTTGCCTGGGACAGTCAGTGTATGCTTGGTTGTCTCAGCAAAATTATTATTAGCAGCCTCCTTCACTCTCAAGTATCCCAGTTTAGGCAATAAATTATATGGTCACCCTCTCTATACAGGATGTAGCTGCATTTTTAAGACACAAATGTCATGAAAGGCATATAAAATTGCCTCAGATGATTCAAAATCCACCAAACTGCCTTTAAAAAAAACCTACAAAACCTAAAATGAAATGAGTCTACAGGTTCTGAATGCAGAAAGCAAGCTACAAAAATAAAACAGACACTGGAATTCAATGCAGTTAATAATAACTGAGTGCTTACCTTATGCTAGATAAGTAGACACATGAATAATACTGAAGTTGCATTTTTATGTAATTTTACTTACGCACTACAAGTTTCATTTTTTAAAATGTACACACACACACACACACACACACACACACACACACACACACCCCTGAAATATAACACATGAAACAAAACACATGCAGTTACCCCTGGGGAATGGGATTGAGGAATGGGGACATTTGAGACAGGGACTCTCAGTTTTTATTTTACACATTCATGTTGCTTAATTTTTTAAAATAAATATGCATTTATTTTATAATTTACATTCAAAAGCTTTAGGTAAAAATGTTCAGAAACTACAGGTTATGAACATTTTTAGAAAATTTTATATCCATTTTAGCATGCAAGGTCATAAGCATTATTCTTTGAAAATTATCTATTAAAATTCTAAAATGTTTTCCAGGAGTAAATGTGGCAAATGCTAAAGCTGCTCAGGTACACCTTTCCAAGCAAAAAAGTAGGATAACAAATGTATAATATCATTTAAAGGTAAAGCACGCACTAGCAAAAAGCACTTAAAACTTTGTAATCACCACTATACTGGAATAAATAAAATAATGAAGTGGCCAATATAACAAAGCGAGATGGCAAAGCTTTTTTTTCCACATCCTTCCTGCCACCAACATGATCATGACTCAACATCCAAGAAAGCTATCTCTTAAAGAAGGAAACACCTACTACATCACACCACCTAACAAAGCACTGTTGGACTATGTAGTGCCGGCAATCAGCCAACACTTTTCTTCCGAGATACTTTAGTTGTTTAGGCTACTCGCAATATCTTTCTTAGAAGGGATGGAGTAAATCATTCCAGGATCTAAATAAACTCTGAGAGGTTTACTAGTAGTACAGGATGAAAAAAAATATTCTTCCACTCCCCAACCTCAGATTAAGAGCATTTTGGAAAGCCTATCTGGAGTCTACTTTTAAGGATCCACCAAAAATGAGTAAATTTCCTGGAAATGTGTTCTACAAATCACTAGGAAAAATTAACATTAAATATGTGAATTCTTAAACTGAGTATTCTGATAGATAGTTCAAGTTTTGAAATAACTGCAAAATTTTTATAGCCTAATACTTGGTGAAAATTTGATTATGAAATGTTTTCAAAAACAAAACTTGATATATTCATCTAACAAGACTGGATCTCTATAGCAGAATATAACAAATTGACAAATTAACACTGAAGGATATGCCAAAGCTGTCTTCATATATCTGATTTTAGCTGCCAATGAGTATCAGAGGAAAACATATTCGGTTTTCGCTAAAGTTGTTAAAAAGTGCATTCAAAATTACTGAGTTTAATTGTCAGAAATCTACCAAGATGATCTAAAATACAAGTCAATCAAGACAGGACTTTGTTTTATTCTCTACTATCTCCCCCAGGCTAGTGTTTGGTTTGCAGCAAGTCCTCAATAAAAATTTTATAAATGAATTAAGGAATTCTGCAATGTGCCTACCTGTTAACATTTAAACACAAAAAGTAATCAAGGAACTAGAAGTTCTTGCAGATTATAAATCAGAATATTCATGGAAAAATCATAAATAATTCATAGTTATTTTAAGGGATTTATTATATTGGTAGTTGTAAAATATGGCTGCTGAATTTTTCTAAGGCTAAAAGTTTTTAAGAAGAAAGAGAAATTGACTAGGAGAAAAAGACATTGAAATAAATGGTAGTAAAACAAGAAACGCAATGACAATCTTCTTGTCTCTGTAAAAACTCATTGTCTCATGCCAAATCTTATCCTGAGCACATTTTTACACATACTATGCTGGGCCTTAGAATTCAGTGTTACAATAATTATTTATTCACTGGGCATCTCTTATGACTATGGCCCTGTGCTGGATGCTTTGGGGATGCCAAGATGAAGCAGATACAGATCTAAAAGAGTTTCATTCTATTAGAGGGAATATATATCTGTCTATAAATAATTGATTCAAGCATGGTAAAATGTTATCAGAAAGGCATTAAGAAATTCAAAGGAGAAAGTTATAAGGATGAGAGAGCTTTCACAGAGGATGCAATTGAGAGTGTAGGATTTGAACAGAAATGGGACGGGTAAAGTATTACAGCAGTGGGCCCTGGTAGGAAACAGCATAATCAGATACAATGTTTGAACTTTTCTTTAATCAAATGACTATAGTACCTATAGAAGTGAGAGTAGGGCTAAGAAAACTAACAAGAGATGCTAAGGTACTCAGGAATTAGGAGCTGCAAGTAGCCTGAAGGAACAAGGAAACAAGGTTCCCATTGGCCAGAGGAGGAGCTACTCAGTGGACATGTATGGCTGTAAGACAGTCACTGCCAGAACTGCCTCAAAGCACAGAAGGAGCAGAAGGAATAAATACTCCAGAGACCTTTTCTCCCTTCCATTTTCTGTCACTGCTTCCCATTTGCTAAACCCCAACTAGAAGCCAAGGCATAAAGGATCCCAGATGCTGCAAG